CTGGTTTCGTGCCGGGAAGACGTACTCAGTCAAGGAGAGATCCCCTGGCGCGTATCCAGATTGCTATTCGCTGTTGACCTGTAAAGACGTGCGTTGGACGGCAGCACGTATTCCTGACTGAAACTTACAAGGGATCGATGACGGCCGACACACAGCAAACCCTTTGCGAGCATTTGATGCTGGTTTGAAGCGACGTAGAGCCATTATTTGAGGCAATTAAACGTCAATGGCAGACATGGACTATTGAGCTAGGATCCCCTGGTACTGTGTCAGCCTCGTGGCATCCTGGAAGACCGCGGCAAGCGTGTGCCTCGAAAGTCTCAAAGACATATGATGAGATACGATAAAGCAGCAGATGCGGGAAAAACCGGCCGAACGAAGCGTGTAATAGCGGCCTGAGTAAGAGGTCACGAGGTTGACTGGCAATGAGACGACGTCGGAAGTTGTTTTTAGTACTATGCAGAAAGTTTCGTGTCGCATGCATTCTCTCCAACGCTATTCAGAGTGAAGACCACCCATCCCCAGTATTCTATAGTCCGAAAGTGTCGGGCCAACTTTAAACCCCATTTTTCGCACAATTTAGCGACGGCCTCTAATGAAAATTAATGTAACCCTAATGAAAATTAATGTGACCCCTGCACAATTAATTTTCATTAGAGGCTGTCGCTAAATTGTGCGAAAAATGGGGTTTAAAGTTGGCCCGACACTTTCGGACTATAGAATACTGGGGATGGGTGGTCTTCACTCTGAATAGCGTTGGAGAGAATGCATGCGACACGAAACTTTCTGCATAGTACTAAAAACAACTTCCGACGTCGTCTCATTGCCAGTCAACCTCGTGACCTCTTACTCAGGCCGCTATTACACGCTTCGTTCGGCCGGTTTTTCCCGCATCTGCTGCTTTATCGTATCTCATCATATGTCTTTGAGACTTTCGAGGCACACGCTTGCCGCGGTCTTCCAGGATGCCACGAGGCTGACACAGTACCAGGGGATCCTAGCTCAATAGTCCATGTCTGCCATTGACGTTTAATTGCCTCAAATAATGGCTCTACGTCGCTTCAAACCAGCATCAAATGCTCGCAAAGGGTTTGCTGTGTGTCGGCCGTCATCGATCCCTTGTAAGTTTCAGTCAGGAATACGTGCTGCCGTCCAACGCACGTCTTTACAGGTCAACAGCGAATAGCAATCTGGATACGCGCCAGGGGATCTCTCCTTGACTGAGTACGTCTTCCCGGCACGAAACCAGAGCTGTTGCGATCGGACGACATGCGTAATGCGCCCAGAACGACACAATCCGAGAAGATACGATGCAACTATTGTGTGGCATCCTTAACGCTCGGGCTTTGTCTGAACCTAATGAAGGACTTCGACTGACCCACTATGCTCTGCCAGGCCCGTGCCCTTTCATACATGCCTAGTGGAGGGATTGTTATCCTAGGTGTGGTCACTACAGTACTGATCTGCAAGCTAGTCCGCGCTTAGCATCCCAGAAGATCGAGGACAAGGCCTTAGGGTTCCCAGCTTTACGATTTGTACTTTTCGAGCTACGAGTCCGTCATGCGATGATGTGCCGCTATGCGAGCCGCATGCTTGATCAGACTTCAGGTCGTCGTGATGATCATCATGCCGCAGCATCTAGCGATCCCCGCAGACTCAAATACATGCATGGTGCATTCTAGGTTCGTTCAGCCGCCGATGTGATCAGCTTCCATCAGTCGTTCGATGCGTGCAAGAGAAGAAGAGCCTGTGCCGGGCCGCTGGGGGCTGAAGCTAGAATGGGTGGCATGGATTGAATCCCAACGAACCCTTTCCACGTCTCTACCCAGTCCGATGCCTCAGCAAAATGATGTCCGCAGCTTTCTCGGCAACCGCAAACACTGTGCTCCCCAGCCTTGCACCAGGAAGCATAGGCAAGATACTCGAATCGACGATGCTTAGTCCGCTGACGCCGTACACCATGAGCTGATCGTCGACCACGCCACCCAAATGCAATGGGAGCATTGCACAGGTCCCACACTGATGAGAGCAGGATGGTGAGAGCGTTCGCTCCCTGATTGCGGTGTCGATCATCGAATCGCTGTCTTCTGATGGTTCTGGTACTGCTACTGGGCGGAGCTCATGTTGCAGCGTTGCAGTACTCATCAGAGCCCTGGTAAAATCCATCATGTGAGCGATGAGCATTCTATCGCCTGGATCGGCGAGCGCTCTGTAGTCCACCAATGGCCCCAAATCGGGATCTGAGGTGTTCAGCGTCACAGTTCCCCGGGACAGAGGTTTCAGCAGAAGTCCTTGGAAGGGATCCGTTCGACCGTTGACCGGAAATTCAAAAGCTGCGCTTACGGTGCTCTTCAGATGGTCAAGAATGATCTTGCGCTGGTGCTGATATCCCTCTCTCACGCTTGGGGCGTAGAGCGAGGGCAAATTTGCGAACGGGTCTTGCGCTTGTATGCTCATCACTGTGGCATTCCATCGGGCTGTGACGTGTGGAAGTGCCAGAAAAGCCGCAAAGCTAGCTTGAGCCATGGTCAAAGGCCCAGAACGGCTGACGGAATACTCGTGCTCAAACTGCTTGCGAATGCGAGCCGTTGCGTTCTTTCCCATATCCGTCCAGAGTCTCTGTAGCGTGGTTTCTCTGGTCAGGTCGTAGACGGACACCATTGTGGGCGTGTCCTGGAAGTTCATACCCACACCGGGTAGCTCATGGACTACTGTGATCTGCTCATATGTTAGTTGTCCTCTGGATTGTTGCACTGATTTCCCACACCCACCTTCGCCTCTTCCAGCATACTTTTCAACCCAACGCCTGACCTTTGCAAGATATTCGGAGTGTTAATCGCTCCCGCTGCGAGGGTGATCTCCTTCCTGGCGTTGATCATTGTCATGCGTTTTGTCTGGCGATCCGAGACTTCCACACCGACGGCTACTTTATCCTCAAACACGACCCTTGTCACCTTGGTGTCGAGCATCAGCTTGAAATTAGATGCACGGCGAGCCACCTCGTAGTAACCAGTCACGACAGAACTACGAGTCTGCTCTTCGCCGTCCTGACTGGCCGGGACCCAAAGTGCTCCGACCGCCGAACCAGTATTACCGTCAATGGGATGTGGAATCGGAGCACCATTCACGATTCCTGTCACTTCAGCAAAGGCATTTCTGAAGCTCGAGAATGTTTCCCATTGAAAAGGCGGGAAAGTGACATGTATCGGACCGGCATTGCCCCAAGCCCGTTCGTCCCAGGTGAAATTCCAGATATCCCTAGCCCTCTCATATGGGGGAGTGAAGTTGGTGCTCTTCAAGAAGTAACTGCGCATCAAGGTCAGTGGAGAAACACAGGGACATGAGATCTGTGCTAAGTAGACCAATGGAGGTGAGACTTGCGGTTCGAGAGCGTGCCACGACCAGTTCTTATTACCCAAGCTTTCCCAGGCATCATAATCAGACTGACTTCCTCTCGAGAAGAAGAGACGATTGACGGAGCTCCCTCCTACGAGGTGTGAGTGAAGAAGTTCGCGGTTCACGATCTTGGTAGGGATCATACCGCCGAGAGTGCCTCCCACAACGACGGGATACGTCTGTCCTTGTAGATGTTGCTGAGGGACGGAAGTTACATTGATATATCGCGAACTCGGGATCTTGTTGAAAAGGCCTGGTGTTGACATCGATGAGTCCTTTTCGTGGGTGCCGTACTCGATCACTAGCACAGAAAAATTACGATGCTCTGCAAGGCGACTCGCCACGACAAGTCCAGCTGTTCCTCCGCCAACTATGACGAAGTCGAAATTCTCTCTTGCAGGATCTGCGACAGCGCTCGAAATATGGAAGAATGCAAAGTAGAGGAGCACTGCAGACCACAAAGTGTGGCAAAAAGCCATTCTGAGCAGACAGACGCCGATCTCGAATGGTATCGCAAGTTGTCGATTGTGACGCACCTTGCTTCAACGCTGACCTGGAATTATAAGAATGGAGCGATGCACAGTGAGATAGAACAGGTAACTCTTGAGAGGAGCGCGAGGGATTTGATTTATAACGCGAACGAAGTTCCGTAGTTTTGCCAAGCCTAGCGGTTCCCACCTCTGTAACGAGAGTTCACAGCGCTGATCAAAGTTTATACCCAGACGCTGGTCCTTGCAAACCAAATAACGAGTGGAATTCTTTCCCTGGGCAGCATCCGGAGCGAAGCCTCAGAGATGTTGAGCAAAACACTTTCGCACGACTCAACATGCATTCCAGGGCCCTGCTACCATAGGGACCAAGACATATCTCCTAGTCATAGACATGCGTCAAGCAACCTCTTGCACGTGACATCGACATGGCACTTCTCTTTCACCACGAGCTCTTTACATGTCATCCTCGGTGGCGACCCTCTTGGCTTTCGGCGGGACATAAGCCTCGTCCTCGTAGTAGCCATCGGGATAACCCTGCCTGGCGCGAATAGCCTTGACCTCGGCTTCTTCGACTTCATCCCTCTTGGACCTTGGCGGGACGTAAGCTTCGTCCTCGTAGTAACCATCAGGATAGCCCTGTCTAGCGTGGATGGCATTGACCTGAGCTTCCGAAGGCCCACGGGGTCTTTGTTCGTAGTTGCGGTCTTTGTATGCCATCCCTACTACAATGTCTTAGCTTTAGCCTTTGGCCTGGCAAAGGACGAGCTCAATTAGGATCTTACGCTCGTTGGAGATTCCACGTTCTTCGTCCTTTGCTGGAGCAGTCCACGCAAGAACCGCGAAGGTAGAGAGAAGGAGAGATCGAAATTGCATCTTTGATTGCCGCGGGACTCGGTATATGTCTTTTAAAGGATGAATGTTTTATAGCAATAGCCCATATTGCGGATCTTTATAGGTATATATATGTCGTTAATGGACTCCAACGTATCGAGTCGGAATGAGTCCTTAGGAAATTACCTCATCTCAGCTTAGGATAAGTTATAAGCAGAGGTCGCCTAGTAAGAATGTTCGTCGTATTACGTAGGACTTAAGCGTTGCATGGATGCCTAAGTGAACAACAATCATCGATAGCATGACCTACATATCACGAAGTCCTTATAATCAGTCACGCAACGAATATCCGAACGATCGATCGAAAACCATATGCAGCGAAGTTGTCCGCTGCGTGTAAGGCTGATCGCGAGGATACCCCCAATCGAATATGCCGCAAGATGTTTACTGCCGGTTCCGAAGTTCCAGCTCGTCCGTATAGGTACTCAGCAAATTCTCTTCAGCTTTTCTTGCTTCCTTCAGTGATGGTCTTGCTACACTACCTCGATCGACTCTTTCAGAAAACATAGCTTACTACACTGCAATAATAGATAAGCTAGGAGACGAGAAGTGGCGTCCGCTGTCCAACGATGAAGAAGACTAGGAAGACTCCGGTCTCATCGACCAAAGCGCTCGAACAAGACCTCGCAGCCGTCGAAATCTTTGGCAGGTGTCTCTTGTAGCCATGGCCTGCTCGGCTTTCTTCATCGCTAGGTATACAATCAGAAGTGCTGCTACGCCCATAAGCTGGAACTACGATTCTATAACAATCCGTAAGTAGCCATGTGTCCGCTTTCGACTTTGACTAATTATGAGGAGTGCCTTCGATAATCCGCGATCTTCTCCAGACTACCGATGCAAGCAAATCGTTCAGCCACTTCACGGAAACGCCACAGGTGCGCGAAGCGGATCCTCACCTTCAAGAGCACCCCTGGAGACTTGCTCTAGGCCTCGAACGTGAGGCCTTCTACCACCAGTATTTCGGCCACAACAAGATATTCCTCTTGTCAGCAGAGGACATGAAACGTATAGGCAAAGATCCGACCAAATATGCTCACATCGGAGAGGACTGGGGCTATGGCGATAAGATCTATCCAGCACGCCTCGACTTCACGCATCAGATGCATTGTATCCACGTCCTCCACGCCATGCTAAATCCAATCGATTACAAGATCAACGCTACCGAACAAGGCGGTGTCACTCCGCTGGTGAAAGGCCACGGGGAGCACTGTCTGTGGGCACTGTATGACTACATCTCCTGCCATGTGAGCTGGGACGTCTACAACTACAAGTGGCTTGACGGCTTCCCACGACCCTACCCAGATCATGCGTCGCAGCGTCAATGCCGCAGCAGGAAACCTCTCCATGATTTCTATCTCGAGAACGATGTGTCGACGGATGCACGCATCCTCTATGTGGTTCCGCAGCCGGGAGATCACATGCATCCCATGACGGACGAACAACGCGCAAGAGATGCAGCTATCCGGGATGCTGCCGGAGGATCATTGCTGCAACCAGATGAGTGGCTGGTAGAGCGACGCAAAATGTTCAACGAAGCGATGCAGCACTGGCGTGACACTGGAGAGATCCCAAGGGTAGCTCCGCTGACCCCAGAGGAGGTAAATACAGCCATCTAGTGCCACTTCGAACGCAAGGCGTGGACAAGGCTTCGATCGTACATAAAGTCATTTGTGTGAGCTAGATCTTATAGATCCCACATGTTGTCGCGTCGGAAATGAACATGACTTGGCATCTTATTTTGAATACACCTCGTTGTCAAAGGTTGAATGTATTGCTGATGAGCTTGATGTTCCGAGTCACATCATGGTGTGCAGCTCCTATCCGCGGCACTCGACTTGCGAGACGCGCATCACGACGCATAAGTGGCCAATTGCCAACTCGTGTCAATATAGGAAGGGAGAAGAAGGAGTGCGCCGAATGCCCGGCTATATACGCAACGGTTGAAGTGCCTACATACGTTCTGACGACAAATAGATGTTGGGCAGCTGGAAGCCGGTCTCTCATGATAGCCGCACAGCCTCTGCAACATATTCCTTAGCGCCGAGACCACCGCCTCGTGCATGCGTGTGCATAGCAGCATAGTTCTTCAGTGAGTCCCAGCTGCGACAAACGTGGGTGTTGCCCCACCCAAGATCGGTCACCCGAACCCTCCCATCCTGCTCAACATCTTCCGCAAGACTCTCGATTGTGGGATCGGCAGCGCACATAATCGCCTGCCGTATATACTGGATGCAGTGGTTGATATGGTCGCCCAAAGGGGGATGACCATGCACTGCAGCAGAGAAGTCGATGCTGGAAGAATCATTTCGAAGGGCCAGGAAGACCTCTCGAATGACGCCCTGCACAAGTTTAGAAAGCCTATTGTCTGGAGATTGCCAGTTTGGTACTCACCAAACAATGCATCTGATGGAATGCAGATATGGCATATATGTCGCCGTCGGGATCGCCTCTGTCCTTGCCTCGCCCGAGCCCGTATTGCGCCGGATTAGGTATTGCGATATAGCCTCGTCCCCCTATTGAGCAAGCGGTTGACGCAGTCAGCGTTTGCTAGTCAAATATCCCGAGGACAAGTTGAGCACAACTTACGCGGCATGAGGCTGTCCCACGCATCATCGGCTGCCTTTGAGCCGCCGTCGAATTCGGGGTAGTCGTTCCACTTCACCAATAATTGGGGCCCGCGTCGCAGATCTGGTGATCACTTCAGTCTTGGTCGAGCTTTGAATCGCTCCACAGCCATTTGTAGGCTCATGCTTACATTCTGGAATAAAGGAGTTGGTCATTGCGGTGCGAGACGCATGGCAATCGCTTTGACGCAAGGCCAGTGTCACAGCCACGTAGACCGTAATGAGGAGTACCAGTGCTTGAAAGCAGAAGCCCAATACATGAACCAGACGACGTGACAGACTCGCTCCTGTGCCGGTGGCCGGTTCTGGGGACGTGCACTCTTCGTCTTCCTCCTCCGGTAGACGCGCGTATCTCGAATTGCTCGAGAACATTTTGCTCGTGTAGGAGGGCGTGTACTTGTCGTGTATCGCTCCAAACATGTTGTGCAGTAGTGGTGGCAAAGTTGTCGTAGTAGCACAGGCTTTTGAGGGCGGGTCTGTGCATTGCATGCTGCCACGTACATGGACACCTCTCTACGTCGAGACGCTTCCGCACACCTCGGATCAGCCGCCATGACTTACAATCCTCAGCGTCGATCCCCATTCTTCACGTGGTCAAAGCTAACGTACAGCTTGCAGATGCCGCCGAGCGAACCTTCCATCGCGAGCGAAGATGACATTCCTGTCGGCGGGGCCTGATGATCGCCACACTTGCTCCGATAAACGGGCACATACCTTCGAGCACCGAAAGTTGAGCTTGTCGTGCATACCACCAGGTCTCGTTGCGTCCACCAGGATGCGGCTGGAAGGCATGAGTGATTCCAGATTTTGACTTTCAGCCTTTCGTCCAGGGCGCCTGATCCAGGATTCCTCTCTCTGCCTTTCTGCCGGTCAATCCACCTCTAGAGTGAGATCCAAATCGCAACATGATTCAATGTCGAGCAAGGCCAATGTGCAACGTGAATCATGTACAACGGCGCTGTTGATAGAACAAGCTTTACGAGCTTTGACTTGCCGTCGTGCAGCCGCAGCGTTCAAGGGCTATAATGCACGCTGCATGGCAGACGACGCATGAGCTCCAGAATAGACTCATATGATCATATCCCAGGCACGCCATTGATTGCGATGACTAATGGTTCGATGACCAATGGTTCGAACGCAATACCCACTTCAAGTTATACTTCACGTAATACCTTGCATGGCAGCTGTGCTTCCACAATGCCACCATGTCTTCCCACTCTTGCCGTTATACAGACATTAGTGACATGGCTTGATGCGTGAACCGGGTGTTGTAGAACGCCGCACCGGTGGAAGGCCCACATATACCTCCGCAGATGGCGCGGCGTTCCTCCTGCGAATTGGACTACTTGTCGACTCCCCAGGAACGGTTTGGGTACATCCACGATTTGCAACTGCGAGACTATGATTCGAGTGTGGCGATACGCTTCCCAGGCTCTCGCCGGAGCTTTGGCGTTTCGCTTGTACTTTCCCAAGCAGCACAACCCCTCTAACTCCACGGGAGTCTTGCTAGATCGTTTCGAGCTGCTCATGGAACGAGCAAACAAATCGTTCTCGGCGATGATATCAGCACGCACAGATACGTTGGCTACGACCGTGGAGGCATACATGCTTCGACGCCATCAAAGCCCACCTCCAGGATTCGCGGAGTGGTATCGGCTTGCGGTGCAGCACGATGCTGTGATCGTGGAGAGTTTCTGGGATCCCATTTACGAGGATCTCGACCCATTTTCGAAATACTCGGCACACGAGCTTGGGGTGATGGCCCACATCATAGCCACCACGTCATCTCCATTGATTGATGGGTACGTGATCCAAAATGGCAGCGTTGTCGGAACTTGCGAGCCCGCCAATCTGCCATGCTTGCAGGTGCAAGCCATGCTGGGACGAATCGCGCAGACGCTTCCGGATCTTGTATTGCCGTTCCACGGGCATGCATCGCCCCGTGTCCTCGCAGACACTAGCACGGCCGCACACGGCCATCAGAACCTACGCTGGCTGAACGACTCACCGCTCTTCACCATCCCGCACGATCGACTAGCGGTCATGCAGCGCGCTTGCGTGGGGAATTCAAGCTTGGCAATGTTTCCAGGGGACGACGGGTCACGGGCGATTATTATCGAAAGTGTTCGGCCCAGGACAATCGGCGTGCACGCCACTGCCCTTGGGGATCCGGCGGTACACGACCCACAGCGCTGGGGCGATGTATATTCGCAGCCACGGTTGCTTCAGATGCACGGGGCCTTGGTACGGCCGAATTGTCTGAACATCACGACGGAGCTCATGCCATTATTCTCACCGGCCAAGGTCGCAGGCATCGAAACCGCCATACGATATCCGGACTCCATTTACTGGTCGCGAGAGCCTGGGTACCATGCTGATGCTTCGCGACGGGCACCGTGGAAAGCAAAATCGAACAAGGCGTTTTGGAGAGGGGCCAATACAGGAGGTGGACACGGACGCGAAAACTGGCAGAGCTTCCACCGCCATCGATTCGTTGCTTTGACGAATGCCACCTACCTGAGCAGCATCAAAGAAGGGCAACAGCAAGGCGGGGCTGAGAAAGGAATGCCGATCACGGATCGAAAGCTCCAGGTCACACGAGAGTACATGGACACGGGCTTCAGTACCATTCGGTGTCGCGACGATGCATTTCGAAGCAGCAACCAGGGATGCTCTTATCTCGATGCCTCGTCAAAAGTGCCCTCCCCGCTCGTCAGTATCTTCGTGAAGAGTCTTCAGAGCGTGAAATTTCCTCGACTGCTCGGAATGCGCATCCAAGTCTAGAGACACGCTGGAAACCGAGACCAGGGCATCCAGCGTACTGTTGATCATGGCCACACGGGCGCAGTGTTCCGCATGGCCGTCGCCGCTGAACCTCTTTGGCATTACAATTCCGCTCTCCGGCACTCGAGCCTCTTTCATCCAGATGTGCATGCAGTGTGCCAAGTGATGCGCATGCACAGTATAGTACACTTGCCCGGTGTCTGCAAAATTTGCAACATCGTGTTCCTCGAGAATGGGAGAGTGCGCATCTTGTCGTTCGTAGTACGGCCATCGGTGACCGAAGACAGCGGGCGCGGCGCGACGGAATGCGTCCGTGACCTCGTCGTCTCGACAGTGTGGAGGCGGCCAGCCGAGCTGCAGAGGATCGTAGCGACAGTGATTCTTCTTCGCTTCGGCAATGGAATTTCCGCATCTGCAGGACAGGTCTTGTGGATGAGCGCGAAGAGCGTCCCATAGAGACGAGATGAGGTTGACGGAGCCCCACACGGCAAGTGCGCAAAGTGTGACTTTCGTGAGCCGGCCTTTCCAGTGCTTGTCTTGGGGGTAGCGAGCAGCCGGAAGATGGTCGTCAGTGTCGACGTCGGCGTTGTGATGCTTGCTCTCTACATATTCTTCGACGACGTCCGGCAGCACTCCCAGATTGCGAACGTGATGGTGAAGCATGGCGACCAATGGTGGCGGGGGAGTGGCTTCTGTCCAAGACCATCGATCGGCGTGACGTCTGGTCCACCACCAACCCATGCCCCGATCTGCGAGTGACTTCGGCGTACATAGCTCGCCGCACGGCCAGGGGCAGTCCCGCTCGGCCATCATGCCGCCATCACAGAAGCCGTGCCAGAGGAATTACCTTCCCCTTCGTGCCGTGTCGCCCGTCGCCACCCATGTGACGTGGCAGAAGAGCGATCCGCAGCGCATCCTCCACTGCTTTGACTACCTCCGCCAGGCGGTCATGTGCTGCGGGGACACGGCGCTCGAAGGCTCCGACCCGGGCCGAGCACACAGCGACGCGACCCACGGATGGGGGGGTGACACATGTGTGTAAGGACTATGAGCAGTTGTCGGCCATGGCATTCCGCCGTTGGCTCCCCATGGCGCCGCAAGAGTGGAAGCGGACGCATCCCGACCTCGTCCGGGCGGTGCATCGTGCCTGAGACGCTCTCCATCGAGATGCTGGGAGGTCCGCGGAGCATGGGGGCGGAAAGATCCGAGGGTGCTTTCAGGACGCGGAGCGTGTTGGCGAGGAGATCAGTGCTGGTGGTCGGTCTTTCTCACATGAACAACCTCCTTCTCTTGCAAAGTACATCAGTCGCTTCTCGTCCGCTCTCCCTTTCCCCCTTGAACACCCATGCTCCAACCCGGGCCCACGCCTGCCGCACCCGCATCCGCCTCCGCCTCCGCCTCCGCCTCCGCCTCCGCCTCCGCACTCGGGCAATGCAAGCTTGGCCTTATCGTTATCGGAGCTCTGTGACTCCACATCTCACATCTCACTTTCCGTCACGCCATTGACTTTCCTCTTCTTTCACTCTCGCGTCAAACCTACCAACAACATTCACCGCCGGGCGAACTGCAACGCCCGATTGAGCGCGTGAGCACACGCCAAGCAAACTTGCAACCATGCCTTGTTCCTCCCCTTCCACACCTCAGACGTCTTCGAGTTGTGCTGGGAATGGCGGCGGCAGCAATGTGAGGAAGAGATCAGGAAAGGGAAAGGGAGTAAGAGGTAGGAGGGGTTGTGATGGTGAGTTCTCCTCCTTCACCTCTTCCTCTTCCGACTCAGCTCCTGGATGAGAGATGCGCGACGTGAATCTGATATGGTGGTATAGAGAGCTGTTTGGAACGGATTGCGAAACATCTGAAGGAGATTGACAATAACGAACTGACTGCGAATGAAGGCCAAGATGGAGGAAAGAGCGGAGGATGTTGTGGTGATGTGAAGTGTGGTGGTGATCAGGAAGTGAAGAAGAATGAGGCGGCGAAAGAGATGGGTTGTGGTGAGGGTTGTGGTGAGGAGGAAGTGGTGAAGAAGGTGGACACGAGCTGTGAGACGGGATGTTGCGGTGACGAGAAGAAGGATGACACGAAGGTCGTCGCTGCCGGCGGATGCTGTGGAGGTCAAGAGGCGGTGAAGAAGAGCTGTGATGGTGAAGGCGATGGCTGCTGCGACAAGGAAGAGACCGATCAGGTAGACACGACTTGCGAGACTGGTGGTTGTCGCCCAATGGACGAGGTGAAGAAAAAAGCTGTCGCTGCGAGTGGCTGCTGTGGCGATAAAGCGGGCTGCAACGACGCCATGTCCTGCGGCGGAAAGGTCAACAACAAGGCACAGAACAAGGGCTGCGAGACAACGTGCTGTGGCGCCGAAAAGCAGGCAAAGGAGAAAGTTCGCGACGTGGGAGGATGCTGCGGTGCTGAGGCAGGTCCGAAGAACGCTTCATGCTGCGATGAGAAGCTGAACAACCAGTCGAACATGGGCTGCAAGTCGGACTTTTGCACGGTATCCACCGAAGTCAACATCAAGAGCACTCCTGCGAGCGGATGCTGTGCCGACAGAGCAGACAATGATGCTCAGAAGCCATGCGACAAGAAGGATCAGCCCAAGAACGCGTGCTGCGAAACGTCCACTGCAGTCACTACAAAGGCGTCCAAATGCTCTGATGCTTGCTGTGACGAGGTCGAGGAAGATGCGTCCAGCAACACCGCATCGGCCTGCCTGGATCAGTTGCAGTCGGCCATGCAGCGCTTCGAGGCCCTGCTGCGTCTCGGTCAATGCCTGTGCCGCAAGATGATCGAGGAGTTCGATTTCTGCTGCTGCTGCGAGGAAGGCTCGCCGTGCAACGCGCACAAGCAGTCCGAAGAGCCCGCCACCAAGACTTTGGCAAAATCTACCGCCGGCTGTGAGGACGATTGCTGTGTCCCCACCAAGGCTGGATGTGGAGAGACCTCCTGCGCCGTGGGCGACAAATGCAAGGTCACTTCGGTCGTCAAGAGTGTCCCTGTGAAAGACAAGTCTGCCGACGTAGACATTGAGATCTCGCCAGTGAAAGACCACGTGGCGCTCAGTGTTACTGGCATGACTTGCACCGGCTGCAGCAAAAAGATGCTCAATGTCTTGGGCGACATCCCAGGCATATCGAATCCTCATGTCACGTTTGTGTCGGGCATGGCCGCGTTCGATTTCGATCCTGCTCATGGTTCTGTGGAAGAAGTTTTGCCGCTGATCGAGAAGCGGACGGGTTTCAAGCTGGGACGGATTACTGCTGATTTCCAAACGTTGGACGTACTTCTCAGCAAGGAAGCCGCTGAAGCGTATGGGCGGGAGGACCGCCTTGGGCTGGAATCTTTCGAAAAGGTGCGTGTATGCTGCTGCGAGCACTAAATGTCCGCAACCCGAAAAATTATCTACTAACGATGTGATGGTCGCGCAGGTCAAAGGAAAGAACAAGTATCGTATCACATACGATCCACGAGTCGCTGGCGCTCGCAGCGTGATGCCAAATGGAGCGGACCTGGCACCTCCCGAACCAGACGCAGCACACTCTGAAGGCCGCAAGCGACTCATTTCAATGGCATGGGCAACTCTGGTCTCCGCCATCTTCACCATTCCCGTGGTCGTTCTGTCTTGGTCGGACAATCCTGTGCCGGAGCGGACCCGCCAAATCATTTCCCTCGTCCTCGCTACCTTTGTTCAGGCTGTTGCCATCCCGGAATTCTACGTCGGTGCTCTCAAGTCTTTGGTCTTCAGCAAGGTTGTGGAGATGGACATGCTGATCGTGATCAGTATCACGGCCGCCTACGGGTATTCTGTTGTTGCTTTCGCACTTGCCGAGGCTGGGGTCGAGTTGGAGGAAGAGGCCTTCTTTGAGACCAGCTCGTTGCTGATTACATTGGTCCTGTTAGGCCGACTCATGGCTGCAGCGGCACGCGTGCGCGCTGTCTCCGCTGTCTCGATGTCGTCTCTGCAACGCGAGTCGGCTCTCCTGCTAACCACTGATGGACGAACGGAAGAGATTGATGCACGACTGTTGCAGTTCGGAGACCTCATCCGTGTGCCGGCGCATACTTCGATCGTCACGTAAGTCCCAATCTCTCCGCTCCTATTGAACCTCCGCTGATTGTGGGCAGAGATGGTGTCATCGTCGGTGGATCGGGTGCCGTGGACGAATCGATGTACACTGGAGAAAGCGAGCCTGTCACCAAATCGGAAGGCGACGCAGTCATCGCAGGCACGATCAATGGCGCTACCATCTTGGATGTCAAAATCATGCGTTTGCCAAATTCCAACAGCATCTCGGACATCAAAAATCTCGTTCAGGATGCCCTTGGAGCCAAGCCGCGAGTCCAGGACCTCGCCGATAAGGTGGCCTCGTGGTTCATCCCAGTGGTTTGCACCATCTCGTTGATCACGTTCGGCATCTGGGTTGCCGTCGCTCTGGCCGTTCGCGATGAGACTGGGGGCAGCGCTGTTGGCACAGCCATTACTTATGCCATCGCTGTGCTTGCGATAGCTTGTCCTTGTGCGCTCGGTCTCGCCGTTCCGATGGTAAGCATTTATGGTGGTGTGATTGTATCGGGTGCCCTCCAACTGACTGCTCCCAGGTCCTTGTGATCGCCGGAGGCGTTGCTGCTCGCTCTGGTGTTGCGATCAAAAGCGTTGATGCATTGGAGCGAGGCTACAAGACGACCGATGTCGTATTCGACAAGACTGGAACTCTGACTTTGGCTGATTTGGCTGTTGTGCATGAATACTCGCAGCCTGTTTCGGTTATTTCGAAAGACCTCATTGTTGCCTTGGCGAAGGCTCTCGTGACGGACAACTATCATCCCGTCTCGTTCGCCATCAGTAAACATTTGCAGGATCACCTCGCGCCCGCCGTCAAAGTGGAGGGCGTGCAATCTCTGCCCGGATCTGGTATTCATTGCACCTGGCAGGGCCGTCAGGTACAAGCAGGTAACCCGCGGTGGCTTGCAGCCAGCAATGACCCAGCTGTGATCAATATTCTGGACAAGAGTCTCACGGCTTTCTGTATGTCCATCGACAACAAGCTCATCCTCGCTTACGGTCTGCAAAGCACTCTCCGACCTGAAGCTCAGGCAGTCATCGCCTCTCTTTCCGCTCGCCGCCTCCGGTGCCACATCCTCAGCGGCGACAACCAGAAAGCCGTGCACGCCATTGCCACAGCAGTCGGCATTGATCCGCTCCTCGTTCGATCTCAATGTACCCCAGCACAAAAGAAAGAATACGTCGAAGCCCTGCAACGCGAAAATCGGATCGTTCTCTTTTGCGGAGACGGAACAAACGATGCAGTCGCAGTCGCTCAAGCAAATGTCGGAATGCAGATCGCCGCCTCCACTTCTCCAACCACCTCCGCCAATTCTCCCTCCGGAACTGCAAGCGCCGTCACACAATCCGTCTGCGACGTCACCCTCCTCGGCACTCATCATCCTCTCACCGGCATCGAATCTTTCCTTAATATCTCGAGGCGTTCGTTCAGACGCATCGTATTCAACTTCGTCTGGTCGGCTGTGTATAATGTCTTGGCCATCTTGTTAGCTTCTGGGGCATTGGTGAAGGTCAGAATCCCGCCGGCGTATGCGGGATTGGGAGAGGTGGTTAGTGTGTTGCCTGTGATTGTTGCGGGGTGGAGTTTGATGTGGTGAGTGGAAGAGAAGAGATGGGAGAAGAGGAGTGGATATTGAAAGCTGGAGGGACTGTGCGAAGATGAGTGGGCCACAGGTGAAAATCGAAGAAGGCTGTAGCTTAGCGACTCTGCCTTCTGGGGACCACGGGCAACATGCGAAAGGCCGCCCGGCTAATCATGCAGCACAATGTACACTCGTTCGTTCGGCGATTAGCACGTGAAGTACACGTCTACGACAACGTGGACCCCAGGGGTGAGTGCTCGTCTCTAATATGGTTTCTCTTGTCACTACTATTCGGGTAGTCGTGCATGTTATTCATATCTGCTCATCCTTGCTTATGCCTATAAGGCTGCCCTTGCCCCCAGCCCTATACGTATGTCTCAGGCGGCCGCCGAGGCCACGGGCACGACAATGCCGTGAAGAAGAATTTTGAAAGATCCTTCCCTTCCGGCGGTAGCTTTTGGATCTCACATGGAAACCCGGAGTCGGATATAATCTGCTGGAGAACTTGGTTGTCTCTGAGGAGCAACAGACTTGTACGCTGTCGAGACTGGCTCGGATCGACAAGGCTGCGTGATCATCCATCTGAGATTGCCCACCTGTGGCACAACCTAATGCGAGACTTCAGCTCCCTCTCCGAGCCAACAGAATATTCTCTGCTGCTTGTACTAGCGAAGGGGTATGGACAGGTGACAGCTTACTGTCAGAAACCCAACTTCGCAAGAAGTACAGAGCAGAGATCCGGGATGTAGGTTAGAGCATGAGACGTAGAAGGTCAGTTCTGGGTTGTGTTGTCAGTTCAAACGGACGCATTCAGTAAGGGCGCACGCTATTGCAAAAAGCTTCGGGGGCCTCTGTTTGGCAGGTGTCACTGCTGCCGAATTCTACAGACACAAAGGCTGTACTGTGAAGTTCATGACTCCACAAATAGTACGAATGAAAAAGGCGGACATGTATGGAGATATTGCGTTCAAAGCTGTCTTGTAGCTTGCTTAGGTCCTCTAGGAAATGTTCAAGAGAAACGCAGAAAAAGAGGCTGAACAGGCGGCCAACGACCTACTGACAAGGAATGCGGATGAGCTGGCCAGTAACAAAGTGAGGAAGGTCGTTGGGTCAATCAGAATCGAACTTGGGAAACAGGAGGGGGAGGCCACGAACCTCCGCAAGAGAGGCAACAGGAGCAGCGAAACCCGGGCCACAGTCTGATTGCTGGGTGCTCCAACGTCACCCTGGGCACGTGTGATGAAAGCTCAGGTGCCGATGCCACGAGTCGCAAGAAGGTAGCCCGATTTCGTGTGAGGACAGGAGAATGGCTAGACTTGTCTCTGTCACAAGTTTCGGCATAAGGCCAATACATTGAGCCAGGAGTGGGAGAGAAATTCCGTCAGAAACCAGCTATGCGCAAGACGGGGGTATTCTATTGTCTGCGAAGAAAGGCAGCGCGAAGACAAAGCTCTGACAATGAGGAGCATTTAGCATACTGTCTTCGAATTGCCAGCTTTCATACTGCTTTACGTCAAGGTTGGGTACAACTAGATCTCCGCCTTGTGGACACAGCCTCAAAACCACCACATGAGACTATGCCAGCGCCTGATACGATCACTGCTCATTCACCACCCTTTGGGGGCCACTCATAAGGTGTGTGGTCACCTGCGAGGGTCGCTCTGTGCCCCAAAGGCGAATATGCTATGATCCTACCACCCCAGCCGCCACGTACATAGCACAGAAGCCAATCTTTAGAGTGCAGGACAGCATCGACGAGACCATCTTTGCATTTCTTAAACACGAAGAGGTTGGTCTTCTCAAGCACCCAGTCCAGGTCACTGCCCCATTGATACCATCTGTCTCCGCACTGATAGCCCCTATAACGTTGCGCTACAAATGATGTTAGCACTCGTTCCTGTAAAGAGCCTTGTTCATGAAGAGCAGACTTACATTCTGGACGAGCAATCAGCGTCGCCTCCATTTGCTCAATGCATCGCACGAGCTCCGTGGCCTTGGCGTTGTGGGTTTCTGAGGACCAGGATGACTTCTTGGTACGTGCCGATGTGGAAGTCACCAGAGCACCAAGCACAAGCAGCAAGAGCTTCTTGAAGTTCATCTCGGGTGTTAAGAGGGGTGGTGAGGTGCTAGAGCCGAAGATCTTGAGCTTGGGTTTGCTGAGCCTTTGGGAGAGGGATCTTGGGCTTAGAAAGTCGAAGATACATGGAGTAAGATCACTGTGCAGAAGAGACGAGTCGGTACGGGGGCTTGCATTATTTATGTGCCGTCAAGAACGACAGCCGGGAGTGCGGCAAAGTCAAACTTCTGTTATCGTGTGGCCTCGTCGAATTTTGCGATCCACGACTCAATACGGCCGGCTACGATTCTTTTCGTGGTTGAAGCCGCCGTCCTGAGACTCAGTCCGTGTCATAGCCCACGAGCGAATGCGCTGACATTTCACCATCAAAGCCATACAAAAGGCAGCAAGATTACTCCTCAGCACTCAAGGTCGGATCGAGAGAATGGTACTTACATGTATCGAAGATGAAGAGGTTTGTCTTCCCCGGACGCGACTAAATTTGATGTAATCCATTCCCTGCAGGAAGAGCAGCTTCGATGTTAGGCTTTGCGACCTTCGTGAGCATAGATCAACCTTGATATAGAGAGGTATAATATGAGGCCAATTTTTGACAAAACCTTAAAGTTTCGAGCGCTTCTGCAGGTGCTATTGCATAGCGAGACCAATTCTATTGAGGCAGACTGGCTCAACTATCCTCACTGATGAATCGCAACTACATCGGCACCCAACCTCTGCTCTGCCTTCGATCTTGCTTATGCCCATTCCTCTGATATCTGGTGGCACTGCGAAACCCCTTTGCTTCTCATCTGGCGTGCTCTGGAAGGTACAATACTGCAACCCATCATGTATGTAGCCCAGATCTGAAAAGTGGTGCAATTCTCGAGGTTCGAGCAACATAGCAGCAGCGAGTGAATGTACCGCTGCATCGCCCCATCTCTCATAGTAGAAGCCACCGTCCCTGTCTAGGTATTCGAACAGTTTGCGATATGCATCGGAGCGGAAGAAATCCATATCCGCGATTTCAAAATTGCTCCAGAAGTGACACATGTTCCACAAGTCTCCTTTGCCGTCTCGATTCCGGAGCCATGCGAGTATCCAACGGAACGGCCATGGTACATACGATGCGTCAATCATTGCCACCCACAACGGAGTCGTCCAGATGCCCTGGTTGACTTTGTAGTCGGAGAGCCTGCGGAAAAGGGAAGCCACTGTCTGCCCACGTTCCCACAGCGCCATATTGTAGCCATATTTCTTCTTGTGGGTCTGCATGGCGACGAAGGGATCGTAGGTCAGGGCACAGGTGAAGCGGATGTCAGGTTCCACTCGCCAGTAGTATTTGTATCGGAGCAAAGCCGGATGATCGAAGAAGAAGCTGAAAAGGGTCAGTCACAACCGAGCGGAGGAAGAATACGACGTACCCTGATTGAAAACGGCACATGTGGCGATAGCTCTCTGAGCCACCATATTGGATACCCTGCTGTTCCATGGTGTGCATCTTAGACCTCGCCTTCTCTTGATCAATCCACTCCGGGTATCCCCACATGTCCTTCGGAATTTGTTCAAACCTCACATCGATTCCCTCGCCCACAGCATGAGCGACGTTCTCCTTGAACTCATCGCTCCATTCCACATCATTCAGAAAGACCCAAGGATAGCCGAAGTGATCATTGAATTGTTCTTGAACGCTTCGTACGCTGGCCATGGCTCCATGGACTTCGAAATTCCGGGCGAGCATTACCAACACGGCAGATGCACGAGCTGTAGTATTTAGCACGGGATCTTGACAGCCTGTGTAGAATGGCCCATCCAGGGCCTCGGCCGGGCGCTCAATAGCATGATGCCGTACGTGGAGTCCGACTTCCAGTAGTAGGAGGAATGCGATCAATCCAGTCAATTTTCCCCAGTGCAAACTGGCCGTACGATACCAGGCGCGTAATTGGCTTCGAGCAAGGCCGAGTATGGAGAGCAGCATGGCACGTGTCTATCCCATACTGTCCAAGTGAATGAATCTAAAGGCAAAAGTGTTGCTGATCAAACACATGATTCCGCGAGTCGACTGCTCCCGTGAATGTGCACAAAATGCACAAAGAACGGGGAAGTGGAGGCTCATTCTTTGTGACGCAATAAGGTTCTGGTAGAAATGACGCCGTGCATAAAGCTACAGTAGCGCCGGGGCCCACAATGGCAGATCAGACTTGGCGATCCGCCCAGTGGGTCGGCACGCCTGACGATTTCTGGGGCGAGCACAGTGAGATGAAACTCAAGCGCAACGTGGGATGTCGAACAGAGCATGTGAATGGTCGGCCAACGCAAGGAGGATGCAGACAGTTGGAAGGATCCCCTAGCTCGAAGGATTCCCTAGGGTGCCCAGATTAAGCTCTTGGCCTATGACACGCACACATCCACCAACATCCTACGCGCCAAGGCGGAGATGGGTCCACGTTGCTGTATCATTGCCGGCGTCCATTCGCGGGGTTGTGCCCTTGCATTCCTCTCATCGTCAAACGCGTTCTACGCGTTCTCTCTGCTTTTTCGATCTCCAATGCGGACCAATTGGCTGGAGGATGTCGAAGCTGCCTCTGTGGTAGTCGGCACCGCTGTGCTGTGTTCGGTCTTCGCGCAGCGTTCATTCACTCAACACTCGGGGCTTACTTCCGAGATTGTATGCTGGAGCCTACTTCCTATTTTGCTCACTACGGGCGAAACACCGGGTAGTAGTATTCCGACACTCTCTGACTACAATATCCGGGGGAAGTCCGTATGGGCCATTGCGGCATGCCTCACCATCGCATGCGCGTATGAAGAGGAGAATGGCCTGGCAGAGTTTATGGTGAGTAGCACTTTCGAAACGAGGGAAGTATACTCATGAACTGACGACGACAAGCCGCTATTGACTCCACTGTTGGTCATTGCTCAGACATGTCTCCAGTCAGAGCTTCCCGCGTTGCGAACCTCTTGCCCTGGCTTTTTGTCTCCCCTTCTTTGGGGAAGTAGCTTGGCAGCTTTGGTAGTCACCTTGTCCTCGTCCAAATGGGGCTTTGGTGGCTCACTGTTATCCCTGTTTGCAGTGTTGCCAATGCTGATAGTCTACATTGCCTTTCTGCCAAAGGATGGTCCTGCACCGCGACAACTTCCACCAATTGTGGAAAAGCATGACAGAATTGCGACTGATCTCTGCTGGAGGGTCGTGGTTCTATTGACTGTCGCCAAGGGTATCCAAGTACTTGTATTTGGTCTCGGCAAAATCTACTGCATACAAGCGCTGCTGGTCGGCGTGGCAAAGGCTTTGTCGTGGTTCTTCCTACTTCGCACGGTACGTAGCCACATTCCCCAAGCTCATAGTGAGTGCTGATAAGTCTCCCAAGAGGCGACATGTTCCATGGTGCATTGCCCCTGCAACCCGGACCTTCAGCGTGATCGCTGCTTATGATCCGTTCAAACTATCTTCAGGGACTTCTGCTCTGTTCAACGTTGTAGCCTCGGCCCTCGCTCTGGCTCAAGTCATCCATGTCCTTCCAGATCGGACGAAGTACAAACCCTATTTGTGGGTCTTGTTGCTTGCATCGCTGGCGCCCTACCTAGCGAACCTCTCGGCGGTCCGAACTTCGCAGGCTGCAACGCAGCATGCGTTCAGTGGTTCCCTCGAGCATCCTGTCGATAAATTGATCAACAATGCCAAATCAACATTCGAGGGTCTCGTTCAGCGACAGTCTAAGAGCTACAAGTCTGCCCATGAAGAATATCGAAGGAGATACGGCATCGAGCCACCCGTTGGCTTTGAGGAGTGGTACAACTTTGCAACAGCACATCAATCGCCTATCATTGACGACTTCGACACCATATACAACTCTGTCTCTCCCTTTTGGCGATTGAGCGGCAGCGAAGTCGTACAAATCATGGAGGAGGTCCAGTCCACAGCCGGAAGCGATGTATGGTCCTGCGTAGTTTCTAGTGAAGGATCAAAGACACATTGTCAGCATCCTTTCCGCAGATTCGACAGGAACATACAATATTCTTTTGAGAAGCTGCTGAGAGACTTGTCTGACAAGATTCCCGATGTCAAATTTCTGGTCAATCATCTCGATGAGCCACGGGCGCTTGTTCCACCCCAGACGCCAGGAACCAGCAATCATGGCTACGACAAATTCACCCTGAAGGACTTGTCACACCGGCCTACATGGGATATAGTCACCAAGAGTTGTGTATCCTCACGACGACATAGCTCAAGGGCACCCACAGAATCTGCGAAAGAACTTTCTCCGCTTCCCTTCGTGACGAATGTGTCGTCAGCTATGGATCTATGTTTACATGCAGAGTACCGCGATTCGTACGGTCTCTTTACACACCCAACGTCGTTCCGACCATTCGAAGGTTTAATACCAATCTTTTCAACTGGCTCGCCCTCTACAATGGGCGATATCCTCTACCCCAGTCCGGCATACCTGGAAGCTGAATTTCAATACGACGAAGCACATGACGCCAAGTGGGAGAAGAAGACGAACAATCTGTACTGGGTCGGTTCGACCACTGGCGGCTATGCTTCTGATGACCAGTGGCGCAACCTGCATCGCCAGAGATTCGTTGCCTTGGCACAGAATCTCGAACACAAGCATCATACATACTTGCAAGACGTGGGAGGCGTGGTGACGGGCGTAGCGTCAAAGTTCTTGAACGCGAGGTTATTCGATGTCGCCTTCACAAGAGTTTTCCAATGTCCGTGGAAATTTTGCAGAGAGCAAAAGGCATATTTCCGAACCAAACCTTGGGCAGACAAATACAAAGCCTTCCGTTCTAAATTGACATTCGACATGGATGGCAACGGCATTAGTGGGAGGTACTACCAGCTTCTGGCTTCAAAGTCGGTGGTTTTGAAGCAGACGCTTCTTCGAGAGTGGCATGATGATCGCTTGGTGCCTTGGGCGCATTACGTGCCCGTCAGTCAAGGTCTAGAAGAGCTACCGGAATTGGTATCCTATCTCACGACGAGCGTGAGGGGGCAGCAAAAGGCAAAAGAAATTGCAGATCTTGGTCGAGAGTGGCATGCAAAAGCGTTCCGAGAAGTTGATCTTAGCATTTATGTTTACCGATTGTTGTTGGAGATGGCGAGGCTACAGGATCCGAAGCGACAAGCGGTGCATATCTCAAAATGACAGACTCGTCTTCATCGCTCTTTTTGTTGGAAACCTCACTTCTCGAGAGAGCCGAACACGACCCCATGCTCCTGCCGGGCTGGAAATCAAAGGGTAAGATAATGGATTGCATTCATGTTAAGTGCCTTGGTTGGCTCGTCGCGGCTCCGGCACAAGGCCAATACCAAGCACACGATACACAAAGCTCATTGCTAACACTTTCACAGTCGCATCACCTCAATTAGCGTTTCAGATGAGTAACCTTTGGCGATAAGTACTACGCGGCTCGAGATCCGCGGCACATCTAAAGGCAGTGGTAATGAACTCAGACACGAGAGCTTTGATTGGCAACAGGAATGAATACCAATTGGCGGACAGTGTAGCTGGGCTACTGGTCGATTCATTGACTATGACCTGATCTCATGATACATTATCTCCCGGAAAAACCACGAGTTGCCTCCAGCATAGATCAATATCGTGCCGCCACTATCTGGACCAGCATATGTCAGTGTGGTCGTATAATGGCGAGGGACTTCTGTACTCACCAATCCATTTCTCATATCGAGGCTATTTAACAGCCAGATGGGCAGTCACAGTCGCTGTCGAATCCACCTTCACTGCAGCAAGAGGCGAAAGTAGAGAGGCGCTCGGAGATGGAGGCGGCCTGGCAATCTTGCTGATCTGGGAGATAGTTGCCTTGGAGTTGAGCGCAGCAGGACTCAGTGGCGAGTCTGTCGTTGGAGCACTTGCATGCGTTGGCGGTGAGGCCGAAAAGGGCAATGATGGCGACGGTGAAGAATTGCATGTTTGCGGTGGTGGTGCTGGTGGAGCGAGAATTGATGGTTTGTTGATTTATTTGACTGTGAAGAGTTGATAGTTCTGGGATTCTGTCTTCGTGGAGGGAGGACTGGGACTATATACGTCTTCTGCGTCGATATTTTTGCGTTCACCCTTTTTTTGCTTCAACACTGTTTCCATTGTCCTATGACACCTGTCGTTGCTACCTTCATCATCGCTATGCATCCGTTCCCGATCAAACTCTGCCAAGAAGATGCAGCCCCTCGTGGTTCGCGACTCGCCAACGACATCCCCGAGAATCCTTCGTGGTATGACGACGAAGATCCTTGCGCAGTTCTCAGTCGAAGTACACGTGCAGTCGAAAAACACGTGCAATGTTGAACTCTGAACTGAGGTTCGGGGACTGGAGTTGCCTACCTCCTACGATCGTCATTCAGCTTCGCGGTCTACGCTAGGGTCTTGGTATCACGAGCAAAGCTGCCATCGCGCGTCGGGAACTGTTGGAGATACTCGTGCTGATCTCATGTACTCCACTTGCATGCCCGGGACTGCTGTCATCCAGCTTGAACACTTCCTCACCAGGGGTCGTTGAGATGTTTCAACAAGCACGAAGCCCGAGTGAAGCGTCGCCGACGCTACTGTAGATCACTATTGGCACCCATCGTCGTCATACCTAGCACAGATGTGGACATTGAGAATAGTGTCACAAGCACCAAGTCCGTATGATTGTGTTGATACAAAAGGCGGTCCTCAAGCCGACCAAAGAACAATTATCATCCAACTCATCACAAACACTTCAAGACTTCCAACTACTTCCCAACACACCACAAATCAATCTATCAACATGCAGTTCTTCAATGCCATCATCCTCGCCTCTATGGCTCTCACTGCCACCGCCTGCAAGTGTGTCCAAGGCGGCACCAACGACGAGGCCACCCGAATCTGCTGTGGCTCCCTTGGCGGACGCTACGAAGGCAACGACTGTGTTGCAGGCACCATCTCCGAAAAGCTCTCAAACTTCCGCTCGTGCTGCATGAACCAAGACCCCAACGGCCAACTCACTTCAGACTGCGACTTCCCGACCAAGAGGGACGATGCGTCTGCGGCCATCCAGAAGCGTGCTCCCGTTGTCAAGGAGATTAAGAGTGCTGGAGCTATCATGACTGTCGTGGCATAAATGTCTCGAATAATGGTATGTCGAAAGAGGCGAGATCACCTCTGGTCATAGACTGATTGCCTGCAGAGTTGTCAAGACAAGCGAATGTGAATGCCGAAATTATGAACAGGGGTGTGTGATGGAGAGCATCTAGTGAGATGGCCGGGAATATTGTAGTAGATACCAGGTATCACGGCAAAGATAGCACGATATTCAACGCCTTCTGTTCATTTGAAGCATAGCACTTCTTCGAATCTTGCCCCATTCATCTTCGTTTGTGCTACGTGCAGTGAATGCAGACGTTGGGTGCACGAAGGATGAGAAGGATATCTAGCCTTCATAACAGTTCACAGCCACTTGGAGAGGTTGGCGTCATTGGGAGTTGGCATTGACCCACAGATCAAGTGAATTGTTGTCCCTTAGCACAAGGACCCGGAGACTTCTGAGCGAACATAATCACCGGCAACGACCAAATACACACTTTGCTGATGATTGTGGCTGTTAGCTGCGTAATTGCATGAGATTCGTGCCATTGTGCGGCGCTCTGGCAATCGCTCGCAGTTGTACGGAATCCAGTGATCCGATATCGAATAGTGCATTCCGAGAGCGCGCGGAGAGGCCTTGGCATCACAAAGGAGCAGAGATTGTTGATCACCTCTTAAGAGCAGAAAGGGAAGTGGAACTCGGGAAGAAGTCGGTACCGGTGGAGGAATTCTCAGCTCAGTACTGGAGTTCGGGCCCGAGGTCTCTTAGTAATCGCATAAGGCCAGTCCGTCTGCCTTAGGGCTTGCGGGCAAGAAGATCTCTCTCGGCCAACGACGACCTGCAAGAGGTATGGCAGACTTCGTATTATAGCGTGTGGTTGGCCGAAGGAACAATGCACGATCTTCTCCAGTAGGCTGGCAGCCATTGGCACGTGTAGGCACGAGGAATTCAAGGGATCTACGCAGAGGAGGCATTCTTGTTGGATACTGCGAACTGATTTAGTCCACTTTGGGACACAGAAGAAGAACGTACCGAGGCTAAGTCTTCTTGGGAAAAAGCTCTCGTCAGACTTCGATGGCAAGAAATCATCACAAGGCAAGACTGCTAAGCCTGCTTAGAGCAGACGTCACATCAGCATCATCCATTCCTCTGCCAATGCAATGTAGTAGACGGAGCCGCCGAGCTTCCTTCGTCCCCGCGAGACCAACACAGGAGAGCAACGGAGCCTAAATGCACCCGACTTCGTTCGCAGCTAGTGGCCAACGGAGTCTGGTCCGGGCGGCAATTGCGTGGGGTGGGAGGCCTTGAAGCACAAAAGGGTAGCGCTCCATTTCTTTACGGCACTGATGTTCGATTTTCCGGGTGGATCGACACACCTTACGCAGCCAAGGCCGGGCTTCATGTGTCTAGTGTCCTTCGCTCCTTGGCATGAATGTTGGATGACTAGTGCAATATAATGTTTGTAGCGCCATGGCATGATGGACATGGTGCAGTATCGAATCATGTTGTTGTTTTTGGGAGCTTTCGTTAGCTGTGACAGACGATCGTTGCTGGCAGAGTCGATCCACAAAATGACCTGCCTATATAGGATCTTATTGCGAGGCAGACCGCGTTCAAGTGAACGCCTCATAATGTCTGGCAGAATGCATTTGTAGGGGACGGGAGGGTCCAGACCTAGCCACGACCAGATTCCAGCGCTCGTCAGATTCCCTTGCACTGTATCACGACATGTCACACCATTCCCTTGCATCATTGAACAAGTCTGGTATTGTCCGACAGTCTTGCGATGCCTGCGGCCAATCTCACGTCCGCTGCCAGCCTCGGGAGGGCAGAGCATGTGTTCGCTGCCATGAAAAGGGCATGAACTGCAACTATTCTATCAGCAGACGTGGCCCACCAAAGCTCCCTCAATCATCATGTAAGGTCTGCGCCACATTTTCGGCTGACTCTGTTTGAAGCGTTGACTGATGGGTAACAGATGCAGCTTCACATGAGAATGGTGGCTTGCAACTATCCAGGAACGCCCATGAGGCGTTTGAGCAGTACATGTCGGCACCAGACGCCACCGAATACTTGCCGCAATCCTCCAACAGCCCCCACGATTCCGTCTTCAGCCCTTCCGTTTCGCTAGAGCAATTCAACAACTGGAACCTGCCCAACTTCGCCAATGGAGAGGGTAGCCATCGCAGCACCGCAAGCACAAACCCCATGGATTGTACAGTTCTTCAAGATCCATCCCCATCAAATGCATCGACTGGAGTGGCGCCCTCTCCAGGCCCGGCGATGATGCATTGGAATTTCGACCGGCCCAGCCAGAAGAGGCACCTTTCACAAGCGCTATGCGCCTCATGCTCGGATAGAAGTGCTAAGCTTTCACTACACGCATCACACAGCTTTTGGCCATTGGCGACACAATCGGCTCACAATTCCGAATCGACAATGTCAATAGGCATGGACGATCTGCTGGCCATCAACAGGGACACCATTGAGAACATCTCCGGAATTCTAGACTGCACATGCTCACAGAACATTTTACTGTTTGAGAAATGCTCCACGAGCATAGGGCGGGTGATCGACTGGTACGCCGGAGCATTTCTTGGCCACGACATGGTCATTGCTGCGACTGTACGAATTGGCTCGTACGTTGTCAGCTCGCCCGAGAGTCGCAATCAGGCGTCCGCTATTGTATTATCGGAAATGCACAATCTATTACTACCACTGCTGGATCGGCTTGGCACGGTGTACCAAAGACATCAAAGCATGCATGGCCCTCAGGCGGCCGGCGTTGGAGATCCTAAATGCCATTGGGCTAGAGTCAATTCTTTCTTCTGCTCGATAAGACGGAGTGCTCAGGCGACCGTATAGTTTGCACCTTACGATACGATATACAAAGATTTTAATCACAGTCATAGTGACGAATCACGAACAGGTTGTACAGTTTTCTCTATCTGCGAAATGATCTTGTGCATATCTCAGGTCCGCTCCTTGTGATCGTTCCTGACACATCACCTGAAGTCAGAAAGAGCAGATGGCGAGGAGAGTGATCTGAAACACGACGGCATTCCTGGCGTAGCAATTTCTCTTACATTAAATGCGATCGATCTATCTTCTGAGCAACTCAGTCTTGCAGGAAAACATCAAATTGCACTCCATGGCCCCCTCGACTCTTCTACCAATCTCATCAGCTACATTGCGCACCTCCGTGCCACCACATCCTTCAGAGAGCTGTGCCGATGATGCGAGCAAGCTTCGAAGCACCACGCCTCATCATACTGAAATGATGCTCATCCTCAATCGTGTGAACGTTGACTTCATGATCTTGTAATAGCCGCGCCCACTTTCCTGCCCCGAAATCAGTCCTTCGCTGCGTGAGAAACTGAATGCCTTCCATTTCTGAGAGAGTGAATTGTTTCGTGTCTGGCAGATCTCGGTATTTCTGATCGTCAAACGCGCAGGCTCCAGCCCAGATGATTGTCACAGAAGTTCGAGAGCCCTTGACCGAAAGAGGCAGGGGCTGGGCGAGATAGTCGTGGAGCAGCTCGATAGTGGCATGGAAATGCGGTATGAGCCATTGCGGTGGAACGGGCGCCACCATTGCAGGTGATCGTCGTTCGTTAATCTCAGACTCAAAGATACCAATCTTGGAGCAGTGATCAAAAAACTCCTGGGGCAACCTGTCAAGTCCATGTGCGGGAGAAGGTGAGTCGATCAAGATGATACTGGCGACCTCTTCGTTTGCTGCCAGCAATCTGGACGCAAGGACATAGGCGATGACACCGCCAGCAGACCACCCGCCTAAGTGATAAGGGCCAGCAGGCTGTCGTTGGCGTAGGGCAGCGAGGTAAATTTCCAGCAAAGCGTCCAGTGATGTTCCTTGCATCAAATGCGGTTTTCTGTCACATGGTAAGCTACAATCTGAATTGGAGACGATCAAAAAGATCTGAACATACCTCATGAAAGGGGAGTCGAATGCTACGACAGCCCAAGATTGCGATATCGATGGAAGTTTCATATATGATGTCGCTGAGCCGCCGCCATCAGGAAAAAGGAACAATCGATGAGTAGATGTCTCCATATTGCCTGCGTACGTCAGTATCTGCAATTTGCGCATCGTGCAAGCTATAAACGTACCCTGAATAATGTACGACGCCGCGGTCTGCGGCTCAAGTGTTGCATTCCATGACTTTTCGCCGAGAATGACTTCTGGAGGTGTCAATGGAGTCTCGAGAGGTGAGAACTCTGACAGTGGCCACGATGACTTCGAAGAAGAATTGTCCGATGGCGATTCCGAGACTGTGTCATCGGTGTGATCATCGACATGTCCAGCCAACTCCATGATACGGGCTTTCAAGCAGCCCAGGGTATCGCACTCCGCGTACAGTGAGACATGCGGAAGATCTATATCCAGTTTTTCTCGCAATCGACTTGCTATGACGAGCGATAGGAGAGAATCAACGCCAAGATCCGTTAGACTGGTGCTATCTAACAAATCTTGGATTAGAGTTCCTGCTTCTTGAGAGATGATCTGAAGTATCGTAGGCCAAATGGTGTCTGTTGGGGCCGGGGCAAGCTGGGTACTTGTATCCAGGTCGTTCATTTTTGAAGAAGCGTTCAGTCCATTCATGTAGGTTCGAAGGGCACCCACACTGCCCAGCTCCAGAAAGATGGAGTTGCTGAGTTCAATTGCCAACTCGCTCCGAACTCTGCTGACGATCAGAAGAGAAAGCAAAGAATCTACGCCCAGATCATCGAACCCTCGACCATCGATCAGTTCTTGCAGAGGGACGCCACTCTCTGAAGAGATGATTGCCAACACAGCGTCAAAAGAAGGCACCTGTCGCGTCAAGTGGGTAGCAACCACCTCAGCTTGGGCTGTTCTGGCAGCAATATTGGAGGATCTCTTCGGCTTGACGATTCCACATGCTTCTGCCGCCTTTGCATGAGCGGTGTTGACAATGTACTCCATGAGTGTTCTAGGTACTCGTTGAAGCTGAATATGATCAGTACTCGTACAATGTGTGCAGCCCGAACGTTTTACTTACCGCAATTCCAGCGAACTTGGCGACAAACTGATCTCCATCGAATATCGCGACATCACCCGTCCACAGCTTATCAGAGCCTTCGACCATTTTTACATGGCTCCGATAGCTCTTTCTGGGATCGATGTGGTCGAAGACTTGTAGTGACCGCCTGCAGTGTGTTAGTCTGAAAGTAGCGTGCTCGTCAACGAAACGGACTTACCAGCCATGATTGACGTAGATCTCATCGTTCAGATCAGTGCCCTCGTTGGCCTATAATCTTCATTAGCCTTGTCATTGCAAACAAGAGTTATTGCAGAACATACGTTCATCACAAAGCCCCCAAGCTGGGATAAAGCGTCGATACAAGCTGGATGAGTGTCGAAGTCGCCACCAAGAAGCTCGGGGTTTCTGAATTCAATTTTCCCGGTCGCCTCTAGTGCAGTATTGTCCATGACTATCTCAGTAAGGCCTCGGTAGTCATTGTGGAAGTCTGCTACTTGAGCCACCATCTTGTAGATCATGGACTTGCTGAACCGATATGTCTCACTGTTGGCAGCTTCAATCTGCTTGTAGAGTGCCTCTACGCGGGCTAAGACGTCAGGCGAAGACCTTGTTGCCAGATCGTATGCGGTGCCAGACTCGTGGAGTCGGATGATGCAATGAGCATGCTGCTCGGGCTCCTGGGAAGACTCAGTCAGACTTGAGAATGTGCAGCGAGCTGATTTGCTCATGCGATCAATCGCGACTTCTGTTCGCAGTATCTGGGATCGCCCGCCAGAGATTGCCACCAGAGCGCTTTTGATGTCCATCTCAGCGATTTCTACCATGGCATTGGGCTGCATGAAGACGTGCTGCTTCAGATGCTGCCCCAATGTCAAGGCAATGTCTGCATATACCGATGGAGTGCAAAGCGGGACCCCGTAGACTTTGTGTCCTTGTACAACGGCATCCATATCTTCACGATTGAGATCAGACTCCACTATCAACTTCCCAGCCGAAGTGTGTAGTGTGTCAATCAGGACCTTATGGATTGTCGTGCTCGGTCGCAATGGTACACCGGGCGGCTCAGCAGCCTCGCCCTTACGGAGCGACCAGTCATTGGTATATTGTATCCAGTAGTCACGTAAGTCCCAATTGTAAGGGGGAAGAGATATCGTATCAAGACCAGGACTGAAGGTTTGATGATACTCGTTCCAATTGATGTTGGCTCCTTTCCCGTACAGCGCGGCCAATGCCATTGACAACGGCCTTGTGACGGCCTCGCCCTGCCGCATGGAGACAAACGTCTCTGTTGAGGACCCAATCACTTCCTTGATCATGTTAACTGTCACGGCGCCCGATCCAATCTCTATGCAGATCGTCCGCTCATCGACAATTTTCTGCCCTCGTGCGGCCTCTAAGGCTCGTTGCATTTGCACAGGCTCACGACAGTGGGCTACAGCAAAGGTGCTGGAAAGCTCTGAGGGTATACCCGCAAAGGTCGGGGAGATGACTGGCAGCTTCTGCTTGACGAATTGAACATTGCCAGACAACGCATCCAGATCCTCCAGTATTGGGTCGACCTGGGCAGTGTGGAAGGCGTAAGGAAGTGGAAGATGCGTCGATCGAACACCCTGCTCTTGCAGTCTAGCGTGCACTTGCTGGAGCTCGTTTTTGGCTCCACCAAGAACGACGCTTCTGCGTCCATTGACGCAGGCTATCTCATACTTCAGACCCGAGGTATGTAGTAGAGCCGCAACGTCGGCGGTCGAAGATTTCACAACAAGCATGCCGTGGCTGCCACGGGCACAGTGTCGCTGCATCAAAGCTGCTCGGTTGCCGACGAGATAGATGACATCGAACTGAGAGAGCACACCCGCGGCGTAGAGCGAAGGATATTCCCCGAGGCTGTGACCCACAACAATCGTAGGCTCAATGCCGAATGATCGCCACAATCGCACAAGAGCCATTTGGAGACAGACTGCCGCTAGCTGCAGTGTCTGTGGAGTTGCAGTGTCCTTCGATTTATCGTCTTTGAATAGATCTAGGATCGAAAGGAACCCCATACTGAGACAGATCCTGTCGTAGACCTCGATATCGTTTCGGAAACCGGATACTTGGTCGAAGAAGTCTATGGCCATCCGAGGGAATTCGGAGCCTTGACCAGCAAAAGCGAACAAGATCTTTGGTGGTGGCATGCGTCGGGCATCTGCAATACTGTCCAAAGACAGTCGCAGTTGATGCTCGATGTCTCGCAGGTTTGATCCCGCAATCGCAACGCGCAGCGGGTGATGTAGGCGGCGTGCAGTGGTGGTATATGCCAACTTCGGAAGTATAGATGTATCCGAAAGGTTCTGCTGTCCGATCCAAGCTATTGTTGCGAGCAAATTTTGACGAAGAGAGACAGGAGTCTTGGCCGATATGACAATGGAGTGATGAGACTGAGGGAATGGCGTGAATGCCGTTGATGGCAAGGGCGGGTCCTCAAGGATGAGTGTTGTGTTGCCACCAGCAGCAGAGAAGTTGTTCACCAGCACCCTTCTAGAACCTCCCTCTGGTCGTGTCCAGCTGACCGTCTCGGTTGCAATTCGCACATTGTGAGATACAAGACCTGGCAGCTTGGGGTTGATCCTAGTTTTGATGCCGCAGTGAGGTGGAATTGTATCATGATGGAGCATCAAGAGGGCCTTCGCGAGACTTGTAATGCCAGCAGCTGCCTCGCCATGGCCGACATTAGCTTTTGCTGAGCCGATGTATAGTGGCTCTCGGGGAGATCGGGCACCCTGAGGAGCGAGGCTTGCCAGGACAGAGTTGGTTTCAGCTATGTCACCAGCCTAGTAGGTGAAAAAGTCAGTAATGGAAATTGCCGTAGAGATTCTGTGAATGCTGACCTGTGTCCCTGTTCCGTGCATCTCAGCGTAGCCGATGCTGCGACCAGATACTCCGGCCTCTCGAAGCACTTGGTCGATTAGCTCCCGCTGAGCGCCCACATGTGGTCGAGTGATCGATTCTGCTTCCGCAGAATGGTTCGTGGCGACTGAAAGAATACAGGCCTGGATCGGATCGTGGTCTACAAGCATAGTGTTAGGATAGCCTTGACAAAAGACTACTTCACTTACCGATCACAGCGTCCTCAAGACGCTTGAGCACAACCACGGCCACTGCCTCTCCGCGACAGTAACCATCTGCAGTGGCATCAAAGGTCTTGCAATTTCCTGTACGAGACAAGAAGTGACCTCTGTCTAATCCGCAGTGCATGTCAGGATTGGTCAGAATATTGGTCCCGCCAACTACGGCCATATCGATCTCTTGACGCCACAGAGCATTACAGGCCAGCTGAATGGCTGTGAGGCTTGAGCTGCATGCTGTATCAATTGAATAGCTTGGACCACTGAATTTGAAGTGATAGTTCAAACGGCCTGTACATCCTCGCGTCAGTCGTTTGAATAGAGCAGAGATTTTCGTACTCACCTGGTATGAATGCTCTGTTGCCACCAGGTATGAAATATGCTGCAGTTTAAGAACACGATCAGCTTGTGGTTTGGTGTTTGAACGAGCATGAACATGCTTACTGTCTACATTCTGCGCCGAATTCGTCTCCATCCAATCATTGGACGTGACTCCGAAGTAGACACCCACTCGGTTATGCTGTGTACTTGGAGTGCGGCCGGGCACAATTCCTGCTTCTTCTAGCGCTTCTGTAGCACACATAAGTGCTATACGTTGAGCAGGGTCCATCTGGGGCGCCTCCCGGGGCGATACATTGAAGAACTTTGCATCGAAGGCAGAAGCATCTTCTAACCAGCAACCATAGCCTGTGCCGCTAACGTTCTTCTCGAGCGACGAGGACTTCGAAACATGGGTTCGAGCATCCCAGCGGGACTCTGGAACCTGTCGGTGCGTATCAATGCCGTGCAATAAGACGTCCCAGAAGGCGTCCATATTCCTCGCCCGTGGGAATCGACCAGAACAGCTCAATATGGCGATTTTTGATCGTGCTGCACTCCTGGGACGCTGTCGCTCTTGTAGTCTTTCCAAGAGAGTTTCCATACTCTCAGCATTTCGGATTGTCAATGCATTGTGCAGGTTGGCACGAATTGCCGACTCCAGTCGCTCGGGTCCGCCCAGCGCAACAGGCTGGAGTGAGAATTGTGAGACGGACCCCATTGAGCCTATGCAAGATACTATAGCAGGACCCAACATATCGTAGCGTACGGTCCGCAGTAGACAGTCCCTGACCGCTGATTGTAGAGCATCCATGAAAGTCTTCGCTGACACGATCTCGCCGGTAGCACTAGAGATGATCGGTATGCACAGCTTTGAATCTGTGAAACCAAGTCCTGGAGAGGAAGTGCCATTCGAGGCACTATCAGAGCGAATGATCTGATCGATGTCGCTCTCGGAATATAGATGGGCAGCGTGATACGGTGCCTGTACCGGAAGCTCAACACTCGAAACGCCCAGCGGCGATAGTGTTGATAAGAAGTCGCGCAGCGTATGTGGCGCCGCCGAAACATTAACCTGATGTTGCGAGACGTAGGCAGAGATATATGGCGTAGATGGGATTTGTTTCTGATACTATTCATTAGCAGTGCCTTGCCTCTTGCCTTGATTCCGGCTTACATCAAGATCATCCACTTGTTTTGTGATCGTTTCGACATCCTTCACCATAACGGCTGCGGTCCACGATGTATATTTTCCAGACGATTCTCTGCAGTTCGCGATCCGACTGCCCACATCAGCTGCCAGAGTGCCAATTCGGAAGGCCACTGCCACACTTTCTTCTCCGAGGCAGAGCAGTTCTCCCACGTTGGCCGAGAAGCTGACCGCTGCGGCAGATATGAGTCCGGTGCAAACTCCAGTCAAACATGCTGTAGATGGCCTTGGGAAGGGTTTGCACTCTGCTCGGTAGCCGTGATTTGCAAGGAAGACTCCAATCTGTGTGAAGCAAGTCAAGGCCTGGCACAGTCCTGGTGTCAATGTACCATCTCGCCAGTACGGTAGGAGGTCAAGGAGTTCAGCAAACTTCGGAGATTCTGCTCTCTGCTCTGGTCCCAAATCCGCGAGCTCTTGTTGTAATCGTTTTGTTACTCGATGAACAAAGTCTGTGAGTAGAAAGTCGTCCCAATGGAGTAAGATCGACAGTAGTGCCGTAGCATCGTAAGTCTGGTCTCCGAATGCGTAGACCACGATGTGAGTTGGTTCCATGGCGACCGAGTGACCTCTGCGCCGGAAACGAAACAACCTCAAAATGAGAGCTCAGTATAGTTTCTTGGGACAAGATGCAATCTGCAACTATATTCACACGTGATGGAATTGCCTCTTGCATCACGCGGCGCAACGTGCACGCCACGAGGGTCTGGCATTGCGTGTGGGAACTTTTGCACATCTCCTAGAGGCGTTCGTCGGATCTCGATCAGATCGTCGTGCTTCTGCGGGCTGTTGGGAGTAGGATGTGGTGCGATCACGAGGCCCGATAGAGGCCCGATGAATCTGGCATAGGATCCCCGAAGCTAGCATAGCTTGCCAAGCCCCTAAGCATTGCAGCGTGGTAAGGCCACCAGTGCTGCTACCCTCGATCCTTCGCCCAGACATGACATACACGTGAAGCGTGCCTGACGATCTTGGTCCCCTCCCTGGAAGCTGTAGAAGCTCCTCCAAAAATTTCGCTCCGAATTTGTCGAATGTGAGGTTCCAACGTTGACTACTCACGTTCCCTCATCAGGCATGATGAACCACAGTATTGACCAACAGGCCATTGGCGACGCCCTCGTAGCAGTAATTGCTAGTGGCCATAGCCTACTTCACCAAATTCACCTGAATGATGCTTCAAGTCCCATCTCGATAGCTCGAAAGGCACTCATAGAAGATGCTTCACGGCTCATAGATCTCGTCAGCCAACAGCAAGAACATCCACGTATGCTGGCAGCGAAGGTAGGCGATGCAGTCTGACGATGAGGAGACTCCAGGGCTGACAAATTGACTCTGATAGAAGTATAACGGAGTCGAGCTCGACCCGCAGATCAACGGAACGACAGTGCTCCAAAACGGAACAGCAGCGAGGCAAGAGTGCAATGGTGATACTCCAACACTGAGGACGAACATCACAAATAACATAATTGAGCCTGTCATCATCATCGGTGCCGGGATAGGAGGATTATGTCTTGCTCAAGGCTTGCAAAAAGCCGGTCGAGATTTCCTGGTGCTTGAGCGTGACGCCTCATTACACGATCGACCTCAAGGATATCGGCTAAAGATCGAACGCAATGGTGCTCAAGCACTAAAGTCGGCTTTGACAGAGACTTGCTTCCAGAAGTTTGAAGCGACATGCGCAATCACGACTTGCGGACAGACTGACTACAACCCGCTGAACGGCCAGATCACCAAGAGTCGAGCAGGCAGTGGGCTAGCTGGGCAGCAGGGCCTGGCCGCAACATATACCGTCGATCGAGGAGTATTTCGTTCGATACTCACGACTGGAATTTCTGACAAGATCACGTTTGACAAAGAGCTTCTCTCCTACGACGTGATCAACGAAGGCCGCAGCATACTTGCAACGTTCAAAGACGGATCTCAAATACGAGGAAGTTTCCTGGTAGGAGCGGATGGCATTCGATCCTCAGTGCGCAGAAAAATGTTGCCCAAAATGAAATATGTCGACACTGGCGCCATGTGTATCTACGGAAAGACACCTATCACGCCATCACTCGAAGCAGAGGTCCCACCGAAGGCGTTGAGGTGGATGACTACATTCGTGGACAGCGCACCACTAATACAGTCCGTGCTCATCGGAGACTCGCCACTGACACTAATATCAGAGCCTATAAGATGGTCGTCGGGGAGCAGAGCCCTGGGGCAAATGCCAATGGACTACGTGTATTGGGCTATGGTTGGCCGCAGGGAGCTGTTTACGGATAGCAAAAGCACAAAGGCATATTCAGCATCCGAAGCATCGAAACTCAGCCTGGAAGTGACCAAAGAGTGGCACGACTCCATGAATGCGCTCATGAGGTTGCAAGACACCGAGCAATGCTCAGCTGTCCCCGTCGTATCCGCGATACCAGAGATCCCGACTTGGCAGCCATCGGAGCGAGTGACTCTGGTAAGTGTCATTGCGCCCATCACTTGTCTCGTGCTGCAACAATACGCTGATCATCTTTGCCAGCTCGGCGATGCCATTCACGCGATGTCACCATGCGGAGGTAAGCAAGCCCGCGGGAATGATCGACAGCAAGCTGATGCCAAGACAGGTGTAGGTGCCAACACCGCGCTAGTAGACGCAGCTGAGCTGGTTAAGCTCTTCGGGGACCCGAAGAGGACGGGACCTAGTGGCATCGATCCTACATCCGTCTCCATTGGGAACTACGAAGCGTCAATGCGAGAGAGAGCTCGTGCTATGATCATGCGAAGTTTTGTCGGGTCCAAAAAACTGTTTGATCAGCGTCCTTTCGAGGAGTGCCCCGCAGTGGAGTGGTAGTTGTAGCTCGCAATCAGTAAACATGGTGGTGACATCGTTCTCACCTGGGTCAAAGGACCGAGAAGATAGCCTTTAGTGATAGCTTGCCCGTGTTCGAATGGAGCACATACAACGTAACTTGTTTGACCCTGTTCAGGTCACCAAAGGCCATCCTTTCAACGATCATGCATACCCGCAATGAAGATACTAGCCTCTATGAGCTTATTGCCACACTAGCTTGCAACGTGGGTGAAGTCAACAGCCATCTACGCAAGCACAATTTACCGGGACTCTCGTATGGTGAGAGTCATCCCACATTACCTGAGAATGCCGACTTCGCTTCTTATGGCGAGTCTCGAGCTGCTGCCATCGAGGCCGCCGAGAAGATTTTGTACACGTTGAGAGGCCCACGTGAGGTTCTTCTCGACATCTCGTTCCAGGTATGCGTCTCGTATGTGTTCATTCTAGTTCCCTACTGATCAATCACAGCATTGCGCATCTGCTTCATTACAAGTCATTCAACATTACGAAATCGCACATCACATCCCACTGCAGGGCACTACTACATACGCGAAAGTCGCCGAGAGTGTGGGGAAAGGCATCGAATCGTCGCTTGTTCAACGAGTAGTGCAGCATGCTATCACATATGGACTGTTCCAAGAGAACGCTGCCGGCGAGGTCGGTCACAACAACACATCGGCCTTGCTGGTAAAGGACCCAGATCTCGAGGTAAAGTGTAATCATTTTCCACAAGGCATTGTTTTCATCTAACATTTCTCTTGTTCCAGGCATGGCTGTACCTTTGTACCAATGTAGCATATCCTGCCGGAGCACAGATTCCCAGGGCGTTGGAGCTGTACGGTGCTAGCTCAGAAGCGGACGAGACAGCATATTCAGTCTCGATTGGCAGAAAGATTTCTCAGTTTCAGCGTTTCCGGGAGCCGGACGGAAAGGCCTTGTACAGCATGTTCGGGAAAGCCATGAAAGGCATCTCAGCTGGAGGAGCATCCGGTATTAGCCATGTTGTTGATGGATATCCTTGGCATCAGTTCTCTACCACGACGGATCATCTCATCGTCGACGTAGGAGGCGGCATGGGACACGTTGCTATTGAGCTCGCCAAAACCCACGACACTCTACGCTTCGAAGTTCAAGACCTGCCCGAGACAGTCGAAAGTGCCGAGAAACAATGCCCACCAGAGTTCAGAGACAGGATTGATTTTCGAGCGCACAATTTCCTCGAGCAGCAACCGGATCATAAGGCAGCCAGTATCACCTACTTTGCAAGATTCATTCTGCACGACTGGAGTGATAAGTATGCTTCGCAGATACTGGAAGCTTTAGCGAAGAGTATGCGACCACAAGATCGCTTGATTGTCAATGAAGTTGTGATTCCGGAGCTGGGCACATTACCCCGCGGCGTTGAGAGACGACTACAGTAAGTTATTCACATGTAAAGTGTAACAGCATGCTGACCCTAGTGATGTCAACAGTGATCGAGATTTACTGATGCTCATGAACCTGAACGGTCGCGAGCGTACCCTATCGGTATGGAAGCAATTGTTTGACTCAATCACGCCGACACTGCAGCTAAGGAAGATTTACCGGCCCACCGATGGCGAACTTTCTTTAATAGAGTTATCTTTGAGTGATGGACAAGGACAACTCAACGGTAGTCACTAGACCTCTTTTCGCCTACATAGAATAGCGTAGAGGAGGGAAGTGTCCAAAAGCAGGTTTCGATGAAACCTGGCCCTACAAACACGATTGTTCGAGACCGGCTGCTTGCTATGCATATTTATGATCACTCCAATTTCGGGTCAGAAAGGCATCAGGTCTCATCATTACTAGCGGCAGCGCCATACATCAATCAATTTAATAAAGTCGCTCAATGGTCAATCTGCCTCTGGTGAATTGTGTTTATGTATCACATCCCTGCCTTGCACCGGCCTACTAATCATTGAGCAATTGAAGCCGCCTCTCATTTCGTGGCATCAGCTGAATTTTGAATGGTTTCGGAGGTCGGAATGCAGTGTCCTCCCACGCATCACCAGAGATATCGACCTCTTTGCTCGCGGTAGGCGGAGCTATTTGAAAACACCAAAGAACATGTGCCAGTGCCAGGTTGAGTGTATTTTCCGCCAACCTAGATCCGGGACAGATGCGTCTGCCGGCTCCAAAAGCATAGTGCTCTCTTTGTGTCGGATCTGCCATTGCTGCGTACTCGGCAGAGTACTTCTCGTGGTTGATAAATCGTTCCGGCTGAAAAGCCTCGGGATCAGCGTATCGAGAAGGATCGTAGTGGATCGCCCATGTGTTTCCCAACACCACTGTGCCCTTGGGAATGACCCAATCTTTATAAACCACATCGTCTGAGCCAAATTAGTCAATTCCAATTGCATTTCCAGTCAAGCCACTTACTGTCTGTGTAGTGCTTGACACCCCATGTAGGAATCGGATTCAATCGTAGAACTTCTTTCACACAAGCGCGTACGTAAGGCAATCTTGGAATATCCTCAAAGCATGGCGGTCTGTCGTCTCCGACAACGTTATCTAGCTCCTTCATCGCTTTGGTCTGGCAAGTCGGATTGGCTGCAAGGTATAGAAGCAAATTCAAAAGAGTAATCGACGTGGTTTCGGAGCCGACCTCGACTAGTCCTATGGTTGTTGTTAGCCACTTAGTCAACGTCCGTCATTGGCACACTCTTACCGCTCGCAACCCACGCAGCATCACTCTCAGTCAATCCGTGTGCTGTCAAATCCTGATGCAAAAGTTCCTTTCCAAAACATTCTGGAGCAGTGCCACTACATTGCTGTTCTCGAAGAATGTTCCATAGCCTCATCTTTGCAGCATGAACGGGAACAGCAAGCCGGGTTGCCTCTTTTCTTGATGGCTGTAACCAACTAGGTAGCATAGCCAGTAAAGGAATCTCATCCTCGATGAAGTAGCCAGGCCGAGAAATCTTGCCCAGGATTGCTCTCCCTTTCAGCATGTGCCGCACATCTTCATGGTCCCAACTCGGGATTCGTCGACCATACGTCGCCATCATCATAAAGGAGAATGACATTCTCCGGATGTGATCTTGAGGATCGATATCCTGCGCCGGCGTGCACGCAAGATCGCGAACGAGGTGTCTGATTTCGACCAATTGAGCAGGGAGGAATGTTTCTGTCATCTTTGGCGACAGAAGCTGGTGAATGACTGTACGATAAGCCCTCCACTTGGTACCATAAGGCCTAAGAAAGACATCCGATCAGCATACGGTGCAACAGGTTTTGGGACCTCAACTCACATGGTGAACATCCTCATGCCTCCCGTGATAATGTCATGCCCGACCGGGGCAGGTACTTTGGAGGAGGTCGATGCAGACTAGTTGGGCAATGGATGAGTACCGTATGATTTCCGATCACGCTCTTCGCTCACCTGTCTGCCGAAGATCTCCTTCATCGCTTCAGGGCTGTTGATGACCACCCAATTGTACCATCCGATGCGAATCTGGACTAGCTCGCCGTGATCCAGAGCCCATCGACGCATGACTTGATGTGCTCTGGGCGGAAGCCCGAATCTGATATTGAACGGCCAAGCCCCTGCTGGACCTGGGATACTCTGCAAGCGGCTGTGACTTTTCCATCTCACCCATGCCAGAAACAGTGCGGCTGCAAGCAGGAAAGCGACTGGCAGCGTGTTGATTTCTTCTCCACCTGCGAAGAATAACATCTTTGCGCTCAAATTTCTCGGAGAGACAAGTAAAAGCTCCCTCTTGTTACGATACTACGCCCAACAAGGGATTGGGAGTTGGAGTCGCCTTCTTGGCGTCAGTGATGATAAAGTGCCTGGTCGATCAAGCGTGCTCATACAAGGACATATTTGGCACAGGCTGCACCTGTACCCCAGTATGGACACCTGATTGGCCACTCTCGATGAAGATCTTCCAAATGCGCCTACGAGCTCCAGTGAAGTTCCTGCATAAAGCCAAGGCATGATCCTTCGTAGTTCAACTTTAGCCCGCTCGGGGCCCGAAACCCAACCCGAGCCAAACAAGACGACTCTGAGGAACGTCAACGGATCATCTGGTTATGCAGGGAACCATGTCGATTTCGGCAACGAATTCTCGGAGCGTAGGTCGCAATCGCAAATTCGTGGCAGTCGCCCCATCGTCCATCCGAGCAGACACACCGACGGAAATGCATTCGCAAGCATTAGATCTGGCCCTCGACCTGCAGCGACGCGCGCAAGACCTCGTTGATGCGTTGCAGAAACACAAAAATGATCCCGAAAATGTACAAATCGTGGAAGCGCAGTCTCACGTACGACAGTCCATGAGAGCGTTCGAGCGGGAGACCCTACAGCCCTGCGACTTTCTGTCACAGATGGGCATTCAACAACAACTATTCATGTGTATGCATTGGCTGTGCTACTTCAACGTCGTCTCCATAGTACCAACAGGACATGGCGAGTCGATCAGCTACGATGATTTGGCTCAAAAGGCCAACGTTCCCCTCACCACGATGAAGTCGGTCATTAGAATGGCAATGATATACGGAGTCTTTCGGGAGAACCCCGATGGTACTCTCCAACATACGCATCTTTCGTCTGCTTTCGCGACAGACTCCAATGTGTCCAATTGGATGATGTACATGGCAAAAGAGACGGCACCGACTATAGCGCATTTTATCAAAGCCACGGAACGGTGGCCAAATTCGGAGAACAAATGCGAGACTGCTTACTCGCTTTCGAGAGGGACAAGTCTTGCTTTCTTCGATCACATCAATCTTGTTCCGGAGCGAGCGAACGAGTTTGGTACCTACATGAAAAGTCAAGCTGCGAATAGAAAAGGCACAAGTGTGGACTCGCTTGCGGCAGGGTTCGATTGGGGGGGTCTCGGGAGAGCAACTGTAGTGGATGTCAGTTTCCCTGCGGTTGCAGTACTCCATCATGCTGACAGTTGGTGACAGGTCGGTGGTGGCGGCGGCGACGCTTCCGTCTCTCTCGCACAGAAGTTCAGCCTTCTCGATTTCGTCGTTCAAGATCTCCCAACTGCTATCGCAACAGCACGAAAGCGAGCTGACTCGCTGCCGACCCAAATTTCACTCAGGATCAAGTTCCAAGAGCACGATTTCTTTGATGAACAGCCTGTGAAAGGAGCAAGGGTATATCTGTTGCGAATGATCCTGCACGACTGGCCAGACAGCGATTGTGTCAAGATCTTGGAGCAACTTTCGGCATGCACGGAGGCTGGAGGACGCATCGTCATTATGGACATGGTCTTACCACGGCCAGGATCGATTCCATTAGAGCAAGAAGCTGGCTTGCGTCAGAAGGACCTGGTAATGAAACAGAACTTTAACGCCAAGGAGCGGGAACTAAAGGAGTGGGAGTCTCTCATGGCAAAATCTGGCCTGCGTATCAAGGCAGTGAAGATGCCAGCAGGCAGCCAGCTTTCTGTGCTAGAGGTGGTTGCGGTCTGAGGTGTGGTTAGAAGTCTCACTATAGAGGAATGATCACAGTGCACCTGATAAACCTATAACTTGAGAGAGCTCTGTCCTTGTTCCATAGTCAACTTGAATCCACCACGAACCTGCTTCTGGAACATTTGCTCAGGATCATACTTCTTGCTGATCTCGATCATTTCTCTCACCACCTTCTCACCCCTTCTCTCAATTGGCTTCTGCCATCCGTCTGCATAAGTCATTTGCACATAATCTCTTTGCAGTCCCCAGCTGCTCGCTACCTCCTCCGCCTTCTCGAACAAAGCTTTCACAGCACTCGTGATGGCATGGTCTAAGTGAGCAGTCTCGTTACCGACACCAAGAGCAAAGTGTACGTTGAACATTGGTCCCTGCGAATGCAAAAGGCCAAGTGAATTCAGGTTCGGATCAGAGCTCGATCGTGTAGGGATGGGCTGGTAAGAAATGGAGAGTTGGAAAGACGAGATCCCGAGAAACTGCGTGTGCTGTCAGCACTGATTGAAATTCGGTCCACAAATGGTGCTTGGGCTTACTGGTTTCACTGCCTTGAAAGTCAGTTGCCAAAACTCCTCCATCATGCGTGCTGAGTTCCCGAAGCTGATCGATGCGAAAGTCCAGCGTTTCTTCTCTTTCAGAAGAGAAGCATACTCACGAGAATAGCTTGTCATGTTTCCGATCCTTAGAGAGTCAGTCGGTGTGCCGGGGAAGACGGGATGCCTCTTGAGGTCGAGCAGACGTTCGAAGGGACGAGGCCTGGCAGCGAGTGCGACGTGTGGATTGGACTGAGTACACTGGTAGCTATTGCCCTGCGAATATGTCAGGCTGACGTACGAGATTGGAGGGCAAAGTGGACACGGTGACTTACAATGAACCAACTTCGCATTTCACCATTGATCACCATCGTTGTCAGAAAGTGCGTATGTTGATCGTAGTCTGAAACTCATTGTCGTCAGCAAGTGAGTCTCGATGGGTCGGCCCCTGTGACAGACCTTCTATGAGATTCTCCAGGCGCTGGAAGATCTCTTCCCGTTGCTCAATACGGTGAAATGTTTGGCCTCCCCAGAATGGACCCTGATCATGCGTCCTCAAGGTAATGGCAGTGGCAATGCCGAAATTGTTTGAGCCTCCTCGAAGAGCTTTCCAGAGATCACGATGTTCATTCGCATTGGCATTGACGATTCGGCCGGAAGACAGCACGACCTGAACAATAGTCAATCACGGTCGCCGACAAAATGAAGTTCTCTTCTGAAGGGTGAAGTACCTGGAAGTTCTCGACATTGTCACATGCGAAGCCATGCTTGGAGCTAACATAGGATATCCCACAACCGAGGACAAGACCTCCAACACCAACGCCCGCAACACGACCACCAACGACAGTAAGATTGAGCGGGTCCAGTTGCTCATAAAGCTGGTCCCACTTTGTTGCAGGCGAGACCGTGATCGAGCTCTGATCTTCAGCAAGTCCCTCCGACGGCATCTTGGAGAGATCGATAACGATGCCATCATCGAGCGTTGCAGCTTCGCGAAATGGAGTGTGCCTTTATCGAGTCAGCGCCCAATGCCTTTCGACAGTTTGAACGAGTTCATCGTCGCTCACCCTCCGCTCTTGATGGCGAACTGGCATTTCCCGGGCCACGTCTTCGCACCACGAGCGAGAATCTGTGTGGCTTTCGAAACAGCCTCCACGGATGCAGGCCGGAGGATGCACCTCGGTCGAACATCGACATTTCTCAAGCTCCAGTATGAATCGCTGGAGTTTTGATAATCCGAGTCTGGCGGGTAGTACAGAACTTCACCCAAAGCTTGGTAAAGTGCTTCGCACTGCAACGTCTGGCTCAGCTGCCATTCTGTCCTGCCCGACGGTGAGACTCACACAATTTGATGCCTGGGCTTGTGGTGAGCCCACTTTCAAATGGCCATCGTCATGAATCGCCACCAGCATTTGTCCCAGCTCATGATAGCCAAGAACCCATTGAACCAGATTCGAGAGAAACATGATGGCTTGGACGAAGTGACCAAGGTATGAGGTGAGTAATCAACAAAGCTTAGATCATGCCATCAATTGCTGCTTTGATGCCGCAGATGTGCTCGTGAACGAGCTTTGCGGTTGTGCTGGACTTCCTCAAAGGCACAATGTCACAGATTGGCAGCGCTCAAGCTTCTTGCCGCGTTCCCTCGACGTCAGCGTGAGCTGCACGTGCAAATCGCGTGCGGCTCACGGTCGTCTTGTCGCGATGGAGCACAAGCCGCAGACATAAATTGACTTGCCCGAAGTGGTTCGCGGCGCCCAGAAACGCTGCTTCGACGATCCCGATCGAGGCCCGATGCAGGAATGTCGATCTCCCGACTTACGCAGTGCACGGCAACGATTGGAGGCACGCGGTCAAATTGTCAATCAATGTTCAATCAATAACATCAGTAGGTGAATTGCCTGGCAATTCTATACGACAGTGTTGAGCTGATCCCTTGATCGAGAACAGCAACAGATTCAATCCAGCCCTGAGACCACTTATCACTTTATTGTATTCTCTATCAAGGTTAAATCAGATGTTTCACGTCCACCGAACTCCAGACACGGTGGCCGCTCACGATGAGAGTGAAGCAGCCAAAATTTGTTGATCCCGATCAATGAAAGGTAACGTATTGGTCTGGTCGGAGAGCATTAGTGTTTGTTCTCGAGACATCTCCGGCAGAACGAGTGCTGCTTCTTACCTGATTGTTCAGAATGACCTGATCGATCATATGTGCCACACCGTTGAACCACAATATATCCGTTCGAAGTATCTTGGCATCTTCAACCAGAACGTCGCCTTTATCGTCGATTTTAACCTGTAACGCCTGACCTCCGACAGCTGCCAATGTTTGCTCATGGCTAAGGTCTTTTCGATACGCAACACGATCCTGCACGACATGATTTCGGAGCAACTCCTGCTTCTCATTCATATCCATGGCAGCCAACGTGGACTCCATTTCCCGCCAGGCCTCGTCGCTCGGGATGAAGATGGTCGCATCATGCACGCTCTCGATCTCAGCTGCGAGGCCCGTCATCTCCATGAATTGCAAGAATTCCTTGCATAGTCCATTCATCCACCCCGTGGCAGTGATATTGTGTGGTGCCACGAGCGAAGAGTCTAGCACATGCATCAATCCGCCAGCAAATTCGACATCGGGTTCGAGGATCTTTGCGCTCAATTGCAGACCAGTCTCTGCATATACCTCGCCTGATTCGGAGTACAGCTTGACCGGAGTAGCTTGTGTCATGTTCGGCTGAGAGAGTGCCGTTCCAACTAGCATATTATCGCTCTCGGCCAGCACTTTGGCACTCTCTATTTGACCATGCAAAAGATGATACTTCAATATCGGGACCGTGAAATCGGATGGCATGGCTCCGAGATCCAGTCCCATCTTCAGTAGCTTGTCGTAGGCAGCATCGTTGGGAACCATTACTGTGATATCCGTCGAATCTTCGAAAAACTGCCAGAGCTCGAAGTCATCAATCAGCTTCGTGAAAGCTGTCAGATCCGATCGCCTCGTCAAGGTGTCGCGCAGACTCGTCGCCGTGGCCACCGCCAGGAGTCCGAAATGGAGTATGTATCGCATCGTGTGTTTTCGATAGAGTCACAGCAAATCTACATGGACCGAGTACCACGAAGCAGCGAGGCAAGTCGTTATGGCTTCAAAAGTTGTTCTGTTCAGGATATCATCGCGAACGATGCTCAATTTCCTTTTCGGGTAAGTTTCACATCGCTGTTGTACAGTCTTGGCAGACCCGAGGCCCGGCACTAGACCTCATCCTGCAGGAATCCAAGACGATCGTGGCTGCTCCACGTGGAAGTCATCGAGACTTGGAGGGAGAGCCCTCATATGCTGGATGACAAGCCACCAGACCCAGCATCATGGAGTTGTTCAAGCCTCCGCTAGTTCTGACGCTCGCAGCATTGTTCGAAGTTGCTTCTGGCCGAACAGTGCACTTCAGCGTCGAGATTGAGGCAGGACTTCTTGATCCGACAAAAAATGGACCTCGTCCAGGTATCCTCGTCGATGGCACATTTCCGGGACCACAGCTTCGATTGAGAGTTGGCGACGAGGTTGAGTTCTTGGTCGTCAACTCGTACTCACAAGAAGTTGCCATACACTTTCACGGCATCAAGCAGTCAACAACACCTTGGTCAGATGGAGTGCCTGGTGTGACGCAGAGCGCGATTCGTCCAGGAAGTAGCTTTCTCTACAGGTGGCGAGCAGAGGAAGCGGGGACATCCTTCTATCATGGCCACACACGAGGTCACATTAGTTAGTGACAGCCAGATTCCTCTTCACGCTCACCACATTGCTGACATGTGCAGTGGATGGGCTTTATGGAGCCATCATCATCGAGCCGGACACCTATGCTCGTCGACCTTTCCATTTGATCAGTCGCAGCGCCCAAGAGCAGAAGGCTATGGTAGCTGCAGAAGCAAGAATTGAAGCTTTGCTCTTGGCGGACTACACTCACATGGCATTCGAGGAGTTCGATCGCGTCCAAAGTGATGCTAATGTTGAGATCCTATGCATGGACTCTATCATCGTCAACGGCGGCGTGAGTATCGTTTCAGCTCTTCATCAAGGTCACTGCTGACAAGATCAGGGTGCCGAGTACTGTCCGTCGCGCAAGGAGATCGACAGTGTTACCGATGTCATGACATGGAAGCTACTGGATCTTGTGAACGTTACTGGAGGAATGACCAACAAAGGATGTCTTCCGCCGCTCCAAATTGTTCAAGGCGATTTTGACTTGAACCTTACTGCACTGCCGCCACGAGTCTTTGACGAGTGCAAACCAGGCTCGGCAGTGAACAGCAACTACACAGTCAGTGTTGACAGCCAAAAGAGTTGGGCTGCACTTTCGTTCATCAACGCAGGTGCACAGCATCCGTTGCTTGTCAGTATCGACAACCATCCCCTGCACGTGTTCTCGGTGGATGGCCAATACGTCAGACCGTTCACCACAGATCAGGTCGCCGTAGGCAACGGCAACCGCATACACGTACTTCTCGAGCTGGATCAGACCCCAGGCCGGCATACAATTCGCATCGCTCATCAATTGCCCAATCAGATTGTCGCTGGGTTTGCCCATCTGGTGTACGATGGCATCGATAGGCCAGCCAAATCGGACTCCAATTTCAACTACGCCGGACGAGCTCTGCCAGGGGTGAAGGACGTCACCCTCTTCGATGAAACAATGTCGGTACCATATCCTCCCGTGCATCCTGCTCCACAGTCCAATCGAACTCACAAGCTGCTTCTCAAGAAACTTGGAGCTCCTCACACTTCTGGCGAGTGGACGCTATCGGGTGTATCAGGCTATAATAGAAGCTCGGAGCATGCCGATCCTCCTCTGCTTTTCAACCTCACAGAAGAAACGAGCGACCTTTTGGTTCGGACAAGGAAGAATGAGTGGGTAGATCTGATTGTCGAGACGGAAGGTCCAATCTCACGATACCATCCCATGCACAAACATGGCAACAAGTTCTTCGTCCTGGGCTTCGGGACAGGGCGCTATCCTTGGGACACAGTCGAGGAAGGTATGCAGGCTCTTCCAGCCGGCTCTTTCAATCTCCAGAATCCGCCATATCTGGATACTGTGAGGACGAAGACATCGATGACCGGTGCATGGCTGGCTTTGCGATACAAGGTTGAGCAATCAGGCCCATGGATGTTTCATTGCCATATACAGGTAAGTTGGGCTATGATCTGAAAGTCGAGAGTCCTTCGCTGACTTATGCTAGCCGCATCTAAGTGGGGGTATGGGCATGGTGATACTGGACGGCGTGGACAATTGGCCGGAGACGCCGAAAATGTACATCGAGCGGAATGGATTTGATCAGCGGCCTGCCGGGAAGAAGCTGGATCCGATTGACCACGGGGAATTGAAGTCATGAAGGCGGTGTTGATATGAATGTGGAATAATGCCATGCAAATGCTTCGAATTTCGCGCTCCGTCCAGATCTTCAGGTCTGTCTTGTCTCATGCCGACTTACGCTGCGAGTGTGCTCTTGGTATCTTAAGTTGCGTGCGAGTGATTTGTTCGACTCTCACATTGCCAATCATGACAGATGCCGTCTCTTGGCATGAAATTCGCAAAAAGACTCGTGAGGTATGCACACAGTGACGCTGGTCGCGATCGCTGGATCAGTATCCACTTACGAGTAGCCTGGGCGTGATTGACGTAGATGATGGCCGCAAGCGCAACGTGGTGCTCCCCTTGGACGCATTTTGCCATGAGGACCTTCAATACGCGACACGAGGGAGTTGCGGTGGAATACTCAATAGAAGAAGCACTTTGCGTTGAGACAGTGCATACAGAGGTAAGTGAGCTGAGAGCGTGGTATCTGCGGCGTGGGTCGCGAAAATTTCGGCGCCAACACATACCCCAGCATTCACTTGCACATTCGAAAAAAAGGCAAGAGCATCCCGACTGCAATGCATGATTTCGCAGGCGATCTCCGGGATTATAACACGATTGAGAGACGCACAGAAACTAGCACGTGGATGCTACTGACTCTTCACATACTTCTTGAACGGAAAAAAGCGGCAAAAAAAGGTGTGCAGCGCCAACGCTTGGTTGTCGAGCTGCTCATACATATTAGTACTGTTCCGTAACAGGGAATTGAACCCTGGCCTTGTCGGGAACTCGTAGAGATGAATCTACTGAGAGCGACAAATCCTAGCCACTAGACCATTACGGACCTGATTGGATGACCGCGATCGGCCCTATAGCTATATGGCTGTTTCAACAACTGACCAAAGAAGAGAGCATCCCAGCAGCGCAGGAGAGGGACATTCACACCAGGTCATGAATATAGCTGCTTCATGCTCCAAGTAAGTGGATTTGGTTTACACAATGACAACACCACCACAAGCAAGTAACGACGAAATAGGGACACGACTTGAATCACAGAAACATGAACCGATATGACAGGCTTGTAATGTAAGCCTCAGACATCTGAGAAAGTTTCGAGAGTGCTCAAGAGCTTGACGTAAGACGGACTTTATGTTCACCTCTTGAGTCCGATAGCCCAAAGAGATGTATGATATCCCTGCCCGGACATAGTGATGTCGAGGACTGGGCGGCTCGGCGCTCGGTGAAGTTTCCTACTCGTTGTTGAATGGAAGATCTCGAACGACATTATTCGCCGACAATTGTCAGATGAGGTTCATCTGTAGCTATAAGCAACTTACTGCAGTCGCATTTCGACCTTTCGTCACTTTTACGAAGACTGGCATACATTAGCGATGGGAGACATCGTTCCAGATACGCCAACAGCATTGCGCTGGTCGGACAGCAATGTCGAAACGCCTGCATTGATCGTTGCTCCGGAAAATGAAAACGAAGTCATCAAAGCCATACAGCAAGCCAGAGAGTACAAATTGAAGGTCTTGGTAGCGGGTGGAGGAACAGCAGCATTCGTACCAGTCACGGAGAACACGCTCCACCTGTCGATGGAACGTTTCAAGCATATCAAGCTCGACGAGTCAACCCAGACTGTCGATATCGGCGGAGGAGTTCTTGCTGGCCAGCTGATCCAATACCTTGACGATCGAGGCTACTACACTGTATACCCAGGAAGCAATGCGGTTGGTATGGCAGGCTTTGTGCTCGGGGGAGGAGGAGTAAGTCTGCTGTCTATCGCACTGTCTACATAAAACTGAATGTCAGCGTAGCACCACTTCCTTGGCCTCCATGGCCTGGCAGTCGACAACGTCGTCTCGTTCCAACTCATAACTGCCGAAGGCAAGTCTATTGTAGCCAGTCAGACATCGCCTAGAGAAGAAGCAGCCTTGTTCCAAGTTCTGCGGGGTGCTGGATTCGGCTACGGCGTGATCACATCGTTCCGGATGAAGGTCTACCCTCTGTCGACCCTTCAGCTCGCACATAATCAAGTCATCACACGTCGCCTGGTATTTGATGGCTCAAGCATTTGCACTGCTGCACGGGCTTTTGGGTCGGTTGGCAGGCCTCCAGCTCGACTTCGTATATCCTTGCACATGACCCGTGCTCCCGCGAACGTCCCTGGCTCTGGTCAGGCATTGCTGATCCTCGATGCCATGTACATTGGGCCTGAAGACGAGGCACACGACGCTTTTGCTCCACTTCGCCGAGATGATATCGCACGTGAAGCACTGTCCATAAAGCAGTTCGCTCAATCGCTCGATAAGATCAACGAAGCCGCCGAGCCTGGCGATATTCGGGGCGGTTTCAAAGACTTGAGCATGGTTGCAATGAAAGAGCTCTCTCTCGAAGCCATCCGGGAAGCCTATACTCGCTGGTTCGCATTAACAGAAGACCTGGAAGATGCGAAACGCAGTTTCGTGACCATAAGTCGTTTCGATACCACCCTATCGGAGCAGGTGGGTGCGGTAGACGACTTTTGCAACAAGACGCTTTGCACCTCTACACGAGATCGATATACTGCTTGTGTTATTGGTACCTGCTTCAACAAACCTGAGCTGAGACACACATCAGAGGCTTACGCTGGGTACATCCGGGATGCTCTTACGAAAGACGACGAACGGCCTCGGCGAACGAATGTGAATTGCATGCGGCCGCATCCACCACTTCGCGAAATGTTCTGGGACGGGCAAGTGGCAGAGCTCCGGAGAGTGAAGGAAGTGTGGGACCCTGAGGATCTGTTCTGGTGCCCGTGGCTTCAGGATAGGTAACAAAGCGGAACGTGATTTCGATCACGGTGCTGAGTCGAGTCTTCTATGCCAGGGACGAGTGGATCTAGTCGCCTGCGATATGGTCAGAACAGGCCATCACTGGTTTGTAGTGGATTTTTGAACTCCCGAAGAAGTGGTCATCCGAAGGCTAGGTTTATCAATTGATTGTTGCGTCTAGGCGCGAGTCTGACTTACGTCTGAGAGATGATAGAAACTAGCAGTCGAGATCGAACTTGTCCGCCTCAAAACGCCGAATTTTGCTACTTTGCGTAGGTCTGTTAGCCCGAGCGTAATGCATGCATCCTCTCTGTCGAATGGTACAGTCCGTCAAATGCATACGCGGGTACTGGGTACAGAGCAGGGCATTTACTCGGCAATTCTGCATGGATCACTGCCAATCAGACAGCCCATTGTGTTAAAAGCCGGCCAGTTCTGATTCTTGAGAGTGGGATCATAGAGTCAGAGGCCCTGCTTTCCGATCCCCGAATGCATGTAACGGACTGTATCACGCAAGAAAGCGACGAGGGAAGCATATTCGACGAGGGAAGGACATTCGCGTATCTTGGCAAGACTCCAGACTTGTATGCAACTTCGTCAGGTCTTTGTTGAGCGTCAGCAGCAAGCTTTTGGAAAATTAAGACCCTGTCTCTTTTGCTACCCACGAGAATACGAGCCCTAGTCCTCATTACGGATGCCGCGGAAAGTCAGGCAGCTTGTAAGCCACGGCATCCCTGGTTCAACTTCACTGGCATCAGAAAGCTTAAAATATCATGATCATGGAAGCACTTGGCTTGGACAAAGTCCATGGCACTTTTTCTACACGAAACAAGGTCAACGTCCTGATCGACCGGATGCCTTCTTCACGTCACCCACTTTGCGTGCCGCAACATCAGAGAAACTTAATCGGATCATCCGCCATCACTCATCGAGCTTACTGCAACTGTTCAAGCCCTGCCCCCGAAATGCGGAATTTGCTTTCGGCGACAAAAAGCATCAAGTTGAGAAGACATCACTAAAGAGCCTAAAGAGACTAGAAGACGCTAGCTTTCGATCATTACCATTTTCGAGCAACAAGTGCTTACTCTGCTGCTACTTTAGGACGCAAGAAGCACAGACACTGCACTCCATCCAGGCTACCGGATCTGATGTCTCGGCTTCTGGCGTGAAGACGATGTGCTATGACCAGGCTTCCGGATAATCCTACACTCTGCACGACTTCACGCGCTGAGAGGATATCTCACCGTCGACCTCGCCATGCGTCATGCATCGAACAATATCTGCCAAATAATTTCATTTGCTGCTTCGATCGGTCGAAGACGGAAGATTGACTTGGGGCATTGGAATGAACAAGAGAACTCGTTATACATGATGCACTGGAGAATCACATGGATGGCTAGGCAATCGATGCTGGTTATCGAAGACTAACCATTCGGCCTAATATTCTGACCACACTAGCCGAAGAACGAAGCCCTTTTCGGCACAGCAACTCGTGCAACAGGAACTCCCTTGGCGGCTGTCTCACTATTAGCCATAGCATCAATAGGATGTTGTCTTCTGATCTACGGCAATGCAGGCCACAAAATTTTACATTGATCCTGATACCGACGTTCATAGTATATAGAGCAGAACCAACGAGGCAGCTTCCATCATCATCGCGCCCAAGTCCATCACTCTGATTAATTCACTTTCTGCAGTCAAGATGCGTTTTACTGTTCTCCTGCTCGCAGCCGCGCAAACTGTTACCAGCGCAGTGGTGCAACGGGCTCTGCCAGTTGAGTTTGGCTGCACACCCTGCTCTCCCAACGATGGTCCTCACTACGATGCCGCCGCCAAAGCCACCGCAGAGATCGATCCTGCTCTTCTTGCAGAAGGAAAGGCTTCCTTCGATCAGACATTCGACGCTGGATACCACCCAGCTCTCTGCGATGCCCATCCAGTGAACTGCATCACAGGAGCAGCCGGCGTGACATGGACTGGAACTCCAGGACTGACAGCACCTTTGGGCAGATGGAGGAGGAAGGATGGAAGTAGGTCACATATCTCAATATTTCTGTTAACGAGGAAGTACTGACCAATGTCACTCGTAGCCGACACCATTGCCTGGGGCTATTGGCAACAGACTTTGCAGTGGACTGGAGCAGGAGGATCAGGCACCACATACAATGCTCATTGCACAATCTTGACTTGCGTCAAGGGTAGAATGCAGGCTACCATCGGTACCGAAAGCATCAAGGGTGATGGAAAGACTGATGATAGTGCGGAGAACATCTGCGGTTGTTTCCCGAAGGATCTTGACGCAGATATCACGTTCAGCCTGTTCTAGGGCCGGACATCATAGGCATGACTTGGGCCTTGCATTTCGCTATTCATTGCGATCGGATGTCGCTCGAACAGAAGACAAAGTATCGGGCTCGGGCAACACAGGCTCGAAATTCCGTAGCAAACTAATAGATCTCACTCCACTTGCATCGAGCTTGTGAGACCGACCGTTTCTCCTACAGATTGCCCATGGTTTAGAGATGGAAGCGGAAATTGATTGACCCCATTATAGCAACTTGAAACACTCGTATGCAGTCAGAACTTCGGAAAGTTGACAGCGTTCGTCTAGCTCTGTTCTCGAAGGAGTGTCTCTCTGATCTTGGTCTGCTGTCAGACCTTGCGTGCCATCACTCTGACATCTACACCAGTCACATTGATGACCCCACAATGCTTACGCTTCCACACTCTCTCCGGATGCTCCAAAGCAAATGAGAAATTCCTCAATAGCGTCGGCACGACTTTAAATATCTCCACAAGTGCCAGATGCTGCCCGAGGCAAATGAACCGGCCTTTGCCAAAATGGAGTAAGCTCTTGGACATGAGAGCAATCTTTGCTTGAGATGCCGCGTCGTTTTGGTCAACGAGCCACCTTTCAGGAATGAAATGATTAACATTGTCGCCGAAGATGTCTGACTGTCGATGCACAGCCCATGTAGCGCAGCTAACGCGAGTTCCTCCAGGGACGAACTTGCCATCGATGGTATCGCCCGAAGCGGGTACGACTCTCTCCATCAAGAAAGAGGCTGCAGGGTGTATACGGAATGTCTCTTTGATGCATTCGTCCAGATAAGTCAACTCATGGGCCAGGTTGAATGGCACAACTTCGCATCCTGGCGGGAGGCGAAGCTGATCCACTTCTTCCTGCAGCCGATGATAACGTTTGGTGTCTTTCATCAAGTAATAGAACAATGCCGCCAAGGTACCCGCAAGTGGATCAGAGCCAGCGGTGGCGAGGACGTGACCGAGACTCCTCAAGTCCTCGTCGGCCATAGCGCTAGGATTCTTTTCCTGCGCGGCCAAGAAACAGTCAAACAGATCCCGACGACTGCTTGCAGTGTCACGCGATATATGATCTTCGACCATTCTCGGCAGTGTATGCTCGTCGGCAAACTTGGAGACGGGATTACGAGGCAGCTTGATGTATCCCTTTCGCCAAAGCCAGAGGAAGACCGGATTTTTCACCGTCATGCGGTCGATGCCGGGCAAACCACTGATCCTAGTCATGATTGCCGTGATCTTGCCGTTGTTCTCGATGATGTTCGCGACATCAGAGCCTGTTTCCAGAAATCCGAATGGCTTCCCGTAAACGACGTTGCCGACGGTATCAAATGCGAAGTAGTGCATCCACCGAGGCAGGTCCATTGATTCTTGGCTACCAGCTTGAGCAAAGCGACTTGTAATTTGTCGCACGAGTAAGTCGATCATATCGTCAATCCTCTTCTCAAATTGCAGAACCGAAGACAGCGAGAATGTCGAAGCGATTCCCCTCCGGAATCGATCATGCCATTCTCCATCAAGACTTGAGATGAGCGTGCTCCTGATCTCTCCTTCATCCACATTATCCGTGATAGAATAGGACGGAGATTTGGGATAATTCCTGGCCGTGGAGTAAATATCTTGGACTGCTTGTGCGCTTGCGAACGCGAGACGTTTTGGTCCTATTCGCACAACTGTGCCATACTTCTCGTGAACCTCAGGCCATCTTGGGAAGTCATGGATGCTGGTCCACGAGAAATGTAGCCTCCACGCGTACGAAAATCGCGCAACAAATGGACCAGGAAATCCTCGGAGTGGGTCAAGGAGGAATTTGTACCCGAACCACACCAGAATGGTGGAAGATATGAGTATGATATGGAGCCACATCGCGTGCACAGTGAACAATGAGCTAGAAGGGATACAACACAGCTGAGGCAGGAAGGTGCTGTTATCGTTCTTTTTCATTCCCCAGATTAATCAACACGAGCTTTTGAGTTAACTTGTCACAGTCTACGACCAGGGAGAAGCTCTGATGCGCAGGATTTGTTACAAGTATTCCCGGCAAAGATTCTTTGCCGCCATACATAAACAGAGTCACTGTACGTACGCATATCGAGCTGTGGATATTGATTGGTTGCAGGTCTATCAAACAACAGGGGCGATCGAGAAACAAGAAGACGCTCTCCGCATTTCGAGCAGGCGTTGCCGGACCTCGAGCTCCGCTGCATTTCTTCTGCTTAGGTTTCGTACAAGATAGCCGACGATTAGTTGAACTGGCATTTCCTGATCTCTGCCTCAAGTCTGCATGCTGTGCACGCGAATCTAGCCATGTGGATATTTTCGATACCTGGTGAGATCATAGAGTGGTCCAGCAGTACGTGCAAAGTCCGATATCAGACGCGCTAGACACCCGCTGAAGCGTTGAGGATCCTCGGGATGCAGATACTTGCCTTTGGCGCAGATACTCACTGCTCACGCAGGAACTTCATAAATCATGTGAATTGAGAAGTCGCTGTCTCTAATGCAAATCATATCATGCCTATCATTAACTCATCAAATCCTAAACTCATGCTCTAAGCCCACGTGGGCTCCCCAATATCCATCTCTCCATCCTCAACAGCAACATCAGCAGCCAAAGCATAATTCGTGAAACCCTCTTCACCGCCCTTGGGCACCAAAGTCCACAAACCATCTCCATTTCTCGTATTGACTTCCATATTCCCCATGCGACAGATGATAGGACATTGTCCCTCCTTCGTAGGCTCAATGCTACATGTTGGGCTCTCGAGGCCTCCGCCATCTGCCAGTGCCATGAGTTGCATACCAGTTCCATCAGACTGGCCGACGACGGGATAGCCTTCAGCCGCACCATCCATGTTCGAAAGATCGGCGACTTTGAGTTTGTCGTTGTCAAGGGAGAAGACGGTAGGAGCGTATTCGTCATCAGATTGATCCCAATCGTATTGGATGTGGTAGTGGATCTCGTCTGCATCGGCTGGCCACTCGGCGAATGCCATGTCCTTGTCGACGATGTAGAAGGCTGATGGGGTGGCTTGAAGAGAGTAAGAAGTAATGCTCTCAACTGTCGCGGTTGTGCTGAATGTCTTCCAAGCAGTGATGGTCTTGGTTCGGAACAGGGTTGTGACGCGGGTGGTTGTGATAGTCGTTGTAGGTGTCATCGTTGTTGTGGCCACAAGATTCAGCGTGGTGCTGATTGTTCTCGCATTGGTCACGATCGACGACACAGTCTGAGTGAGAGTGACCGATGATGATGGGATCACACAGTTGCAAGCCGCGGTGGTTTGAACGGCATTGGTAGCCTTCAGGCAGCCCGGCTGGGGATATTGTCCTTGTCGTGGCGACAGGGTTTCATCACGCTTCCACGCCATCGATGCGTGCGGATAAGGGTCGTAGGTGTATCTCTTCACTCTGCCAGCAGATACGATGATAGTGTCAGCCGGGAAGGCCGAATCGCGACCCTCCAAAGTGTATGCAGTTCCGCTTTCCGATCCCGCTGCGAAGAGTTAGCCATTGTACATGGAGCGAAAAAATCGAATGTTTGCAAGCTTACCTGGATGCTTCAGCTGACACCTGTTGGCCGCCGGGCCATTTTGAAGCCATGTTACCGCTGTACAGTTTGAATCATCAGTGCAGGCTGCTGCGCAGTCCTCGATGCTGTACTTGGTAAGAGTGGCGATGATGGATGGGGCTCTGATGGAGCCGCAGAACACCTGATAGGTGGCTCCGTTGTTGAACTCCAGAAGGCTGCTCCCGTCGCAAGAAGAGTACTGCCCATTCGTGACTTGAGCCGGCGGCGGGCTAGTAGGAGTTGCAACGCCTGCGCACCGGTAACAGGACATGTCGATTACCTCAGGACCAGACCACTGTGGGTTGACACGCAGCTGAGCCCTTGGGACTTGCCACAAGATACAGTGCTGGTCTTGAGAGAAGGAGAAGGACTTGCAGCCCGCACGTCCGCTCTGGCCGATGAACCCTCCCTGATCGTATGACTTGCATGCCTTCGCGCAATCATTGACACTGCGGCGCGACACCGAGTCGGTGAGAACGATTTGGTCGTTTCCGTATTCACCGGGATAACCTTTTAGCTCTGAGCACTGAGATGGATCGGGCGCAGAAGGTGCGTCAAATGCGCAGCCACTAGCCACAACAGAAGCGGTGGACGCTGCAGAAGTTGTAGTTGTCGTTCCACTTGCAAAACCCGAACATTGGTAGCAGGCCAAGTCCAAGAAGCGTGGCCCAGTGCCATAAGACAGGGCGAGCTGACTGACTGCAACTCCATACAATGTACAGCTGCTGCTATCCCATGAAAATGCCTGGCAGCCCGGTGCTCCGCTGTCGCCGGTGGACCCAGCCTGGTCGAATAACTTGCAGGCCTTTGCGCAGGCCTCGATACTAGCGCGCGAAGCCGAATCTATGAGTTGCGTTTGCCGAGGAGTCATGTTGTTGACCGTTCCAGTGTACTGCTCGAAACAGACTGATGGGTCAGGCGGGAGCGGGGCGGTTGTGGACAGTGCGCAGCTTCCTGGTCCTGTTAGAGCTACAGCAACAGTGGTGCTTGCAGTAGTAGTAGTGGGTGCAGTAGTAGTGGTGGATGACCTCGTCGTGGTCGTCGTCATCGTTCCACTTGAGCACTGGTAGCAGGCGAGATTGGCCACCTTCGGTCCTTGGGGATGCCCAGGATTGTCGTAAGTGAGCGAGCTCCTGCTCACTCGATACAAGATGCAAGTCATACCCAGCTCGAAAGAGAATGATTTGCAGCCGGGCAACCCACTCTCGCCGTTTGCCCCAGATTGATCAAACGCCTTGCAAGTTTGTGCGCAGGACTCCAGGCTGCTTGTCGAAGCCGAGTCTACCTGGATACGTTGCTGGAAGCTTCCCACACTATCGCTACCGCGCCGCGGCCAGCCTCGGAGCTCTGCACACTGAGATGGATCGGGCGCTGAAGCCCCGACGAAGACGCAGGTACTGCCGCCTACAGTAGTGGTGGTGGATGCAGTAGTAGTAGTGGATGCCCTAGTCGTAGTGGTCAACGAAGTCGTTGTTGTCGTCCTTGTAGTAGTCGTAGTCGAGCTCGAAGGTGCTCCGACAGCTGCACAAGAGAAACAGTCCATATTGGCCACATTGCCCACGAATGATGTTTCGTAATGGCTGGCATTGAGGTCCTTACGCTGAAGCTCACACGTTCGGTCCCAACGGTACCAAACACTCTTGCAGCCCGGCATTCCACTTTCTCCAATCTCGCCCGACGCATCAAGTTTGCGACATTCAGCTGCACAGGCTTCAATGCTCGGCACGTTCGCAAGGTACTTTTGCTTCAATGGACCAGTGCCGTCATGGGCCGACCACAGATTACCTCCGACATTGCAAAGGGCGGGGTTGCTAGCACTCGCGGTGGCTAATGCGCATGTGGTGGGCACAGTGTTGGCGGCGGCAGCGGTCGTGGTGCCGGCGAGCGAGATGGTGGACTTGCTCACGAGTGAGTACGCTTTCCATCCATACCAGGGGGCCGAGACCGTTGTGACTGCCGCAGTGAGGGTCCGGCAGTTATTGTCATCTCCGCCATAGTTGAAGGCAATACAATTGCCGATACATGCAGCTTCGCAGCCCTCCAGGTTTTGGGGTCGGATGTTGACGCTGCCGGGGTTCATGTAAGCCATACACCACTCGTAGTATCGAACCACTCCTGCTCTGGTGAAGCTAGTAAGAGTTGGATTGGGGCATCCCAGGCCGCGTGGTGATGTTGTAGTAGTCGTAATCGCCGGAGTGGTCGTTGTCAAAGCGGGCGTAGTAGTAGTAGTGGTTCTTGTGGTGGTAGTGGTACTTTGTGCTTGGGCAGTTCCAGCTGAGCACGTGAAACAGCTCATGAAGGCTGCTTGATATCTTGCGTTGGCTCCGGTGCCTGGCATCCAGCGAGTGTCACCCAAGTGACCGCGGTACAGTTCGCAAGACCTATTGGGCGCCCAGTATACAGATATACATCCTGGTAGACCAGACACGGAGCCAAGAGCTCCGGAATCGTCGAACTTGCGACACGCAAGCGCACAGCCTTCGAGGCTGGCGATCGACGCAAGGTCTGTGAGAGTGCCCTGCGACAGCGTCACACCGTTGCCGTCCTGCTCTCTCGATCGATAGCCCAGAACGCCTCCACAATCGCCACTTGGACCTGCTGGTCGGGCCAGAGCACATGAGGACGACGCAGCAGCAGTGGTAGTGGTGGCAGAGGTTGTTGTTGAGTCCACTCCTGGGACTTCTGGGTTCGGGTTGGTGTTTTCCGGTGTGTAGTTCGGGCAAGCGTCAATCACGCCGAAAGTGTTGATCACTTGGGTCTCCGTGAACGTGGTTGAGCTAGTCATGGTCGTCGTTTGAGTCGTCATTGTTGTTCTCACACTACGGACCTCTGATTAGCGGATGCCACAAGTACGGCGGCAACAAACTTACGAGGTCGCTGTATTGGTCACGCGTGCTGCGGTAATGGTAGAAGTGCTCGTCGTAGAGGTCATGGTCATCATGACGGTTCTGGTCGAGGTCAGCTCTTCTGCGTGGACCAAGTTTGGCAGACACCGGATACCTGTTGACTGTGGCCGTTTTCCGGACAGTGCTCCAAGTGGTGCCATAGCCGAGAGATGAACACCAGGTGCGAGCAGCGCTCATAGATGTGCCGGCAGCACAGCTGCGTGTGTACGAAATAGAACATGTCGAGGACTGAGCCGCGTTCAGTTGACGTGCTTCAAGTTCTTTGACAGGGTTGGCCAACGCCAACCCGGCGAGGGACAGCGCCGCAAAGAAGCGCATCTTCGCTCAACACAGTGGTACAGCTCTTGTGAAGGGTCGCGCGAGGGGATCTCGTGGTGGCAGTCTTATACCTCGCGGTACGCCTGGACTCGCAGGCGGAGAATGGTGGCTCACCCTCATCGTGACAGCTCCAGGCGAATATGTAAGCCTCGCCAGTCCATCGAGCCCTGGTCGGAAGGTGTACAGCTCACACACGTTCTATGGCGTCCATCAACGTCCAGCACTGGATGGGATGCACGCCTGGTGGAAGCCATCGCTCAGAGCCGCCTTCGGACTCACCGCTGGTGCAGGTGGGTATTGAAGCTATGGTGAGGTGGTGAGAGAACTAATGCAGCGCGTGGCGCACACGTGGTCTGAATGTCGGTGGAAGGCGTAGACGACTCACGCTCGACAGACGAGTGTCCACTTGCTGTATAGAGCAGTCTGCCAAGCAACGATAGCCCCATATCGCCTGGTGTCTCTGGGGAGGCTGAAGAACGGGGTGTCTTGGCGAAAGCTACTTTGGGAGCCCACGAATCCAGCTTGGAACATCGCGTAGTCCGAAAAGGTCTGCATAAGACTTGTCTCTATTGAGGATATCCCTCATGCGGCTAAGCCAGCTAAGCAGGCGAATCTTCAGCTTGGTGCATCGCGTGTCTCGTGGAAGCCACGAGGTGGTGAAAGCCACAATATAGGACTGAAAGTGGTGCTTTGGCCTCTTGTGGTATCGCTTCGCGCCATCGAGCTGTAGAGCTGTGGTCTGATGATGCTCTTGTTGAGGGTCTGTGGAGACCGTGGTGCGGACTTATGTTCGAACTCCAGCAGCAGAATGGTAGAGTGGGCTCTTGTTCAATGTGGTGCAGACTGCCTGGAAAATCACCAAGCCCAGCAGTGTCTTGCCATCACCACGGCCCTCCACCGGAGCACGCCGCCGGCGGTGCGGGTGAACACGAGCGTCTGGCGGACGATAGCTCCGCTTCCAGTTGGAGCAAATGTGGATGGCATGATGGCCAAGAATGGAGGCGTGGTGGCAGAAAGGTTGGTGGTTCTAGAACCGTGAGATCTGGGCTTGGGTGGAACGGGGCGACCCGAAAAGCTGCCTAAGGCACCAGCACGCCGAAATCCACACGGCGTAGAGTCTACAACCACTTTCGACTCTTCCACAGCGCCTGGAACTCACATCGACGATTAGTCTCACTGCCTTTATGCACCTCCAAGGCCGGTCAGCCAGTCGAAATCTGAACAACGCAATGCCTTGGCAGCCCTGGGCAGCAGCGGGTCCAGCACGATGAAAGATGCGCTGAATGACTTTTCCCAGTACTACGACCACGACTTGTAGCAGTGGCTCGGAAGGCCAAGGCACAAGCATGCGGAACGGCGGTTGGCAGATGATTCTCGTGTACCTGAGCCTGCCTGGACTTGCCTTCGTCTGGTGAAAGAACCACTCTGCCTTACCGCCAACACTCCTCCCGGCCCCATCAAATCACCTGCGCCATCCCCGGAAACCACCTCTCCTCCACCCTCGTACTATACTCCTGATACTTATCCCTCACCTCCTCCCTCGTAGCTTTGACCCGAAACTCGGCCTCTTCCTGCTCCGCCGCTTCCCGATACAACCAGCTCAAACCCGCCAGCGATACCATCGAAACGTAAAACCATGCATCTCCGAAATGTCCTCTCGAAAGAAGCATAAAAATACAACCGATCCACGTCGTAGCGTAGGAGACGTAGGTAGGATGCCGGATATACTGATACGGCCCTGTGGTGATCACAAACTCTGGAGAAGCTTTGCCGAATATGACGGATAGACGGCCGGGTGGGGAGGTTGTGTATGCTGTCCAAGCAAACAAGGTGAGTGAGCTTGTGAAGAGGCCAGTTGCTACAATTGCGAAGAGGATGCCGATTCCGCCAAGGGATCGCACTGCTTCGCCGCGGATGAAGGTTGGCCAGAATGTTGCGAAAGCGGAAATTATGGACAAGATCTTGAAGAAGTGGATGTAGCCTGGTGAACGCGTTCCGGAAGGCGGATGGCGGAAGTGGAAGAGGTAGGCGTAGAGTTGGGTTGCAGTTGTCAAGAGGAAGAGGATGTTGAGGGGGGAGAGGAGGCTGATCTTTGCGGTATTCGCCGTCTCTTGAAATGCTGATTGGGCTTGAGCTTGCTGCTTTGCGAGGTAGTCTTTGGCGCTCATGATGGGCGGACCTTTTGGTTTGGCACGAACTGATATCAGTGGATGAGAGATGCTTTTCTGCCAACGTGTCTATACAGTCCGTTCTATACGCATTGGAATGCGAGGGACCCGAAGTCTGAGGTTGATATGATGCGCAGTCTCCACTCAGCGGAAGCTGTTCGGATGAAGCTGCCAAGACATCTCCGTCAGGATGAGTAAGTGACGATGTGTTGCACGACACCTGTTGAACACTTGCAACATGATGGAAACTGCATCTGCATTGGTGCGATTGGGTCTGTTCATACAGTGCTGAACAGTCACCGTCACCAACTGCCATTTCCTACCTCTATTTACAGGGCTCTCTCCACCCCTACGATTTCAACCTGACTTCTTGCCCAGTACAACTCAATTGCACAGAGTACTCCTCGATCGAAGTCTCAAACGACTCACATGCCTCCCTCATCCCTCAGATACAACCTCGGCCCCTCTGACCTCCCTCTCAAAAATCGAAAAACAACAAAGAACCACACTCCCCAACCTTCCGCTTTCAGCCAACCTCACCGGCACCCAATCTTCCCGCTCATCTTCACGAACGACTGGTCAAAGCGCCACGAACGCCTTGGTCGGCTTGTGGTCCAAACGCAGAAATGTCGTGGTATTGGCATGGCTCTGAAGATTGAAGACCTACCGAGGAGGCGCAAACTTGCATGAATGTTGCTAAGCCTTGCAGTGACTCTAAGATGACTGAAACTAGGAATTGGCTGCAAGCGGGAGTCGCTGCAGCTGAGATGTTTATGTGGTTTGCGAGGAGGCGTAGATGCATGAGTGAGTTTTCGAGTTTTCAAATTCTTGACAATGGTGGATGGGATGGATGAAGCCAGCAACAGCGTGAAGATGCTATATTCGGTCGACGTACCGGCCGAATGCAGACATGCATGCAACAAACTCTGCAAGCCCAATGCTCGTCTACTATTGACGAATATGACCTCTGTTGCAGAGCTCGAAAAGTATATGAACCCTCCATTTTTCCTACCATCCTCCTCTTCTCATCACAGCGACTACCAACTCCAGCTGAACACAACCAACACATACCACCAGTCCACAAATTCTCAGCACTTTCAACTACAATCAACAATGTCCCACGTCTCCGCCTTTCACATCACCTGCAACGCCGGCTACGAGCTCAACCTCGAAGCCCGCCTCAATGGTAATCCTACCGGCCAACCACTGGCTTCCAAACTCGTCGCTGGCGAGACCATTGATGTCGACTTGAAGGATCGTGCTAAGAAGGGAGATACTGTGAGTCCCCTCGCCCTCTCCTCCCCGATCCCGTTCGACAGGATGGGAATGGAAGTGTCACTGATGTAGGTAATGCGACAGTTCCAACTCTGGGCCAACGCCTCGGGCAAAGAGGAAAAGTTCCGCGTGGGAGATTACAAGTATTTGTATGATCCGGAGAATGAGGGGAAGTTGAATGTTGTTGCGAGGGGTAGGGTTGATGAGGAGGAGGAGGGTTTGCAGGTTGCGGTTGCTTATGAGGTGAAGTAGAACAGTGCGGTCGGTGGTTGACTTATCTTCCATTCATTTGTGTGTCGAAGTGGGAACCAAATAGAACTCGACGGTCATTACTGAAGCCTGAAATGCCGTATATATGTAGTAAATCACAGTCGCTTCTGAAATTTGCGCCTGGTCTTAGGCAATGACTTTGCCGATTCTCGGAGAAAACAACTCCCGCTCAAAAGAATTGGAGCTTTCGTTCATTTTTGGAAGATTCTGTTTGCTCGCTGCCGTCTTCTGTCGTTTCCATTTCTCAGACTGCAAGGTCGGGCTTCGCACCTCTCGTTAAGAACACCTCTTTCACATATCTCTCATCCAGCGCAGTTCGCACATCGCATCCTATCAAAGCATTCAGATTCGCCTCAAAATCTTCTGCGGCCGCTGAGCTCGCGCAGACTAAGACACTCGCCTGCTCATTTCCTATCTTCCTCTCCATGTGCTCTCGGATTCCAGGTTCAAAGATTCGATCTTGTGCGCGGACTTTGGCAGGATTGGAGGGTGTGAGCAGGCACATGTCTACTACTCCTGCGGCGATAGGTTCCTGGATGGCGGAATATATCGTGTTGGTGTCTGTGGGCCGGAAGCCGAGGATCAATGTGATGGGGCCGGGTGGCTGTACCTCTTCTTCGTTGTCCGCGTAAAACTCTCGCATGAGATGAAGTCGGTGCTGGAGTAGCGACCGAATAGGTGCCAGACCACTTCCTGTCGCAAAGCAGATAACTGGCCTGCTACCGTCCTCCAGCAGTGCCGACCATTTGGATTCATGGTGTCTGATTCGCAGTGCAGTTCCTGGCGATGCACTTTTGAAGAAGTTTGCCATGAGTCCTTGGTGCCGCGATTGTACCAATAGCTCCAGCTGATGCCCTCTGCCGCGAGATTTGAGCAAGTCTTGACAGCAAGCTGTAGAGTATGTGCGAGGCACTTTGAGAGGCATTGCAGCGAAAACGTCTCGCAAGAAGACACTCGAAGTCAGTATCCTGGGCATAGCTTGCAGTGCGTCGCGAAGAGGTAGACGCTCGAATAGAGCCTTCCTCGAAGCCAAGAGGCCAAGGCGATCCGTCCAGTCCAAAGTTGTGAAAGGACTGTCGAAGTCCACAAAGTCTCGGAGAAACGTTGCAGTTGTCATATCCACAGAATCTGGAAGTCGCTCGCATCCAGACAGACGAAGGACTTTCAAAGCTCGTTTGATGTCTTTCTCATCATTTGGCGGAATAATTGTGACATGTGACAGGGCATCGTGGTGAAGATCCTTGACATCAAGCGTGACGTGCAGAATACCAGAAGTCTTCTCACCGGAGCACTTCATGAATTTCGCAGGCCTGTACTGAGCCATGATGTCGAATTTGCTGGATGTCATCATCTCGGTTTCTGGAGGAGTGGCACGGCTTCGGTCAGTTTCACTCGAGACACAAAGCTCTCTCTCCACTTCAGCGACCCATCTTTCGAAACGTTCCCAAGGAGGATCATTGATCGCAGTGTCTCCTTCGAAGAGGCCACCGGCGAGAGGCCTTGCACCATTCTGCTGTAGAATATCGTAGATCTGCTTCGCCGCAGCGTTATATGTATCGTGGTACAGCGTGCTCCCGTTGCCAAAAATCATGAAATTGAAGACCAAAGCATCAGAGCTCGACTGTAGATCCTTCGCGAACTTTGCACCATTTGCGGGAATCTCGCCATGTCCAGTGGTGCTTGCAATTATCAAGACAGTGTCGTCCCGACTGAGAGTATTTGTCCTCAACTCATTCAGCGTCCTGGGCTTTTGAACGTGGTAGGTGGTGCCAGCTGTTCTCGAAAGTCTCCGGTGAAGTTCGCCAGCCAGCTTCCGCGCAGTGTTGGCAGCAGTGCAATAATGTATATGAACTGTAGACTTGGGCTCCTCTTTCCGAAGCTGTTCGTTAGCTTCAGCATGACCAGTAGCGCTGACGTCCGTCCAGCAAGAATCATGGCGTTCACGAGGTTGTAGCGATGTTTGAGCACTTCTTTCCTGCACCTCTCTCCGCCACGCCTTGATCGGATTCTGCACATGCTTACAGATTAGCGGAGTAGGCTGGTAATTCGGCGCACCACCGCGATGCCAAATGGGTACAATGGAGCCCTGCGGAGGAGCTAGCCAGTATGGATTGGCAGGTAATCGGTAGCCTTTCTCGCGCAAATGCTCGTCATCAAAGTTACAATACATCGATGAAGCTGTCAATGAATCCGACATCATCACGCCTGCTTCGCGATAGGAGTGGCAGACAGCATATGTGAGTTCGGCTTGCGCTTTGGACAGCTTGGCGAGTCTTTCGTGCTCGGGCGCTCGTTCGAACGAGGATTCGTCTTCTGCCCATCCCAGTGCGACGACAAGCTTGGGAAGGACGTTGAATCGAAATGAGTCTGCGAGGTCACGAACACCAATTTCTGCATCCATGAACCAGCCCATGAAAGGCGTAGCAGTATATTGCACTCCGCCAATGTCGAAGCCAAGCTGGCTCAACGCTGGCGCTGCTACCCAGCGTAAGCCGAGCTTTTCGAATGCCAGCTCGTAGTCTGGGTGTTTGATCCGGACAAGTGGAAAGTCATTTTCAGAGATGTTCGTGATGCACGGCTCGTCTCCTTCGGCCATCGTCACAAGAGGTAAGAGATCCCACTGTGTGCGAAGTTGGGGAGGCTGCCAGCCGAGCTCGATAATTGCTTCCGTCAAAGCGACGTTGGCAGGATCGCCTAGGATCGTATCATCGTCGTCCTTGTATCCGGCGAATGACAACAACTGCCCATTCCATACCATGGGACCTCGCTGGCCTGGCAGACGTGCCGGAAAGACACATACTGTGGGCGCGATAGTTCCATTGTTGTAAGCCTTCTTCATGTTGTCGACCAGCGTAGAGCCCATCTCTCGCGACGTTGTAACATGCCGGAGATCGCAAAGTTGCAAGCTAAACGACTCACTTCGCATGATGCATTTTGGGGAGTTCTGCCACGCCAGCCGTAGTCCATGCTCGAGCTCTTCGAATTCCTGCCACCACACACCTCCGGCAAGCATGCTCTGGTTACATGGCGAGCCTTTTGAATTGGCCTCCACTTCATTGGGTAATCTGCCAGAAAGCTGAACGAGTTGTGATGATTGTTGCAACTCCCGCAACGCATGATCTCGCCGCGCTGAAAGCTTTTCCTCTGTTCCGATGATGCCGTCTCTGTGCAGTTGCTGCAAGAAGTCGGACGCCTCTTCTTGTATCTTGCTGGCGTCGCGATCTTGTCCGACTCGTGGTTCCTTGGTCTTGATCATTCGTCCCGCTTGACAAAAGTCTTCATCGCAGGCCGTCGAGCGGAGCACAGGGCAAGCATTTCGTATGCGATCAAATTCGGATTCTGTTTCTTTCTGAGGACGATCGATTATCTTGAATGCTTCGTGAGCATCTGCCTGGGCAGCAGCGACATCGTTCTGCAAGCTTGATTTGGACGAAGAAGATGGGCATCGAGAATCGGTATTGTACCCTGTGTCATTCGTCTCGCTAAGCTCAGTGGGAGGAGAAGACGTAGTAGAGGACGTTTTCGGCTGAGTCCGAGAATACGTAAACATGGAGGTGTGATGAGTTTGGATCATCCTGTCTGTGGGGTGGGAATAGACAGTGTTCAGCTACAAAGCAGAAGAACATCGAATCCGCCAACCTGCCAGGTATTCAGCAAGAGGTAGCCCTCTGACGAAACTCTCATGATCTGGTAAAAGTTCCGCATGAGTCGCGAGGAAATGCTATCGGTTGCAAGTCCACGGAGGCGGTACGGCATGTCGTCCACTTTCTGCACTCCAGTCAACTTGCTGCATCAGGTACAGTCGCCGAGACTCGGTTAGTGGAAACATCCAGACGATTGATGACCCAGTGCGGCGGTCAGGAAGCGACTCAACTTGATCGAACCGGTTCTCCCACGGCTCTTCGCTGATGCCATGACAGAGCTTCGTGTTTCACAACTGTTCCCGAGGATGACGTCAGCTGTTCAGGAACGCTGATGGGATATGGTACGCCGAGTTACCTGCATACTTCGTTGATGGGCCTTTCGCTTCATGGCTCAAGCACAAAGATGGAGGCTCAATCCAACTCGATATGGGCACTCGTGCCATGTCCTCGAGGCCACGACATACCATGCAGGTTGGCTTTTCCAGGTTACTGCGCATCGTCGACTCATGAATTCCTGAGCTCTACGCATTCGGTGAAGAGGGGATAACAGATCAGCCAATCGCTGTTGCATTCGGAGCATGAAACATGGTTGCAATAAGGTTCACGGGAACACGAGTTAGTATCCTGGTCGTTTTGGACTGATCAGTGGGCGATGCTTCTGTATTGAAGCTGCATCTCCTGCTTCAGTTCTTGCAGCAGACGTGTATTGCGTTACGGTTTCTTCTTCCCATGATCTATATGTAGAGCATGAGCTCGTTGTCGCTGCGCGGGGTTTCCATCAAAATCCACCACAACGAGTGAAGACTTACTACCGCTGAAGCCACTTCAGAGTCGTCTGCGCCAGCGACGGAGATTCGAAGGTCGGTCGTCAATTCAGCCTTGAGCATGTCTGTGAGTCTCATGCTGGCAATATCTTGTCTCTGCGCAATAGACGTGGCGGAGGCTCGCTTTCGTCGTAAAACTTGTCCTTTTCGACATCTCCTGAACGAGAATGCCGGTGATGGTCGCACGGGCATCCATTTCAAGGCATGGCGAGGCCGATGATAGATTTGAGAGCATTTTGCGATGAGGAAGAAGGCGTTGTTTTGGCCGAGATGTTTCCTGGAGATGAAGTCTGCCAAGGCTTCGGTTTCGGTCTAACTATGTTCCGAGACACATCACTTTCTTCTCTTCCTCCCCGGCGTTCTTTGGCAAATCTCCTTCTGGTTCGAACTCTGATGCATCGACTCGCAGGATACTCGAATGAGCCTGAGCCCCGTGAAAGACGGGGCTGGCCTGCTCTCCTCGGAAATCGCTATTCATGACCTGCCTGATGGTGCTGCTAGCATCATATCCTCTCACCAGTCGGGGAGGCTTTTTCGCTGGGCTTCCAAAGCCCTATCTGGCAAGGGTGAGATCCTAGGGCTTGCCGGTGGGCGCTCTTAGCATGTTCTTTCCAGGAGACCGCGCCATCGGATCCATCCGAACACTTTCAGAGCGATGGGCCCATTTACATTACGCCAACGAGAGGTGCCCGATTCGCGGTGTTTCGGTTGCACAATCAGATCCCGACAACAATCCTCAGCTCGAAGGGATGCTGTATGTTCATGTCAAACAGTGGCGTTGCCACCGCGTCCCAGAGAAATACTGATCTGCGAGCGGTGAACTTGCCTATCCGCTAAGACTAGCTTGTGCATTGTTGCTAGTTGGGGGAAAAAGTCGGACGAAATGGACAAAATCGACTTCAAAGTGAAACTTAACGCGGTACACCATGTATGCGTATGCGTCAAGAGTCAGACGCGCGGTATGCTGTGGCTCGCTGATGATTCTCTTGCCGTATGTGTGGTCACATTGGGAGTGGTCCGTCTGTGTAAAGCTATGCCCCCTGGAGCAAATGTGTGTTGCAGTATCCGCCAAGGCACTTACGAATCCGCTGCGACGACTAGCAAAGGGATGGACCCGCAACTCTAGCATCCAGAACACTGGTATCGACCACTCTCAGGGGAGTCTCATTGCAACTAAGCGCATCGTGCCATGGCTTCGAACTTGATGGCTCCTGATCATCACAGTATAAGTGCGGTAGACACTCACCGAATGGGGACTGTCCTCAGACTTTACAAACAACGACAATCCCACCTCTCCTCCTTCCTTCTTAACAGCATCACGAGCCACCTCGCGTTCCTGCTCCCTTGACCCAAGAAATTCACTTCTACTGAGACATCTGCGACAATGTTAGCCTTCCACTGCATCTGGGCTGCTCTTGTCTTACCGGCTCTGGCCAAACTGGGCACAGGAGGTACGCAGTGCCAGGATTCCAATCTTGCGTCGCCGAAAGACTAATGAACGGGCAGGAGAATGCAGGACTTCAGATGACTGTTGCCGTTGCGACACTAGTACTGACTGTGCGCTCGAATGCCATCGTTCGTGACATCCACGCCCAACTCTATCACGCAGGACCTATGCTAACATGGCAATAGCGGACACAAGCTCGACTACGGGCGGTCGATGCTCCAATGGCGGAGACATCACAAAATGCTACGTGTCTAACTGTTATTGCTGAAATTAAAGAGCTGGAGGGGACATGGGTCTGTGGAAGTTGCAATTCCAAACTCCACGCATCGCAGGTCTCTTGAGTATTGGAGTGGTCTTAGCAACATCTGGCGACAATCGAAAGCTGACTCCGCATTTCAAATCTTGTGTCTCAATTTCTTGCTTATCAGTAGAACATCAGGAGAGGCGCTGCAATCTAGTTGATTGGTGCTGATTCCGGCTCTCGCCAAAAAGCGAAATGTACATCCGCATCAGGCTTGAAGCATGTGTTTGCTTCTTGCATCTCTGCCTTCTGCGACCTAGTTAAGCCCTTCCGTATACCGAAGAAAAGCGGGCAAACAATTGATGTCGCGAAGAATGTAGAAGCGCTGGGGCCTCAAGGTCTCTATTCTGCTGTCCATGGCTAGTGCGGATGCGATATAATGTCTTTCTTTCATCTCAATACGCAGGAGTGATTCAAGAACTGGTCATGTGGCGCACTCGAATGCAGTGGCTAGCACCAAGCCCAACGCTCGTTAGCAGTCCTTAGTCTCGGATGAATTAGACATGTCTTGTGAGCTTCCACTTAATTACTCTTTGACATCTCTACTTTCTTTAGCTGGAGTGTTCCCTCCATCCGACTTCTTATCATTATACTACTTTCAATCACCCACTATACGCATATTTCCCAATGTATCGTCTTGCTATACAGACCCGGGAGTGGCTCGAAAATGGCGGCTGAGCAAGTCTTTGTGAACGGTCGCTATTATTGTGAACAAAGGAGCCTTTTTTTGTTCGGGTGAAGAACAACGAGATCGAATGGAGCTTTGCACACAATGGCTTTGTGAGTGCGATTGTATTAGAGTTCTCTTGTGCCCAATACTGACAGTGCAAGCATATCACTATCCGCACTACGCGCAGCACATCTGCAGATCCTCCGATTCCGCTAATTTCCAACACTCCGCCGACTCTTGCTGCTGGTCAGCAACACAAGTCCACGATGTCCCGAAGACTAATCGAACACCGTCGCTCTGCTCAGATTCCAGCGAGCGTGCTTCAGCAGACACTGAATATCAGTAAGCGATGCTCCAACTTCTGCTGTTCGGAATTCTACAACGCCGTAGAGGAAGAAGTGAAAGCACCGACTGACCCTTTACAGAACGAACCACATCCGATCTTCGCCCGCGAACAGTTTACCTTCGATCCCGACTTCACAGAAGAACGGGCAGACGACGAATGGGAGTTTTTGATACCCACCCTCCGACTTGCAACCAAGCTCATGACCACCGATGCCTTCAAGAAGCACATTGTCGGGCTTGTAGACGGAGATATTTATCACGCGGCATCGAATGCTCAAAAGCCTCGGAGAGGACGAAAGATCAAATGTCTGTTGCAGACCTTCACGCCTGAATGGCAGCCCAAAGACATCTCGATCTACCCCAAGCAGAAACACATCGACGACGCTATGCGATCCAGAGCAGAAGAAATCATGATGCAGCTAGTCAACTTGGTCAGCTTCAGCGTCATAGATGACACCGAAGATTTCTCTGGTGTGACCGAGGCCGTCATTGGCCCTCTCCCAGATGACATCCCCCTCGCCTTCTCATATGGCTGCAAATCCCACATCACATTGGCGTGGGGGCCAACAGCGCAGCCTTGCACAGATGAGCGCAACCTACTCAACGCTCAACTTGCAAACGCAACCACCCTCCTGCACGAGACCTTCGGCCATGCTCTCATGGCTGCCCGCGTGGGACATCGTTGCCCGGAGCCATACCTTCGAAACTGTACCCTATCTGAATGTGGCCACGATGTGATCAGCGCCATCTTCGGTGGCATCATTCAAAACATAAGAATCGATGTTTCACCGGAGTGGCAGAATGAGCTTCGCTGCCGAGAAATTGATGAGGATAAACGGGTCCTCAGCCTGATCGATTGGCCTTCCAACAACATCGCTCATAGATATATCTCCGCTGAAGATGCTACGTTCGGCAGTCGAAGCGCAGTGGGACATTTCGACAAGATCACCCGTATCCCAGAAAGCTTTCTCTCTGATATCCACTCCGAACGGTGGTGGGCTGAGCGTGAGCAGAATTGTACCAAGGCGGAACTCGAAGGCCCTCTTGTTCCTCGAAACGGCCCAAAGTGGATTATCAAATGGGTGGGAGAACGGGTGAAACGCTTCACCGACTGTCACGAACTCCGCAATGATAACACCTGGGTAGGAGAGCAAGGTCGCGAAACGTGCGGTCCCCAATTCGGAGAGGACTCAAGCGTTGAATCGATGTTCGTCGAGAATGCTCCGTCCGCCGACCTCCCGGAATGGGTTCGAGAGGAAATTGACAAGATCGCTCGCAAGCGAGATTCCTCTCGTGAATTGGGATTGTCCGATGACCGGGTGAGAGCGGCTGGCATCTTTATGGATATCTATGATTCTCCACAGGAGCAGACTGATCGAAGAAACTCCGTGGAAGTATTCATTGACGATACCGAAGCCGAGTACCCGGGAAAAGCTCTAGACCAAGCTGACAGGACGCCCAATCCAAGGGAACGAAGGAACACGCTTCCGGGAAAGCACAATCTCGAGGAAGACGACGAGAGCTACGGACACTACGTTTCATTCGAGAACTTCATGGAGGACGTGAGGAACTTAAGTGTTGACCAACAAGCTGCCACCAAGCTCGCAGCACCTTCTCGCCCTGTGACTTTGTCCACGAAGGTCCGACAGGAGCTGAGTGAGCTGAGCATCGGACAAGGTGCTGGTAACAAGCGAAAAAGGCCAGTCGCTGATGAGGGTGACAGGTCTCAAGTACACTCCTACCGAAGGATCACTACCTAAGCAAAGTAGTATCGCGCCCAAGCCATGCACAGCTCAAACACATCTGCATCCTAGCCAAAGAACACCGAAAGTCTACCAATATCACTAATCATAAACCATCGCTACTTCCACCTTTCCCAAAAGAATATTACCCGAAGCCAAACAGCTACATTAGTACATTGCTGTTAGCCCTAAATTCTTGTTTCTGCAAATTCTTGTCTTTGTGGCACGTGCGCTCGCACATTTTCCATAAGCCTCGGTGTGGCGAACTCATGTGATCAGATCTCAGATTGGTGCTTCCATGTGTCCCCATGTGCCCCCATGTGGTATGTTGCGCTCACTGGGCATGTTGCTTTGTTTGGGACTATGCGATGTGATTTTGCTGCGTCTGTGTTGGTGTTGGGGAGTGACTGGTATGGTGCTGTAGCAGGATTTCGTGATATTTGTGGGACTTTTCAGGTTGTGTCGTGGGGTGGGGTGTTCGCCGATTGTTGGATATTCTCTGGTCGTCGAATTTGCTGTTTCGTGTAAGATCCCGCTTCAGAAATACTATGCTCATAGAAATAGAAAATGCTTGAAAGAGAATTGATCATCAATAATCATGATTTTGTACAATTTGTGAATATGTACAAGAAGCTGTCGCTCAATTTTCGAGCCGCTTAGAAGGTTTCATCATTCATCTCTATCCCATTTGGGGAACATCATCAAATCCTCTACTTGGTAATACCCTCCCTGGTGCTGCGCTGGTAACCTGGGAACTGCTGAAGGAGTTGCGCGTCAAGTGTACGGAGCTGTGGGCATGACAATGGGCCGAGAAGGTTTTGCAATGGGGTGGTCAGACCGCCGAGGGCACCGAGAAGATCTGGCTTAGCTTGAGTGGCGAATTGGTAGGCGAGGCAGGCAAAGTTATTGCCCTCGAGGAGGTTCTGGCCGTTGATGACGCCGCCGCTGAAGTCGTTCACATTGACGCCGGTGAAAGTGTTGACGCCGTTGGTGTTACCTCCGATGTCTGAGAGGAGATTAAGTCAGTGTTTGTAGTTGGGAGAATGTAGAGATGTCAACTTACTGGCAAACTTAGGGTGGAGACGGATGGCGTTGGCAGCATCGCCGAGGAAGTAGGGGGTCTCGTATGGGGTGGTGAGAGATCGACGGTACCAGTTCTCTGGGATACGCTCGCCACCGGGGTTGACAGTGTAGGAACCGGACTCGCCCTCAATACCGAACCAAGATTGCAGGACTTCGTGGGAAAGGAAGCCAATGGGGTCTTCGGCAGAGTGATTGGCCATGAAACGGTAGATGAAAGTGTACGCTGCGGGCTGCACGAGCACACCGGTGAAGGGTCCATTGAAGAAGTATTGGTTGCTGGCGATTTGATCGTCGAAACGCTGGGATCGGAAAGCTGTGAGGGACTCTAAGTCGACGAAACCGCTTGGGGAGAAATCGATGAGCTGTTGGAACTGGGCAATGTTGACCTTGAAGTTATTGCCTGATTGGTAGAGATCGAATCGGGTTGGCGAGGCATCCGACTCGTACCTGGATCAATTGTTAGTTGACCCTTCCTCAGGAGGTCGCTATGTTGATCCGTGACTCACTTGTTGTGTGATCCGCTGATACCGTTGCCGAATCGAGCGAGTGGTCCACCAACACCAAGTGGTGGGGTGCCGTGGATCGACCACGATGTACCATCGCCGTCGATGCTTGCGCCAAGGACTGCGAGGAAAGTGGCGAGGAGTGGGCCCATACCGACGACCTTGGTTGTGGCATCGATGAACTGGGGAATGGTGGCATACCCATTTCGTGCTGTGGACTGTTAGCCTCTGCCTCATCAAGCGTGCATTCTCAAAGCGTACGAAGGAAGCCATGGTTGGCAAAGGCGTTCAGTCCTGGACATGGACCACGGAGGTCGTTCTGGCGAGGAGCCTGCCACTCGTGACCAGAACCTGGACCAACATCGATGAGCTGGTCCTCGCTGAAGGTCGGGTTGGCCTCGAAGATGGCCGAGGCGCTACCAGCACCCTCTTGTCTCTTCGAGATGTCCATGATCTCAGCTGCTCGCGCGGCGAGCGCTGGATCCTGTGCTGCCTGCTCCAGCACGGCAGCTGGGAAGGCCGCAGCCAACGGAGCCAAGAGAAGGGGGGTGGTGAACTTCATGATGTCGGTATGGAGCGTTCGAAGTACTGCAGACCTGAGCTGGGAGAAGAAGTAGGAGAGAAGGGCGACGATCACTTGGAATATATACAAACCACTCTCTGCCTACTTCGCGCCGGTATACCGTAGAACTGGGGCACCGCGTGAACGGCTTCAAAGCATGCGTCGGAGGCGCGTGCAGAAAGGGTCCGTGGCGCTTCATGGCTGACGATCGGCATTGCGCTTGCATGTAACCATAAAAGATCAGCCAGTCACAGCAGCCAAGATAGATGACAGAGTTTGCCCGAACCACACGACAGCAACGCCATGAATGCCGATCAGCAGTGGATTGCGGGGAAAGGAGCACTTCAGTGCGAACGCACGTCGACGTCGAACAAGACTTATGGCGTTTTCCGCAGCACTTCAGCCAATCTGCGAGCTGGAGTTGGTCAGGTCGAGGGCAAAAGTCCGATGATCTGCACATTCCCGACTCCATTCGGAAGGACGTCCAAAACACCACAGCCATCACAGGCTTTTGGCTCTTGGTCTTTTTCACAAGCGCGATGTTTCCCCGCGAAAAGTCCACGGCAATGCGCGGCAAATGTGGCACCGTTGGCTGAGTCTTGATGATGCCAGGCTGCTTGTGGAAGGAGTTGCGACGCGTCAGTGGCGATGGTGAGGCTAAAGACTCTAAGTCGACCTCAGGTGTTTGTGATGTTTGGAAGAAGGTTTGGATGGGCATCTGGTTTAGAGTAGGCTAGAATTGCTCCTGGGGTCCTTATTCTACATGTCGACATAGGCTATTCTTTCTCGAAATGTCCGCTGTTAGTTTTATCGAGAGTATCATGAACAGACGACGACTTGCCTGCTATGCTGCACAGGCGTAGCATGCCGCCACTTACGCCATCTTGGCAAGAACTCGCTTACTCGACGGCCTCTTGTCAGGTCCGCTCATGATCATACAGAAAGACGTCAACCAGATGACGAATGAGTGAAAGTAGCCATACTGTGAAAGACAGCAGTGGAGACTTAGGACCTCATCATACAGCTGCTTCATTTTCGGATCTAATCAGGCAGTCAGATGTAGCCAAGACGAGCAGAAACCCTCACTCCAGCTCAATATCCGACCCATACTGGCTACCTTCATCCCCTTCCTGCACTTCGTCCAGACAATCCTCGCAGAGACCAACTTCTTCTTCCTCCGGCAACAGAATATTGCTACACCACTGAGCCGAGCACGTCGCCCCATCCTCCCTCGCACCCTGCTCCGACCACTCTCCCTGCTCATCGTCCTTCTTGACCTTCCTAACAGCCACCTCACGCTCCTTGCGCTTCTCAGAGCGACGAGCTTCAGGCCGCTTATTCTTCGTCGTGGCCAAGACTCGCTGTGCAGGATCAGCAAGGCGAGTAAGAGTATCTCGCAGCACCTGTTTCCGCTCGTCGACGGGTATGTCGCGAAGTTTCGATTGGTTGATGATTGGCTGGAGCCAGCCGGATCGACCGATATTGGGCACGAGACGCCGAATTTGTCTGACGAGCTCTGCGAGGCTCTCTTCTCGTTCTGGAGCTGGCTCTGGGGCTGCAGCAGGAGCTGGTGTCGCGAGGCTTCCTGTCCGCTTGCGTGCTATGGGGTCTGTGGATGGAGTCTTGCTGATGGCTACGACCTCACCATTGTGGTCCATGCCATGTAGGAGGACCTCTCCGCCTGCCACTCTACTCGGGCCAGCACCCTGTTCGTTGTGCGTTGTGCGAGCTGGCACCTCGAATGGACGGGGCGCCAGCGGGTTTGGAATTGATGGCGCGTTCTGGTAGCCAGCATTCTCATACGTCGTCGGAAGCTGCGCAGTCATCAGGCCCCAAGTGCCCATAGCAGGCGCTCGCTGTTCCTCGTGCACCGTCACCTGCATTCCAGAGACTTCTCGCTGAGTATTGGCGCCCTGAACCCCGTAGAACTGATTGAAGTTGTCATATCGAGGATCAAGTACAAACGGGCGTTGCACTCGGAAGCCCACCCGGCCATTCGCGTTAATGTGTTGTACTCTCCAGCCATCAGGCAAGAAATCGTTCAGGCGGATGAGGAAATCAGGATGCTCATGTAGAAGTATGATGACCCGATCTAGGTATGTCTCCGGGTCAAGATCGCCAGCCTGCTGAACTTGGGAGAGCCGTAGGAAGCGTTGCTTGATGTCTTGGCCATAGACCTGGCCGATGTCACTCACAAAGACATAGTAGCCGGCGATGCTCCGTCTGTTGGTGTTGGTCTTGGGCGCAGGAGGTATCGGCGCCGGCAGAGAGCTGCTGTTCGCACTCGCATGTTCGAGCCGATTCTCCAGAGACCGATCGTCTACGTCCGGTTGAGGCACGGGTTGCTCGTTGGTATTGGTTTTGGCGACAGGCGAGGAGCCTATTACGAATGGCTGCTCCTGAGTGCCGCGCATTGTCGTAGTTGCCGAAGAGCTCGATGGGTTGAGCTAACGAGTACTGTTAGATTGCAAGGGGTTTGCGGATGTGCTGGAAGTGTTGTCCTGCTGTGCCAGTCTATGTCTGTTAACCAAAAGACTCGAAGTTGGTAAAGAAGAAGAAGCTCTGAAAAGTGCATGGCGAGACCAGCATTCGCGGGAGAAAGACCAGTGACGTGTTCCACGGGGCAGAATATTTCTAGAGTTCGACAAACAACGCAGCGCACGAACGTGTGCATTCACTTTCTCAGGCGGCTTCAATGTTCACCTTCCACAGAACAGTAGCTTCATATGCTTGGTGGTCTTGCCCCAAGGTCGTCGGCGACAGATGGTAGTGCCTCAGACACTTTTCGGCGACACAATTTCGCCCAAGGCCCAGCTGGCTAGCTCGGAGCCTGTGGGAATCTGGGAGACAGAAGAAACCTTTGCAGGGCTGCTGTGGATGATCGAGGGCACGGAGATCCATGTTGTCGGTCTTCCGTACGCGATAGGGTGGAACAACATGAATGAAATCGTTCGGGACATCACATATCCTTTGTCCTTCCAGGTCGCCAGCAGAGACTCCGATGGGACAGATCCCCCTTGCGCGGCGATGGTGAAGCGTATAGACGCTTCCAGCGAATGGTGAGGCAGCCGTAATGATATGCTGAGCCCAGCACACCAAACGTCGTGACACACGTCGAATTCGACCATTTTTCATTCCCAAACGTTCGAGGGGTTGTGGATTGAGTGTACCTTGGAGCATTCTCATGTTCTGCAGAGTGATCTGAAGCTGGGTGAATCGTAGTCTGCTCCATATTCGGCGCTGAGAAGGCACTCGAACCTTCCGTGTGGAGGGCGTGCCATCGCGAATGCCCAGGAACAAGGAGTGTTAGCGTCGTCGTTCGTAGATGTCTGACAACCTCCGGAGGGAACTAGAATGGCCATTTCCTTCGCACCTCATCAGCAGTCATCCCATACTCGCCGCTTCTTTCCATCATCAGTTCCATCAGCTCTTTGTTCTGCCGTCTTTTGAGCTCGACATCTGTGCCAGGCGGTAGCCACCCTTCGGAGTCTGTATCCAGATAGTCCCGCGTGATAGCGTGGATCTTTTGAACTTTTTCATACTCTTCGAACTCGCGTTCGTGGACTGCCAGCTCTTCTGCAGTGAAATCGATCGGACACTCCCCCTCCAGATCGAACTCATTCCAAACTTTCGATATTTCAATGAGACAGGCACGCAGTGGCACGATTCCCTCTTCTGACGCTTCTCCGCAGCGTTCGAATAGGTCTTTGAAGTAAGATGGCAGCTTGAGGGCTTTGTAGACTTCTTTGTTCTTGAAGCCGCTGGCGGCCTCGTAAGCTTTGGCCATGCAAGCTTGCTTGTGCTCATACTCGGCCAGTATCCGGTCGTCTTCGTCCATCTGATCGAGATTGTTCGGCCGCTGCGGTACGGGTCCTCCGATCTCATAGTCTTCGGGGACATCGAGGAATGTTGGGAAGCGGACTTGGTATAGAAGAGGTGATACCACTACTGATTGCCAGTCTATAATTGAGACGATCTTGGTGTGATCTTCTTCAAAGACGAAAATTTTGCCGAGGTGGAGATCGGTATGCCATAACGTTGGCTTTGAAAATCGTGCTGGTAGACTGTTGGGACCGATACGTGTCACCACTTCCTCGGCTAGTCGAAGAGTGGCAATTTTTGAGGCAAGCGAGCCAGATTCCTGAGTGGCGGATGTACGCTGGATACAGGACATCTCACGATGCACGAGAGCTTTGCCAAAAGCTCTGAGGTCGGACCCTACACACCATGTAAGCTCGTCGGAGCAGACAAATATTGCATTCAAAGGACTCACATGGACCCTTCTCTCCTACGAAACTTTTTGCTTCATCCCATGCAGGATCGCAAGAAGGACCTATGCAGAAACGGCCATCTGGATCTGCGGAAGGCTTGAGGAGCACTGAGCTGTCGCTACTTTTCAATGACTCCCGCAAATATAGAGATCCGTGCGCAGGAAAATCGATGGCAGCAAGTTCAGATTCGAGCGCGCAAAGGTTCTTGATGAATACGAAGTGATCGTAGTCAGGCATGTTGGCCCAAACTTTGCTCAACTGCACGCCAGGCGCCTTCTCCATGATGATGTACTCGGATCCGATGGCGTTCGAAACATCAGAATTCCAGGCCAGGACCTTGGGTACTGGCACCTCGGTGTGCTGGCGGACTTGTTAACGCAAGCATAAGCGGCATCTTCCCACATCCAGCCCTGGGCTCGTCTTACCGTAACGGAGGACGGCGACCTCGGAAGCAGTGGTATAGTGCGGCGGCCCTGCAATCTTGAACGGAAGCTTGGCGATCAGCTCGCTCCCGTCTGTCTTCTTGAGTAAAAGTGCTTTACTGAAGCCACCTTCCATCTTCTCAATCTCGTGGACAGCTGGTTTGCTCCCGATTTTGGAGGCAAGAGAGCACAACTCATTGACATTGAAGTTCAGGTGGCGTCGCTTGAGCGCGGTGGCTTCGTTGATCAGGAATGATCCATTTGTGTACCGTTGAAGCTGATCAAGGCCGATCGTGGAGCCTGTAATCATTAAGCGGCTGGCCTCGCATATGTTCATGCGACTCACCTCGGCAAGTCGTCATGACGTTCCGCCTCGTGGCATGTTTCGGAATGGCCTGGGCCCATCTGGGGAGTCTCATGGCGAGGCAGACAGAAAATATCTGGCAATGTGCGGCAGAAGCGAAGAACGAAATAGGCCAAGGCAACACAGGATATACCTTTCAATCCGCTTGTATCCTCTCCTGAATGGCAAGACTGACCGTATCCTCAGGATCGCCGCTGTTCAGAGCTTGTCATACCAATCGATAATAGCTGTCGCTGCGATCCCTGGCCCTCAAAGAATGGTATTGCGTGTGATCCGTACCAGGCTTGTCCCCCAGGTATACTCTATCATTGAACAGCTCCTAACTCGGGCGAATTCTTGCTGTGGCCGACCTGGCTCGCTGTAGCAATATCGAAGTGTCTCCCAGATGCGCTGTCTCATTCCCGTCGGATCTGCGCCTGAAAGCTTTATGAGATGCCAGATATGCTGTGTTTACTCAATTGAAGCCATATTGCGCCTTTTTAAGCACCTTGTCTGCTGCTGCTCGATGTGAGAGATCGTTGTGGTGAACAAAGGATGTTGTGTTGTGGTGAGCATGGAGTCGAGATGCCGGCAGAAGCCGACATCCGGCCGTTCTTGGCGTTCTCCTCGTTGTCGTCATGGCAGTCGCGTCGGCAAGTACGCCTTGTGCCATCTCACGACTTCACTTCACCTCTTCCACTTCGATTGTTGATCTCACCTCGCCCTCATCAACGACCTTCATCAGAAAGATATCTCCCGTGTTTGGAACCTGGTTCGGAGCGGGAACTACAAGCTTCGCTGATGCGGAACCACGCCGGAGTTTCATCCGCAGCCGATGGGTGCAGGCTGCGCCAGTTTCTGGCCTCTTTTTACGGCATGAAGGCGTTCAGCATCGGCGTCGGGTCCGGCAGCTCGAACCAACGGCGAGATTGTGCCGTAATGTAGCAGAAGACCAGATGTATCGGCAAGACAAGTTGGTATTCGGCACAAGCCTTCGGTAGACGACGAATCCGCCCAGCTCATGAATGCGGAGCCACGATCTCTGGATGGCAGATGCTTGGAGCAGAGAGCTCCGGAAACGGCCATTGTCGAGCTTTGACGGTACGCCGTTGTCCTCTGGCGAACCTGGCCCTCTGGGTGACAAGCAGTCCAGCCGCCCAGCATCTGCCGTGCCTATACTGCAGATTGAGCTTCCAAAGTACAAGGCCATACTCGAAACGGGCTATTACATCGAGCGTAATAGTATGCGCTTCCGCCACCCGCCGCTGCCCCAGGCTGTGTCCCCCAGACCCGGCCCGGACGTTCTACTTTCCGGCTTGGATTTCTCCGGTTCCATCTTTTCGGTACCCCTTAGAAGCGGCTTCGTGTTGTAGGGCAATCTATCTCGGGTCCATGAGTACCGATGCCAGGCTGTTCGACGCCTCGCAATCACGGAACAAAACAACACGCGCCCATCACCGCAGCATTGCGAGGAAGTGTATGCAGCGCTTGCGGAGTCGGACATCTCGTGCGGGAAGCGGCATCGCACGATCATATACTGATCCAGCTCTTGCACTCCATCAATCCAATGGCTCAATGGTCTAGTGGTATGATTCTTGCTTTGGGTAGCCTCGTGCTCCATACTGCAAGAGGTCCTTGGTTCAATTCCGAGTTGAGTGTGTCTTCCCGCCGTCTATCCGCCGCCAGAATCGTCACTAACATGTTACAAAGGCCCTTCGTACGATGGATATTCTTTTTTGCCGTTGCAGCGAAGATTTTGTGTGGAAAAGCGAACTTTTGGGCGTGTGGGATCTGCCAAGCACGAAGACGATGCAGATCTCCACCAATGAGAGCATCGGACAGTAACAGCACGGACAGCTACAATTTTGGACCGACTCACCAAGGATCGCACAGAGGCAACAGCTTTTTGCGTCAAAATAGTGATTTTTGCCTTGAAGAAGCTGCTTCGCCCGACGTAGCGGAACCGCATTGTGATCTGATGAACTCACTTTCGGATGGCACAGCAGCTCCAGCTGCAGATATTCCGACCTAGGGCCGGAGGAATTGCCAACAAAACGCCCGAATCTCGAACACGGTGCGGTATGAGACGGTGTGCCAGAACAAGCAGCTTGGAGGCCCGTCGTTCCGCGCTCCCATTGATTTGCAGTCCGGGCAAGCAGGTCTCGATCGACGCAAACCACTCCATCGCAGGATCAAGGCACATGACGACCTACTCATGGTCCCTGCAGAGCAATTTAGCTGAGATGTCGAGGTAAGTCGTCTATTCAGGCAGATTCAGACCCTGGTGGTCCAAGGCTCTGCTGAATGCAGCTCGCATTGTAGACCTGCTGTGTGTCATGGCATTATAGCACAGCTCCAACCAGCGGACTCTGGTACGACAGACTTTCATAAGTACTGCGATGCGGCTATTTACTTTCCAATCTATTAGTGTGTGGACCAGCATTTTCCTGTGTCACTTGCTATGGCTAAATTGACCTACAAGGCCATAACCGTGGATACCTCTGGATGCAACGACCTTTGAGTGCAACCGCAGGGCGCTAAGCCAGTTAGCAAAGCTTTCCATGGATTGAGAGCCAATCTAGTTAGCCGCTTGCACTCAGAGGTCGTTGCGTTCACAGGTAGCCACGGTGACTTGTTCCGACACGCGGTGCTCTATCGAGTGGCTTCAAGCTACGCTTTCTGATCCCAGCTGCCCCAGATTCGCCTGACATACTGTGCAACGTGACAACGGATGCAAATGGAAGCCGTTCCCCTCAGATTCTCGTCCGAGCTGCAGGGACCATACGTACCTGCCTGGCCATTGCTAGGGCTAGCAAGCATGACTCGCGACTCATGACCAGACTTTCCTGGAGACACCAAAGCTGGGCCAAATGTTGAAGCCATGGCAGATAAACATGAAAATCGACGCAGTATCTCCTTTGCTAACTGGTCGACGGTCTTCGCTTCCGCTGTGGCAGTAGACAAAGCAGGCTTCTTGGTCGGAGGTTTTTCCAGAAGTCGGCAAGCAGACGACGTTCAACAACATGCACCAATGAGTGACAAACAATCTACGCACCCATGGCTATCAATGCATTCTCCACGAATCTCATCTAGCACCCGTCGTCCCGGAGTGCCAAGCAGCATCAAGCGATCCAGTCGCCTGCAAGGCCAGCTATAAAGGCCTGCAAACCCCAATCTACAATGCGTCGCCAAGCGATTGACAGGCTTGCGCTGTGCTTGCATAGCTTGTGTAACGATCCTTCCGTGTCTCCATTGAGCTACGATAATTAATATACAGAGCCAGCTCAGCGTCTAGGTCATGCAGGTGACCATTTCGACCCTATTCCATTGCCCGCAGGGACAGTACCTCGTTCAGCTCTCGGACTAGCAGCCGACTTTCCGACTAACAACAAATACACGTGCCGGGCCTTGTGACACTCTTTGATCATAGGGGTCCAGTCGACACTGCGGGCTCGTGTACGTCGACCTGGACATCGACCCAGGCCCTTACTTTAATATGGCAGAATACCTATCTCGCCTCGGCGATGGGCCATTTATCCGGGCAAGAACAAGAGATCCAGCAGTATATCAATAGCAAAGACCGCCCCAATCTGCATTCGAAATCATCAGCAACACTCCAGTCCTTTCACACTCGCCTCACGAACAGACACGCTCTACGCTACCTCACGATCCTTCATCATGCTTCACGAGGCAATCTTCGCGGCCATTGGCTTGGCTGGCCTGGCCAAAGGTCAGCAGGCCGGCACTGTGACTCCTGAAGTTCATCCAAAGCTTCCAATGTCCCAGTGCACGGCTTCTGGATGCACCACGCTCAACACCGAGATCACTTTGGACTCGAACTGGCGCTGGTTGCACACCACCAGTGGCTACACGAACTGCTACACTGGAAACACATTTGATCGTTCGATCTGCTCTTCGGCTTCGGCTTGCGCTGCCAACTGCGCAGTCGATGGCGCCGACTACCCTGGCACGTACGGTATCAGAGCTTCTGGCAATGCCTTGACCCTTGGGTTCAAGACTGGCTCCAACGTTGGAAGCCGGAACTACCTCATGGACCCCAGCGGTACGGCCTACAAGGTGTTCAAGCTCAAGAACAAGGAGTTCACCTTCGATGTTGACGTCTCAAACCTTCCGTGTGGCGTCAACGGGGCTTTGTACTTCGCGGAGGTCAGTTCGATTCGTGATCATGAATGTGACAGAAGCTGATTTCTCCAGATGCCGGCCAATGGTGGCGCTTCTCCAGCTGGTGCCAAGTACGGCACTGGTTATTGCGATGCTCAGTGCCCTCGCGACTTGAAGTTTGTCAACGGCGTGGTATGTTTACACTGCAAAAGTCTTCTACCCTGGCTCTTTACTGACATCTGTGATAGGCCAACAGCGACAGCTGGACACCATCCAATGGCGACCCGAACTCCGGTACTGGCAGACTCGGTGCTTGCTGCGCTGAGATGGACATCTGGGAAGCCAACTCCATCTCCAACGCCTACACTCCCCACCCTTGCCAAGGCAGTGGTCTGCAGACCTGCACTTCCGACCAGCAGTGTGGTGCCGAGCCATACCGCGTAAGTCCCTCTCATCAATATTTCGCCAAAGCTGGCCAGTTCCTAACACAGCAATATAGTACGAAGGCCTCTGCGACCGTGACGGCTGCGACTTCAACCCCTACCGCGCCGGCAACACCTCCTTCTACGGCCCCGGCAAAACCATCGACACGCGCCAAAAAATGACAGTTATCACCCAATTCATCACCACCGACGGCACCGACAATGGCCAACTCAAAGAAATCCGCCGCATCTACAAACAAGGCAACCGCGTCATCCAGAACTCCGTCTCGGATCTCCAAGGCGTCGACGACTCCAACAGCCTCACGGACAAATTCTGCACGCAGCAAAAGACTCTCTTTGGCGACAACCAGGATTTCGCTCGCAAGGGAGGTATGGCTAAGATGGGTGATGCTATGGGACGTGGTATGGTTCTTGTGATGTCGATTTGGGATGACCACTACGCTAGTATGCTCTGGCTTGATGGCACTTACCCAATCGGTGGATCTGGACCTGGTGTTGTTCGTGGTACTTGCGATTCTACGAGTGGTCTGCCCAAGAATGTTGAGGCGAACTTCCCCGGCTCCAGTGTTACGTTCTCGAACATCAAGTTTGGAACTATCGGGTCGACTTACACGAAGTAGGAGGTGAGTGTGACATGTGGAGAACACAGATTGTGAGAGAAGTGTGAGTTTGGAAGGACTTGTGAGCTGTCGTTACTGCTGATACGATTCTTCTTTACTTACTGTCGCTTTTGTTGTGAGATAGCTACAGGTAGCTTTTTCAGAATGATACGCTCGTTGACCATACTCGAAAGTCTCGATTCGTCATACAATCGCCCAAGAACAACCCGCAGACTTCGATTTTTCCTTTGTTCCGTCTATCTGACATCGTCCAATCAAGTACGAAGCATGATTCTTTGTGGTAAACTCCAGCATTTTGGCACAATGCTATTGTGTAGTCGCCAAAATCATCAAATTAGGAGTTCGATGCCACTTTGTCTATACTTTGATGTCACGACGAAACAATGTTCACGCATGCTGTGCCATTACTAATAAATGTACACCGGATCGCACGCTTCTAGTTGTAAGATTTATCAAAACAGTAATCGCAACACATCCCCCTCAATCTCAGAAACAATCTCATTACCATGACCCAACAACGAAGAAACGCAATCGTCTCCGAGCACCTGTTCCCTACAGACTGCTCTGCTCCTGCCAATCTAACTCCCGAACAAGAAAGAGAACCAAAACTCACAGGCCACAAGTTCCACGACAGTCTTGCTTCTGCTCAGCTGAATAGACACCCTCTGAACTGTACTGGACACAGTATACATGATACGTGGGTTCGATCTCGGGAAGAAGAACTTGCTGCTGCAGCTCAGGAGGCTTCTTCTGGGCAGCTTGAACCCGCACCGAGGGAGCAGGAGGTGCCAGCAAAGTTCGTGGAAGATGAAGTTTTGAAGGAGCAAGTGGCAAGGTTCAGGGTGTTTCCGCCGGTAAGCAAGAGGACCTGAGGTTGACATGTTTACATGGGGGAGCAGAGCGGTGATGATGAGGATTGGAGATTAGATGTATAGGTACGGGAGTTTGAGCATCAGTAGAACGAGAATCATAAAACCCAATCATGCTGAACTATCGCTCCAAATTAATTTCCGGCTTCCGTCGCTGTCCAGAGTTCTGTATACTAGCTTACAGAGTCATGTTATGATAGAGCCGTCGTGGGAAAATTAAGCACGATCTGTAGTGTTGTAGAGAAGATTGGCCGAAGGAATTGCACTGAGGTATCGCTCCAAACTCATTTCCGGTTCCATTCGCTGTTCAAGATTCTGCGTAACAGCTTGCAAGTTCACGACTTGGTAGAACTGCGGACGGCGAATGGAGTGATATTCATGTTATCAGTAGAAGAAAGTGACGGGACAACTTCTACTGCGCTATCACTCAGAAGTCATTTACATTCCCAATTGTTTCTCAGAGCTCCGTTCGTTGGCTCGCAGAATTATGATATATTGGAGCTGCGGAGGCAGTACTCGGTCCTATTTGATAACATTAGTAGTGGGAACTGGCGGCACGTATACCATTGAGCGACCGCTCCAAACTCGTTTTCATCTGCATCTGTTCCTCAGAGGTCCATTCCTTAGCTCACAGGATCATGATGTAGCGGAGCGCCATTGATGGACTTGTGCTCATACTGTGATCTCGTTCATTTCTCCGCCTGCCGGCTCACCATACCACATCATGCATCACGGTATATCCACGCTCTGCTATATCATAACATTTAGAAACACCAGCTCTTTCTTGAGGGAAGTTGTTTATCAGTACAAAGTAAGCATAAGGCACAATTCTGCTGATACCACACTCCTGATTCATTACCCTTTCAATTCGCTCTTTGAAGGTCTATTGGTTGGCACTCATAGTCAGGGTACGATAGAAGTAGACTTGTAGAATCGAGCTGATCCTCTTGATATCACTCGTTTCTCCGCCGCTCGGCTCATCAATGCTCGCACTTCATTGTGATTTATCCCTGCTCTGCTATGTAATCGCAGCCAGAGACGCCAGTTCCTCCTCTGCCCATACCAATCCCAACCCTCCTCACTTCCACCCACCCTGCTGCCGCCGTGCCCTCTCCTCGCCCTTTCTCTTTCTCTCCTCCTTGTCCAGCCGGTTTTTCACGCGATGCTCATCGCGAATTCTCTTCTTCTCCACCAACTCCGCCAGCCTGACCCTCACTCGTTGATCCAGAGCGCCACTCGTCGCCCGGCATCGCTCCAGTATTGCGTTGGCCTCCGCTTCCTCGTACTGGTCGTGCACCTTGTCCCAGCAGAATTGATGTATCACAGAAGCAAGAGGGTCGACCTTGAATGTGGGTGGAATGCCATCGAACCGCGAGAACACGTGCCACGCCTCTTGGAGGTCAGTGGCGGTCGTCTTGGGGTCGTGACTCAGATCCCAGGCGAGTTTGCCAGCGAGGCGTTCTTGTACGGTCGTTGGCTCGATGGACAAGATTTGGCAGGCTTCCCAGGTTCGCACGTTTTGTGCCTTGGTGAACTTCGTGACGTTGAGGTAGAACTGCTCAACGGGGCCGGATTTCTTGTTGCGGATTGCTTCCAGAACGAATTTCAATGCCGCGGAGGAGCCGTATGGCAGCGTGATGTCTCGCGTCTGCTCGTTGGCGACCGAGACAGAAGAGAGAAAGCAGTCGAAGCCGCGGGAGTGCAGTTGCAGCTTGTCGCGCGGCATCTCCGTCAAGAACTTTGGTTGGCCGTCGGTCGAGTCGACGAGAAAGATGCGGACGGTGGCGGCGGAGGTGGCGGAGGTGGTTTGGGCAGCGAAAGACATCTTGAAGACTCGAAGTATGTAGTTGCTTGTGTAGTGGTTGATATAGTCTTCGGTAAGCGTTCTAGTGAGTGTTGGTGTCGAGTGTCGATGTTGTGGAGAGAGTTGATGAGTGAAAAAGGGAGAATTTATGTGGCCGACGCAGGAGGGAAAGTGAATGAGCGGCAGCGGCAAACTTTCTCAAGGCAGCGAGGGCAAACAATGGGCTTGGCATTTATATTAGGCCTTTTCACACGCGTTTGAGTGCTTCTGATTGTCTCAATGTCCAGCTCGAAAAGGCCGCGAACACACATGATCTTCAGGTCATCGAGGACTCTGCTCTCCTTGGCCTGATCGACGACTGTAGGACGGTGGACCGGAATGATCAGCTCCATGATCTCCTTGGTCTCCTATTTCGACAGCAGCTGTATGAGTCTGGCATTTACGATCGACTTCACATCGTCGCCCGGGATATCGGGATCCTGGAGTCCTGTCTCGAAAAGTCTTATCCGTGAGATCAACCTCTTGGATGGCTTGTCTCTTTCCGTTGAATCTCCAGCATGATCAGATCATTGCGAACAAGACCCATGCGATAGATCCTATTGCGCAACTCGGCAGGCAGCTCTAGAAGCAGTATCTGCCACTGGATGGAGGTATCGTGGGATCCTAAACATGTCAGTTACAGCCAGATAGTGGTTGAAGACGAGTACCTACATTAACCACTCGGTCTTCTTCGTCATGAACCACAAGGCCGACGGGAAGCTGCAGCGGGATCATTTGCATATTGCCGGTCCAGCTTGAGTCGACAAAGACTACTGCCCGAAGAGTTCCAAGGACCCAGAGCTGATATCTTGAGTCGCAGCGTAACTTGATTCGATAAGCAGAGTTCGAGCTATTGCGCATATATTGAAGGGTATTGAGTGTTGTATAGATCGAGGAACAAAAGGGGTAAGCTTATGATCGTTCGGTGCTCAGAACGGAGGCATTCTTCTCGACTTTTAATCAAGCAAGTGTTTGTTGGTTCATGCTTGCTATTGCAAACTGCTATGGTTTGTTACTGATCCCTCGAATCATCTCGAGCGGTCGAGTAGGCATCAAATAGCTTGATCAATGGCGTAGAGCTCCCGATGGCCAGCTCGTGAAGCTGTCGTAGCACGAACGGGATTCTCACAGGATGTGCGCTGTGATTATTGTTAGGAAACGAACTTCGCAGGAGCTAAGCTGTGTAACCTGAAATTCTCTTACCGAATGCCAAAGTAAAACCGTTTCGAGATTGACATCCAGCAATCTTGTCCGCTGCTGGTACGTCAGAGGAAGCTCAAAGTTGAAATTGCCTGACCATTTGCCGTAGACATAGGACAAGTTCAACCGAAGAAAAAGAGAGGAAAGTGAAAGAACAATCAAGTGTCAAAGATCAAAGTTCAACATTACTATACATCATGACATCGTATCAAGCTGTGGTGCTAATACATCATTTTCACCAACTCCTTCGCTCTGTCATCATAGTCATCATAGACTTCATGCACGTAGCTGCTTGCATCATGCATCTATTTCATGAAACCAGCCTTTCCATCTCCATCAGCGTCCTTCTTTGGGTTCAACTTGTCCATCAAACCTGGCTTCTTGTGCTCAGTCGTAGAGCCGATGCCATTGTGGTTGCCAGACAATTGTGGCTCGACATCATGTTGGCGTTGGCCAGTCAAGCTGCTTCCAGCGTTGTTGTCGACGTAGCCAGTGCTGTTACCGTTGGAGCTGTTGTGGGTAAAAGAGTCAGCGATGGGAGTTGAGGAGGAGCTAGAGGTGGAGGTTGTTGGTACAGATGTACAGCAACAAAGCATGGGCGCTGGGTTAAGGGAAGATGTGGATGGAGACTTACCCAGCGCTGTGGCCGGCGGCACGAGAGCCAGCGAGACCTGCTGCACCACCTGCGACACCAGCTCCTGCGGCGCTGTTCAAGCCGTTGCTGCCGTGGCTGTGGTTGTGGGTCTCGATGCTGTTGCCGGTGCCTTGTGTCGAAGCGTGACCAGGCTTAGGGCAGCCATCGAAGGCATCGGTTCGCTCCTCACGACCGGTAAGAGAGCCGCCTTGGCTCTTGAACTCGGACATGCTCATGGCTGGGAGAGCAGTGGTGGAGTGGTGCTGGGCAGCGTTGTGGTGGACCTCGTGGATTGGTACGGTGGTGTGCACGACGTGTGGCTCGATGGTCTGCTTGTTGACGACAGGCTGGGAAGGAGTCAGTATTGGCCACATGAACATTGGTTGATTTGACATACCTGAATCTGCTCATGCACATGGTGGTGGACGTGCTCGCCGGCAACGACTGGCTGGGCAGTAGTCTTGTGCTCACCCTCAACACGAGTGGAGGTGTCCTTGAAGTGTGCCTGCTCAGCAGCGAGCTTCTGCTTCACCTGATCGGCGTCGTCATGCTCAAAATTGCGATGCTCAACACCAACAACGTTGTGGTGGTGCTTCTCTGGGAGGACTTGGGTATCCTTCACAGGCTGGACGGATGTGTGGTAGTGATCTTGGTGGACCTCCTTGTCGACGGCGGTAGTGATGCGGTCTTCTTGTTGACGAGTCACGGTCTCGTTGACGACTGCAGGGTTGACTTTCTCGTGGACAGTAGTGTCATGCTTGCCATCCTTGTGGATGAAGCTCTTCACGGCGTTCTTTGCGGCGTCCATGATTGTGGTGTTGATTAGATGTTTTTGGATTGATTGTATTGTGAGATGTGTTGATGGTATGGAATTGTTGGATGGGATGAAGGTCTGCTTCCCTGGACGAACTTGTGGTATAATGTAGTCCTCCATCACGCTGCTGTTGCACGACGTCATGTCACGTCAGACGAAGATCTGTTCATAAACAACACTTGCTGGACTCAGAGCTTCCGAGGGGTGGGTGAGGCTGGGCTCCACATGCCGCCGCCATTGTTGCTGTCATCTGGGACAAAGCTGCGGAAAATTGGTTGGATAGTGTCGATCCCGTCGGTCAGCGTGGTCATCGGTGTGTGGGCATAGCGACCACTTCAGCCACAAGATGAGGCTCAAACCAAAGGCGCCAGAGCCGCCGCCGCTCATAGTCGGCAACGTGGCACGGCTGGTGGGAGAACGTGTCTGGACAACATTAGCTCCAGTCGTCATCCTTGGCACAAGTGTAGACAATGCAGCCGGAATAGGTGATCGATGCCCGAAGCAGGCAGCCATAACAATAGGCTGATCTACACCTACATCAACGATGCATCATATTCGTGCATTGTTGTGCAAGTTGAATGAGCCGCAGGGTCTTGGACACAAAGAAATGCAGAGACATGAGCCACAATCTGCAGCCTCCCGGTCCGATTGAGACGATGGCGACCAGTCGTTCTGTTGCGCAAGCTCGATGACGAGGCTCACTGCTGCAGACTGCAGTTCAGACGATGCCCGAGGCGCCCACCCGAAACACTGGCACAGCTGGGATCATTTCAAATCGCAGTCCTGCGAACCACTCCGCAGCGTACCAGTCCTAGTGAGACAGAGAGAGTCCGCAATTGGGCGTTTCGGTGCGGTGCAGAAGCGATGTCGTCTAAACAGTAGTGTACAGTACCAGAAATGTGGTCACGATGACCACTAAGGTCAACGGTTCTAGCTTCGGATCTCGATACAAGCATCTTATCGAAGATAGAGTTCCGGAAATCAAGGGAAAGCGGGTCTTCTGCAGAAGTGTTCGGGGTCTGCCAACTTCTTGGGTCTGGAATGCAACAGCTTTGGCGGAGCCGTATGGTACAGATGACGTGGGCAATTAATGCTTGTCTGGTAGCTATTAGCCACTCTGACCATTCATGAGCGGGTTTCCTTGACAATGGTGTCCAGACAGTGGCAAATAGTGATGCGTTGGTAGCAGAGGATTGTGGCGTCGCGGCTCATGCGGGAAGGCGTCATTGTAAATGTTCCGGTAGTGCCTCCGACGGCGAATGATGCAACGCGTAGGGTTTTTGTTTACTGTTTGATAGATGGAGCTCTGCTGGAGCTGGGGCTGGTCTTCGTCATTCGATTTGTGATATGGCTTCCGGTCTGAAGCAGAAGTTGGACAAGGTCCTGCACCGGCGAGATCACCACGACGAGCAGGATGGCAACACTGCTCTAGATCCAGTAGCGCCGTCTCCGGCAGTGCCGAGGACATCTGAAGACAAGAGGATTGCTCGAAAGAGGAGCTCGACGCTGCGGGAGAAAATCAGAAGTGCGAGTAAGCATTTGGCCAATCCCTGCACAATCTTCACATGCTTCAGGCAAGGGTGTCAAATGCCTGCAATGATCATGCAATAGCACCACTATTAAGCGACCCGAAAACTCGGAGAGTGTGCTGTCAGCGTGAAGCATCATATTCATGTCACTAACGACACTGTGAACGACAGGTCGATCCCGAACGAGACCAGCTAGCCGAAATGGCCCTGGAGCAGATGGCACGCCGCCTCGCTCGTCGAGCGAATACACTTCACAATCGCCACCGATGCCAACTCGACCAGTGAGGAGGGTGGAGGATCACAGAGACTTGTCATCCGAGTTTAAACAGCTTGATCTTCGAGGATCTGCTCAAAGCTCGCCACAGTCCAATCATGCAGGAAGCCCACGAAGTGTACCGCTCGTCAGCCCGTATAACAGGAGACCTCTTTCGCAGAGTCTGGAGGACGAAAGAGCAAGAACTGGCTCACCGAGAAGCATCAATTTCGCTTCAGCCGAGGATCCGTACTCTGAAGCAGTAGCGAACTTCAACTTGGGCAGAGACGAGACAGTGCTCGCTGGCGGGCTGGAGGATTCCCATGCCATTAGGCGAGCGTTGGCGAGAGATCAACGGGAAGATCTAGTACAGCCGAGGAGGAGTCGAGAAATCAACCGCGATGTCATCAACGCGAGGAAGAGTGATGATCTGTCAAGACCGGGCAGCTCGAGAAGGAGCAATGAAGCAACCAGGACAGCGATACCGGCAGCTGCTATACCATCTCGAGACGGCAGTCTAGATTGGCAACGAACGCAGCAGAGCACGGGCAAATCTCACATCAAAAGACAGTCCCTCGAAAAGCCTCTTCCACCGCCTCCAGAGGGCAAACAGCTTAACAACTTCGAACATCACCCTTCGACCTCCGCCTCCCAACCACAGTTCCTCGTCCAAGACTCTTCCACCCCAATCTCCCTCGCCGAACATGGCATCTCCCTGACAAACACGGAAGACACCACGATCCACACGACTCAGGCTCCCGCCGTTACCAACGAAACCACCATCGTCAACACGCATGAACACATAACCGAAGCCATCACACGAGAAATCCACACCCACGACATTTACCATCGCGTCCTCCCCATCATCGACGTCGAAGTCCTCCCACCACGACACTTCATCGAATCATCTTCAGGCCGAAGACACGAGATCTCAGCGGACGAAGCTCCAGGCGGAAAAGAAATGAGCCTCGACTTGCAGCGTGTCATGCAGGAAGCTGTAAATCGGGAAGGGGAAAGAAAATGCACTCTCGCTCACGGAAACAAAGATCAGTGGTACACTCAACACGGCAGGAGGAAATTCACAGCTGTTGATTACGATCCGAAGAATACGGAAGGTGATTTGAGAGAAGCTGTGGCGGAAGATGGAACGGAGTACTCGGAACGAACATGGGTGCATTGGCCTGTTTTGGAGGAAGATGTTGCTGGGACGAGAGCGTTCCATTTTGATGGGGAGGGGAGAGCGGGGTTTGTGGAGGAAGTGAGAGGAGTTGGGAAGAGGAATAGTGCGGAGGAGGCGAGGAGGGCGAGTGTCACGATGAGGAAGCCTGTGCCGTCGTAGGAAATTCTCGAAGGATATTTGCATGAGCGGGGGAGTTGTGGATCTGTACAACATTGTATCCCAATTTCCTCGATTGACGAGTTGGACGCCTTCTGCTTTTCCACAGCAATCACGCCCTTCTTGACGCTCACCAATAACATTGCCTGCTTGCAAAGAGCCTTCTGCTCAGAGCACAGACTCAATCGCTCTCACACGATGCCATCATCGATACACGCAACCTGCTATGAGACACCCGACCTGCTATGAGACACCAACGTCAATTGTTTCTCCTCCGCATTTTAATCCTTACCAGCTTGACAATTTTGTTGAGGAACTCTGGCTGGACTAAGCAACCTGTCTCGGGCATTGCCAGCCAATATGTCTCGGATCGACCAAGAAATGATCATCGGCTAGGACGTCACTCTACTGCAGCGAATGGAATACTACTCAGCAGGTCAGGATGAGCATTGTTGGAAGCAGTTATTGGCCAACCACAATAATGTGAGCAATGAAACAATCGCATTTGGCTGCAATCGTGATGAAATACACTTCTATGGGATTGCCATCAGGGCGATTCGTTCATCGGCAATGCCTCAAAAGAGACAAATGCCACTATCAACGCCGCTTCCACTCAGTACCGCCATATTCTTCATCCACCTCATCATCCGACACGTCCTCATCGTACGCCAACTTCCTCTCTTCCCAGAACTCTCTCTCCAATCGCGCGTCTTGATCGGGTATTTCAAGTTCAAGATGCAGCCTGTAGAAAGTGTACTCACTGCTTCGACTGCGTCGATCCCCCGGCCCCGGATCCTTGTTATCTCCTCCCCAGCGTTCAAGCCACTCCAGCCATTCCGGACGATACACATGGGGCCTATCTGTCCCTCTCTTGTCTCTCAATCTCTGGAGCTTCCGATAGTCATCCCTGCTCATATCGTTCTTCCTGTCATTCTGATTGTCGGTCTTGCCCCCAGGATATTGCGGATCTTCGCCGAATTTCATAACCCAATGATAGCGGAGATAGTGTCCCCAGTTTCTGTCATTTCGACGGAAGAGATTCCAGCTGTAGAGCCATTCGGGCTCAAAGTCACTTCCGTCACGCGGAAGTCTGGTGCCCCAGCATTGTGAGTAGCTCACGTCAACTTCCGGATCCGTAAGGATATATGTGCGGAACAGGTCAGTGTGCCATGGGCTAATCTCTTCTTGCTCCTCTTCCCACGCCCAAGGTGAGCTTTCCGCTGCAAGTTCGACGAGTCTGATCACGTCGCGATAGCGTATTCCCTGTTCGCGCTCTATGTATCGTTCGCTCCCTGCAAGGCCGCCTTCCCAGGTGCTGCCCTCCACTTGTTCGAAGTCCATTGGGAACTCTCGAGTGGGAAACAACATACGATTCAGTTCCCATCGTAGAGCGACTTTCTTGGTAGGCGGCTGAGTGATGAACATGTTCAGCCTCTTGTCCGTTGCATCGAGCTCAATCATCGGGTTGACGAGAAAGTGCGCTCGGCGGCCCCGAAATTTTGCCAGAGGGCGATTTGGATCTGTGGAATTCTTGTTGTCACGGCGCTTTGTCACAGTTGGCCGCCCTTCGAGACGGAAAAGTGCGGGATTGATAGCTACGCGTGGAGGTGTAGTTTGTTTGATGAGGGCCTCGATATCAGCGTCAACGGCTCGCTGGGCGAAGTTGTTGAACTTATTCAACCATGGTATGTCCTCAGGCTTCCGTAAATCAATGCCCATCGTCTCTGACAGGTGTGTGGCTCGCTCCACGTAGGGTACCTCCTCTCTCACTGCTTCAAAATCCTTCCTCATGAACTTCATCGTTCTGTCGATGTCTCGCTGGTGAATTGGCCTCGGTGGCAGGTATTCGTCGTCCGCCTCCAGAAACATAGCTCTCTTGAACAAAGATTTGGGCTGCCTGGCCTGAGCACCATACACTGGCCTGGGTACGTAGTCGATAGTGTTCTTCCATTCTTTGCAAACGCGACGATACCGAAGCAGGTCCTGTGGTGGGAGGTACAGCAGGATTTCATCGCGCAATTCCGTCAATCTGAGGACCTCCTTGCAGCCGGAAATATTGCAGAGGTACCTCTGCGGTGTTCTGTAATTCCCTGGAGTGACTGATCGTGACTGCGCATAGGACTGCATGTTAAGCGCGTATTCCGGATGATTAGACTGGTCTCTCATGGGAGAGGGTCTTTCGAGTGGACCCGTGTTATTGATCTGGACGGAAAACCTCAAACTCGAATCCTCGGGAGCAGGTGCAGCATTTGGCCCATTTGCTTCAGCCTGTTCGTCTGTGGAATCTCCATCTATAGCCTGTTGCTCTCCTCCGCCATTCGCATTCTCTGGAGACTGCGCAGGTTGTGCCTCGGGTGCCGTCGCCGCGATCTCCTGTTCAGAAGTCTGCTGTCCTCCAGCATTCGTATTATCGGGAGATTGGGTTCGCGCTTCCTCTGGCTCTCTTGCAGCCGTCGCTGGTTCGGGAGCATCTGCCTCGCCAGGATCTTGTGTTGGCTGCGCGTTGAGCGCTGCAGCAGCTCTACGAACATGTTCTCTGCAGCAACCGCCATGTCCACATGTGTCTTTTCTATTGCAGCGATGCTTGCATAGTGGTCTTTGACTGTAGTCGATGTCTTCTTCCGCCTTTCTCTTGGGCGCCATGATGACTTGCTGGCGATGGAATCAGTTGTCAGTTGGCAGTGAAAGTCAATTGGTAATGGGAACATGCAGTGTCGTGGAAGTAGTTCTTTGTTGTGTCACTGCCGGATTCATATTACATAGCCGGATCGGGGAAGCTTCGGCAGATACATTGCATCAATTCTTTGTTCACTCCTTCTGCATACTGTAACAACTTTCTATGCTAGATCCCCAAAGCGTACCCCAGGAAGAACGCGAGAACCAGAAGCGCAACCACTGCTACGAATCTCACCCACATCTCTCCGCTTCCTTCGCCTGCCACATTTCTCTCCGCAGCCACCTCAACTCTCTCAGACTGCTCCATGGCGCCAGAGACATCGACCTTTGTCTTCTCTGCCTCTGTCTCTGGTGCGAGAGCAGGACATGTTGGTGTCGCCGCACTTGCTGCCCCCGAGCTGCTCGCTTGAACGGAGAGCTGCGGAGCTGGTGGCTTCTGGGAACTCGTGAAGCTCTTCACCTTGCGCTTCCGACCAGAGATTGGCCCCGAGACGACGACAGGAGCAGGAGTGGCGACAACATCTGTCATTGGCTTCTTCGGCTTCTTTGGCGTGGAGACAGGCTGAGGAGGATCGGTGTAGTCCTTCTTCACGGGCTGCTTCACCTTCTCCTGTTTCTTCTCCGGGGTATCAACCTGAGCCGTGGCACCAAGAGTAGATATCTCCTTAATCTGCTGCTTTGCAGCTTTCAGAGATTTGGCCGCAGGACGCTTCTTCTGAACCATCGTTCGGGGGCCAGCAAGATCGTCCCTACCCCTGTGAGCTGCGGTGTAGCTTGCAGGTTGGAGCTGCCGTGCTGTCTGTATCGTAGACGTCTCCCCCTTCGAGATTGTTCTCTCTGCAGGCAGAGGTGGAGACACCAGAATGATCGGATTCGGCGTCCTGTAGAGAGACTTCGGGTGAGGAGAGTCCGATTTGTCGTTGGGAGTGACGGCAGGGGAAGGGAGCGATGGGAACTCCGTGTTGCTCTGATCATCGATGAACGGCGAGAGATCAGACTGGTCGAGCTTCGGAAGCTCAACGACTGAATCGTTTCTTAGAGCTTTAGGTGAATCGCTTGACTCTGTCAGCCTCTCTGGTTCTGGAAGTGTGTCGTCGGCCGCTTCATTGGCCTGGTCAGCGTTCGCTCCCTCGTCGCTCTGATCATCGAGAGGTGGCGAGGAATCAGGCAGATCGAGCTTCGGTAGCTCAACGACTGAGTCGTTTGGCAGAGTTTCAGTGGATTCGCTTGACTCTGCCAACTCCAGTGGCTTCAAAACTGTGTCGTCGGCCGCTTCGTTGCCTTGGACAGTCTCGCCCCCTTCACCACGGTACTTCCCACTCCAGATATCGTTGCAACGCTGCCTGTAAGCCTCCTCCGCCTGCCAAGAGAGTTGATTCCATTCAAGCTCCCATTGCTTCAACGGCGTGCGAAAGTCGACCGGTATGGCACAATACTCCTTGTCTTGAAGCTCGCGCTGCAAAGAGATCCAGTCTTTCCACTGGCAGTAGCGATCCTGCTCCTCCTGACATAATCGCCGCTTTGTCTCCACTTCTGCTCGTACCTCGCGACCCCTATGCTTCTCCAACCACGCGAGCCACGTCTCACCGCCTTGCTTCTGAGCATCGAACATCTCATCGAGCGCAATTGCAGCGAGCCTGTCTCGCTCTCTGCAAGCCTTCCATTCCACGGAGCCGTCGTCAAAGTGCGAGTAGTCGTCGTCGTCGGTGGGAACAAAAGTCGTGGTGTCGTCCATGATGATGGAATGTGATGTGAGTAAGTGTTGTGTGGACTTGAGACTTCGTGATGTCGAGTCGAGTTGTGGTCGAGAAGTGTAAAATCAGAGTCGGCAGATGATAGCAGTGGAAGATGGAAGCTGCAAGTAGTGGAGGACTGTAGCGAATCAGTAGAACAGAGTAAATTTGAAGACCAGTGGACAGTTGGAAATCACGAATCTGGTAAATTGTTGTGCCTCCGAATTCACTCGTCCTTAGAACGTGAATTTCCGCAATATGCATGTGGTAGGCTGCATGTGGGCAGGCTGCAGCACAAAAAGCTTGCGAGGATACGAAAAAGTGAGAGTGTGGGGAGATCTCGATTGTAATCAGCATGTGCACCTATTGTGTGAAAGGGAATAAGCTGTAGCACATGTCTTGGCAATGCGAGTGAAGGCTCGAAGCGCTGCAGCCTTGGCACGCAGATGCAACCCACAAGTCACTCGAGAAAGTATGACTGGCTGTCGCATGTTGCAACTCAACATCGTTCAGCTCTTTGAAGACCCTTGCCCCACAGATGCGTTGCCTGCGGTGTGCTTCCGGGTATCCGAAAGAGTGGCCTGATAAGTACAAGCCGGAAATTGAAGTTGATGGCGAGCACGTGCAAGTAGCATAGTCATCAGCTTTTCCGTTTCAAATTGGCGAGTAAAATGCATCAGACGTAGTGAGAGGGATCTGCCCTGTGGCCCTCCATCAACTAGACCTGGTACATCAAGCAACTTCGGATTTGCTTATCCCCCCCTATGCCCCAGGCCCAAATTCTCCAACCTTTGAGGACACTTGGCTCGCTCAGTTATCGTCCGTCCACTCCACCTTACACGGCGCATGATCGTACGTCTTGTTTGAGCTGCACGCCTGGAACCCGAAAGGTGAGTATGCTATGATCCTCTTCGCCCAGGCATCCGTGACATAGCACGCGAACCACTCCTTGGCAGAGTATACCGCTTCTTCCATGTCCGGGTTACACATCTCGAAGACCTTCAAGTTCGAATTTCCGTAAGGATTCTCCTCATCGGCGCCAAATTGGAACCAGGAGTCACCGCATCGGTAGCCTACGTGGCGGTGTGCTTGGTGTAGGAATCAGTTTGGAGGGGCCCTGGAAGCAGTATTTTCCGGGCGACGTACCGTGAGGACGAGCGTCCAATATTGCTTTAATCTCGTTCATGCACGGTATGAGCTTTGTTGAGTTGCCATCATTGAATGGCGCTGTGTAGACTTTCTTCTTGCCACGCGCTGATGATGAGGTGGTGAATACGGCAAGGGCCAGGGTGGATAGCGTCGTGAACTTCATCTTAGGCCGAGTGGTGATCAGTTGAATCTTGAGCATCGAATTTGCAAGCACAGCCCTCCGAATGTGTGAGTTGCGCGGCCCGAGCAGACCGAAAGACAATTGTCCACCCGACAAGATGTGGTTAAGTTTCGGTGTGCCAGATCTTGATTCGCTTGAAGATGTGGTTGCGCCGGAGTTACCATTGTGGGAGGGTACCTGGACACCACTACCTGCACTGAGGTACGTCCCGATTCCGAGGTGAAGATTGTCGCTCACTTGAACGCGACCTGATGACAACCTGAGAGCGACCCCAGGGCAGCCCTGAGGTTGGTCCCAGGTTGTGCTCAGGTTGTCATCAATTTCCTCTGCGTCAGTCACAGGTCGGCGTGAGGCCACAGCCGCATCGGATTGCCTGCGGACTGCTGCAACGCGAGTGCAAAGACCAGGAGTCAAAGCTCTGCGCTTTCTGACTTCGAAGGCCTCCATGTCTATTATGCAGTCGGCAGGAAACGAGTGGACACGACTTCCAAAGGATGTGGGTGGCATCCCAAGTTCGCTGGGATTTCTCATTGTAGACTGACGTCTACAATCACTGCCCTTCATTGAGTCCGCCGTCGGTGCTGCTCGTAGGATACACGGTGTCAGTTGGTCCTCTAGTCGATGGGTGCTGCCTCTGACGTCGCCTACTTGCCATATCCTGCTGTTCTGAGGGCAAAGTATGATACTTTCAGGCCTGCGAACGAGGAGTTGTTAAGCGCAACTGTTGGCCACAGGGCCAACGCGCTATCCGTGCGACGATCCTCAATGCTGTTCATTTGGCGCAAAGTATGTGTAGGCACAGCCATGCCTGATTTGGGGCTTCGTTGCGGGTGCACAGATGCATCACAGTCGCACGAAGGCTTGGTCGGAGACTGACGGACCGCTGACTGATGGACAAAAAGCATGATTTCGGGCAAGAAAGTCTTGCTTCGTAGGACTTGTCTGCCAGGGGGCAGTCGCGTTTGGCTCTGCCTTCGTTGGCCTCTGAGGATCGACACCAGTCATTCGATCAAACTGCCACTGGACAACGTTAGAGGGTTGCGCCCAACGGCCGCCAGAGCTGCAACAATCGACCTCTTTGACCTCTTCCTCTTACCCCATAGACCTTCAGAGACGGAAAGTCTGTTCCTCTGTTTCAGCCTCCAGCTCGCGACATTGTCAGATGCTGCGATGCTGAGCTGTCAATTTATCCTTCCTGGTATGATGTCTTGCTGCTATCTCAGACGGCTGACAACAATGTGCGAGTGGCTGAGGATGGTCGCACGCCAGACGAACATTTCTACTGTGGTGAGTCTTCTGGACTTGAACTATTGCTGTCTAGAGGCTCGAGGGAGAATCGTTTGAACAGATCATTACGCCCACGATCGTCAGCAATAATGTCCCACAACCTCGTTTGACAGAGCCCACTCGCGCATGCCACGTCCTTCATTTTGCAGCTGGTCAAATCCTCAGAACCGAAGAAGTGGCATTGAAGGGATCGACGAAGTTCGCTAGAGAAGGCCATCGTCAGGGGGGATGAAGTCGAAACGATCCAAGAGTCGCAATGCGGGATGATGTGATATGGGCAGAGCTTGACTTAGATGATCAGCATCGGCAGATGCTAGCAATGAAACCTGATGATGCTGCGTCTTGGAATGACAAGAACTCGCAACGAAATAGGCACGATTGCTAGCTGTCCTAGCGACTAGTGGATCTTGCTGTAGGTGAATCTCATGTGGCGTTCACTGCCCGATTCGGAGCTCCTCTTTGTTCTACCATCGTCTCGGCCATTTGGTGCTCACTTTCGGCATCGTCTCCAAATCATCCTTTGTTCACTTTTGCTCAACCTTGTAGATCGGCCTCTGAGCGCGTTCGGTTCGTCGAAAGTCTGCCTCGAGGCGGATCTGAATCTGTATTGCAGAAATCAATTGACAGAAGATGGGCGTCCTGCTGGACGAAAACGGGGACCCGAAGGCCTGGGCAAGCTGCCTGCTTTGCGGACTCGCAGCCATGGGCGAAGATGAGCTGAAAGCTGAGAAAGACAAGAAGAAGCGACTCGAGCGCGAAGCTAGATGGAAGGCGGAAAAAACAGCGGCTGGTAAGTTGATGGAGATGCGGCATGCAAAGTTTTGACTAAGTCGCCCAGCACAAACAGCTCCTCAGCTTTCCCCAGCAGCGACGACTACAGCAAGACCAGCTCCAGAAGAAGCGGAACTTCACACAGCAGACTTGATACGGCCAATTGTAATCAATCAGCCTCAGCGCAACCTACCTATGTCCACCATTCCCGCAGACCTTCCAACGTTCATCATCACCTCTCCAACGATCGTCGAAAACGTATCTCCCAACAACAGTAGGCCCGTAACACCCCATCAGCAACCACATTCTCGATCCGCAACGCCAGCCTCCATGGTCCGTTCTAGTGCCCGGTCAACCGCAATGACCGACTCCACAAATTCGAGACACGACAGCCCAGCATCTACTTCATCGAGCAAAGCCTCTCACAACTCCGTCTTATGTCCGTTGTGTGATTCCAAGACCCATACCGAAGAGCGCTGTCCAAGGCTTGCGGGGATTCCTGTCTCGCCGACGCAGGGGATGGCTCGGTCGCCTGGACGCTACTACGCGGCATCGAACAGATCGACACCGAGCTTGGGAGAGATGCGTTGAAAATGGAGTTTGTGGCAGGCGGACGGCGAGGACTAGACGATCGAGGTGTGGCGGAAGCGCCTTTTATGGCTACGTTGTGAGAAACAATGGCGGGAAGGTACATCTTTGGAAGCCATCAGTCGCGGACTTCTGGTTGAGAGACAGTAGACTTGGTCAGACAGCACGGATATGAAGCGTCAGTGCCAGCCGTCAGAAAAGGCGAGGAGCAAAGATAGGGTAAAGAGCATTGGTCGACGGACGACTCACACCTGGAGCAGCTTGGCCTACGATTGATTGCTAATATCTATATGAGAAACGAAGAGCGAAGAGCCTTCAGCATAAGAGGAAAAAGTCGTACGCTTTCACAGCATGACGGAAGATACCAAGATTGAGTGTAAGAGCCTCGTACATGTTGAGACGCTCGTAGATAATCGGAGAACATGATCAGAGGATGCCTTTGCGAGGAGACTATTTTCAGACCGTTTCGGAGTCTTGCAATGCATGGCTACGATCTGCTGACGGCACTAGGAGGCATTCTTATCATACGACTGTGCGGTATGTTACTTTTACGAAAAGCAATCTACTGCTCCCACAGCGATGACATTCAAGCAGGCCACAAACACCGTGCGGCTTCAAGGCGAACCAATGCATCTGCTCTGGGACCATACCCGTCCATTCATCCCAAGTCAGGAAATAGCGTGGAGCCAGAAACATCTGCTGCCACGTCTTGAGCTTGGCCGAATGGGTCAGAACAGGTCGAATCGGCCACGAGGATGGAGTATAGGCAGCTTCGAAGGCAAAGCGTCAAGCAGGCAGCGAGACAAGGAACAAAGAGGAAAAAGATCGAGACCATTTCCTACATTTCTAAGGCAGACGTTAGTGGGCAATTCTTCCCAGGCGTGAACAGAGATTGGCAACCAGAAAATGGCACCAACAAGATCATGACCCCCATCGTACTTCGACCCTCACAAGAGTGAACGACCGAATGGGAGTATCGTCCCACCTGCAACAGCTGCGAGACAGCCTGTACGTCTCACCTTCAGCGACGCATCGTAAAATGAAAGCGAGTGGACTATGCTTCGCCGAAGAGCTTGCAAGCAATGTAGAACAAGTGAAGTGTAGACTTACTGTCTTTCTACGAGGGTTGCTATTGTGTCTTCCACGAAACTTTGATCAGCGAAAAGCTGAGCACTGTGTTGGCAGCAGAAACGAGATTCTCCATGAAGAGTGGTGGACAAAGGCCTTCGGAGTCTGCTTGCGGTCACGAACCGAGGCGAATCTGGCATTGTACTGTGGATTCGTCCAACCAGTTTCGAACTTCGCAATGAGAGAGGCGGCTGTGCTGCGAGACGTATCAATGAACGACGGTTCAAGAAGTTATGAAGCGGGTCGGTTTGAGAAATCGACGAGACGCAAAGTGGTAAGGCACGGAAGGAACAGATTTGAAGAAAGCACAGCGACAATGTCGAAACGTTCCATTGCAGTGATGAGAATTTTGATTCGCCCTAATTTCGACCAAGGACCCGATGTGTCGCTCAACTCTGCACTGCTTCGCGATATTGCCACATTCTCTAATGTCCAAAGGCCGCTAGATGACAACGTTCTCCAAAGTCCGCATGAATAAGACCGCCCTGAGTACCTTTGGCGAGCCGCGTGGTCTCTTGCGAGGCCTGAAGTGCTGGCCATGGAAGGAGGAGGAGAAATACGAAGGGGACGGAGAGGATATGCAAGAAGACGCATGGGAAATCGAGTTCCCATGCATCCTCTTCCACCTCTTCTCCGTCTCTTTCATACGTCGTCACTTCCTTCCACGGCCAGTCCTCGAGGCCGAGCGAAGAAAGGTGCAATTCGCCGCAGACATCAGAGACGTCCTTGACTGCTTCTTCCGTGACGCCGCTCTCTAGCAGAATCCACCTGCGCTGATCTGTTGTCCTTCCCAGCCAAGCAAAAGACCAAACCTACTGCATTCCAGTGCAAGCAGATGTATGTTGTAGGGAGTGCGGCAGAGAAGAGCGCTACTCGTTATCCTCCTCGACGACCGAAGCAGACTTCTTGGCGGTCTTCGCCTTCTTGCTCTTGGGGCAGCAGTGTCGTCCCCCTCGTCGTCCTCCTTCTTGGCCGACTTGCGCTTGGTGGTCTTCTTGGCTGGAGTCGGAGCGGCGGTTGGCAGATTGCCGTTCGAGTCTTCAGAGGCCTTCTTCATCTTCGCGAACTTCTGACTACACGTAAAGTCAGCATGTGCCAAAGCAATAGCCAGAAGAGCACAGATGGAGAACTTACCGAAGAGTGTTGGCGGCGTAGTCCTCGGTGCCGCGTCCTGGCCAAGAGAGATGCAGTCTTCCCCGCAGGACGATGTGGGTAGTAGCGATCGCCTCAGAGAAGAGAGCTGCTGAGGCAGACTTCTTGGTCGTCTTTGCCTTCTTGGTCTTCGGGGCAGCAGACTCCTCCTCGCCGTCCTCTTTGTCCTCGTCGCCCTCCTTTCTGGCCGACTTGCGCTTGGTCGTCTTCTTAGCCGGAGTCGGAGCGGCATTGGCAGCGGCACCGAAGTCGCCATACTGGTCTGTGGCGTTCTTCTTGAGTTTCGCGAACTTCTGACTACATATGGGTTAGCATGTGGGGAAGTGATGATCAAGGAAGCACGTGTTCAGAACTTACCGGAGAGCGTTTCCGATGTAGTCCTCAGTGCCCGACTGGGCGTTGAGCATATTGGCGACTTGCTCTCAGTTTGGGGTCACCAGGTTGGCGGCGATGATGGCCAGCAGCAGAGACGCCTGGGTTGGCATGGATGATGGCCATCATGAGTTGACGCTCGTTGGCCCTCGTTGGCGTCGTCCCAGTTGACAGGCATGTTGATGGTGGTGTGTGGTTGACCAGCCATACACAACGCCAAACGCCAACGTTGAAGATGTCGACTTCGGACGGCAGCAACGCAATGAAGTTCCTCTGCTGCCAATTCGCGGTAAAATTGCGCTGCTGCCAGGTCAGGCCACGGTGACGCTGTTGCCAGTCCACCGCGACCTTGCGCTAGCAGCAGCGCGTCGTTAAGCTCCCCATCGTCACAGTACATCGTACGCCCGCCCAGGCACAGCCGAGTCGTCAGGCAAGATGAACATCAGGACGCCGTGTGAGATGTGACAGTAGCTCGTCAGACCAGGATGTCGCAAGACCCAGGTTGCCGTCATGCGGAGTTCGGGTTGGCACACCAGCACGCATCGTCTGTGAAGGAGATCTGTGGTAATCCGTCCATCCGCGAAGGTGTAGCCGGTGCGTCTGGTAGGACGAACGACGACCAAACCACGTGGAATGTGGCAGTGGCTCTGCCCAGCCTCGCGAAGGAAGATGGTGCGCCAACGACAGTAGGCATGCTCAGAACCGCCGACCGACCGTCTGCGAAGATGTATCCGGTGCGAGGCACCAGCAACACCACCGAGACGGCGAATGTACTCTTGAAAAAGAGATGTACCCCTTGCCTCGCGAACGAGGCGCGGGTACTTAAGCTCCCATCGGCACAGTTGGCAGCAGAAGTGCTGGTACCGAGCGTGGAGTCGTCGACGAACAAAGCCGTAGGCTTGTTGTTGACTGTGGTATTTCTCATTGCTCTTGGCTCACGCTTCGTTGAGATCCAACCAGTGTCGTGGGCGATCTGGGACAGCAGAAAGGCATTGAGGTTGCTGCGGTCGAAGGAGGGACGACGTTGCGGACGCGCTGGCTTCTCTAGGTTTGTGATAGCGAGCTGGGATGCCGAAGTGACATCTTCTTTGGCGGTCAAGTTGGCTGTCGGCTGGAGAGAAGACGTTCGTGGGTGCGGTTGAGGACGGAATGTAGCAGGCGGAGGCTTGATCTTGTCTGAGCTCAGCGCAGCGGAATGGCTGGCTTCGGGCTGCTTGGCCATTGAGATGACCAGTGAGCGGCGAATGCTGGTGGAGTGAGGGCGAGCAGTGAGGAGGCGAAGGCCTAAGAGTAGTCAGTATCAGGCAGAAGGGGTGGGCGATGGAGGGGGACGAACCTTGACTTGGGCCAATTGAAGTGGAAGTCTCTGCTGATCGGCGCGAAGTTCGGCGACAGCGCTTGTGCTGGAGACGCATTGGTGGTGTCGGTGGACGAAGTGAGTGACGAGGGTGGTTATGAGTGGTGTCGACTGAGGTTGATGGTAATGGAAGGTCGAAGTTGATGTTGATGAAGAAGATTGAAAGTGAAGTCGAAGGACGGCCAGAGGTAAGTCGAAGGACGGACGCTGACTCATCCAGGGTTTGGGTGAATGCGGTGACTCGGTCAATCTTCAGCTGCTGAGCGCACATGGAACTCGAGCATGTGAAGAGGTTGGTTGTAGGAAGTTGACAGCTGATGGCGCTTGTGCCGTGCTTGCGCTCGTGACGGTGAGGTGGCGCTGACTGAGCTCAATGGGGACTAGTAAGAAGAGAATCAGCGGCAGGAAGGCGGATCGAGCAGGCGAACTTACCAAGTGATCCAGGAGGTGCCGAGTGAGTACTCAAGGAGTTTGGGCGGCCTCTCAATGAGGCGCCGGCGGTGTTTCGATGGAGTGAAGTGATGAGGACTGGGAGAGAGAAGGGTCGATGGATGTGAGTGGGTGAAGTGACCGTCGATGGAAGCTGGTGTTGTGGTGTCGATGGAAAGGAAGACAGAATTGAGCGGGCGGCGAGCTGGAAGTTATGCTGGTGCCAAGCCTTGCACACGCCGCTAGACTCACCGCAGCTCTAGCAAACGCATGTGCTCACTTGGGGCAGCCTTACAGGCGACAGTGGCTTGTTCAGAAGATGCTGTTTGCATGTGTAGCTTCTTGTCGAGCCAATCGAAACGCGTCGAGGAAGCGAAGAGGGCACATGGAGAAAACGAAACGAGAATAACAACTATGGGTCAGGCAGCGAGGATACTTCTGACAACATGTGCTGCGTCTTTTGAAAGCTGCCGCTGACAACGACAGCAGTGGCTTGTCGCAATCTGCTGCTGGGTGTCAGGGTCAGGCTGCAGTTCGCCAGCAGATAGAGAGTAGGCGGGATGAGGTTTGATCAATGGTCCATTGAAAGTTCTTGCGTAGCATCCTCGATACCAGCCCTGCCGAAGCATATCTTCCCTTCACATTGCTGTCTCTGTTCTCGAATTCCACGACACCCTCGTTCTGGCAGCACGATTAGATCTTCTCTCCTGATCTTACATTTGACAGGATCTAGACACGAACTGAAATCCCGAACGTTAAAGGTCGTCATTTTCATCGTGGCCCTTTCTCTTCATTCTGAACACGGGAAAACTGCATATCACTTCCGATACAACAGCCGTTGAAGCTGTTTCTTTACGTAGCCAAAATGACATGGTTTGGATGTGGAGCGGAATTGCACTCTCCCGTCCACCAAAAATTGCTGAAGGGTTCTCGTTCTCGTTCTACGAGCACTGCCACTCAGTTCTCTCAGCATACAAGCATTGATGGACCGTCATCGTAGGCAGCATTCAAGTGAGAGCATTTGTTTCTCATTATCTCTTAGAGCGACTGAATTTGGATTGACCTGCTGCTTTGATATTGTGGCGTTTGTGGACGTTTACGTTGAAGACGCTAAAGAATCTGCAACAATACTGTGCTCAGGTGCTGGCCATAACGCGTCTAATAACCTGATCTGCCCAGCGCTTGCTCGATATGAACGCTAGCTGCCTACTACAACCCAATGATTCTCCTCAATTCGCCCATTCCACATGCCATGGTGTAGGCACGCTCATCTTTCGGTGTGAACATCCAAGCTACTCGCCTTGCCCCATGGCAAGGCAGAAACGTTCCTTCGTTCCATGGTAATGAGCGCTGCCTCACTTCTTGGAGTCCTCTGCATCATGCCTGTGTCGACGGCCTCTGGCATACACAAGGAGGATGGGGTCTCGGCTCGCGCTCGATGCAGACGGCAGCTTCGAGCCGTTTGCCAGAGATCGTCATCTGTCAATCTGTGCTGCACGCAGGCCAGTGTGGACGTGGCGCTTATGCTGTCGTGTAATCGTCGAGTCTCCAAAGTCTCCTTCATGTCCTCTTGCTCCATAGTGGGCAGAGGCGAACAGCGTCCCACGAGCCAGCCGGCTCGGATTCTTCGTTTCCTCACATCCTCTCCGATGTCTTCGTCCTGCCGCATCAAAGTCTTGCCCTTCAACGCCGATGCTCGCCCCGTATCGACCATGCTCTTTCCGTACCTGTGCTCAATCTCCTCCACTCCACCCAGCACAGCTCAAAGCAGTCGGGCTTGCCCACACCGGCATCCTCGCGTTCCCACTCCAAGCATTCATCCAAAGCCCCGCCAGTAATGTAGCCATTTCCGTCTCCGTACACTTTGATGCACTGCTCATTTCTGTGAACGCCCTGCTGTATAATGCCGTACTTGCATAGTCCTGCCACTGATATAGGGTATGCTAATACGGAACCATACAGGAGAGCCTTGACGGAAAGAAGCAACGCATCAAGCTGTATCGAGACGAGCGAGGCTGCTTTGTTGACAAGGCACTAGTCGTACCATGTAGCCGGTGTTGTATGGAGGTTGGGCAACGACAGTCGTCAACGAGTTTTCGAACTTGTTGCTGCAGGTGACGATGGAAGCCACCTGTCTGCTTCTGTCAAAAATCCTGCTGTTGTTCATTGCCACGCAGATACGAGCGCCATCAACGCTCCAGTAACGAGTTGTGTCGATGCCTTTCTTCTCCAGGTCGGATATGGCGACATCCTCAACAACGCCGTTATTGACCGCGCCCTCCTTCATGTCTTCCATGAGTTCGGACAGCAGATCAGAATCCTTCTCGACCTCGTTTTGTATGAAGTTGTCCTTTGTGACCACGATCTTGCTGCTCCGAGGCGAGGGCTGCTAGCTATGGCGAAGCCGATGCCAGATCAGTTGTTCGGCCGACTGTTCACGTCCTCAGCTTTCTTCTTCGTCTGCGCCTCCGGTGGCTTGGACTTCTTGGTCGAGCTCTTGCTCGCGTCAACCCCTCTGAAGATTGTAGCACTGCTTCAGACGAGCAGAATGAGCCTTCGTGGCAGATGCGGAAGTGATGTTGATGGCTTTGCGACAAGTATGGCCTACGGTGAACCACCTGCCCTGTTCCCAAGCTCCCTCATTCTCTATTCATCTTGGGTTGTTATTGACAACATTGCCGCTTTGTTTCCCTGAACAGTAAGCGTAAATTTCACCTGAGCGACGCCGAATTTGTGGGATGTTTGTTCTGCAGAGACATTCAACAGCAAGGATGACGCCCATCGTAGACGAATTCTTCGAAACCCCAGAATCCGTCGAGCCATGTAGACTTCAGAAATGCTTGTCGACTTACTTTCTGCCCGCTGGTGTCTTTCCAGGACCTGTTCAGGCTAGTCAAGTCGATCGTGGTTTTGCAATGAAGGGACATATATCGCAATGCTGCGGGTCTTGCGGAACTGTGAGTGCCATGCTTGCCAGCACTGCGAAAGATCAATCCCGGATGCGTTCACAGTGGCAGCAGACTAGCCTCGAAAGATCGTAGTTGGTCGAGCTTGCCAGTATCTCACGAGCGGTCGTGCAGAGTTCGTCATCTCGGCGCATTGTCGTTTTTGGTGCAAGATTCTTTGAAGTGGGATTCTTTTATGGCCAGTGTGGGCGCTGCGTATTGTTGGCTCAAGTATGGATGGCACGCAGCGCATCGGCGGGATCGAGTCGCAAGGACTGTCTCTGTTGACTACTAGACCAATCTT